CGTAACAAAAAAGTGAAATGATTCCAGTGACGCTCATTCAGAAGTGGCTAAAAATTATATTTTGCTATAGACATTATATAATTTTCGACGTACATTATATGAATCCTTCTTCAATATAATAAGAAACTTACAATGTGATTTGTTTCAGTTCCATTTTTGCATTCGCTAGAGTATATTGGTGGAATTCCATTTTCACATTTTCGAATTAAAGATTTTGTATTATCGTATCCCGATATTATGACCATGTAACATTTGCTGTTACTGAAATCTTCATTTTCGCAAAACATGACATGGGCATCGGATTTTACTTTAAACGAGGCACTTATATACATTTGTTGATCATTGATTGCATATTTTGGAAAATCTATAAGAGTTTTTTCATTTGATGGATTCATACTTCTTTCTTCGAACTCTGAAAATGCAAGTATTTTTATTTCAAATGTTGAAACATAGTTGAATTTAGATGAAATTAATTAAATGATATATTAAAAATTCTGTTAGTTTCGATAGTAGTAGGATATTGTTCAAAATAATTAAAATTATACAAAACCATTCCAGGTAGAATCAGTCCTCGGTGCAAAGTGGAATTTTGTGCTACTGTCTTTTTTCCAGACGTTGTCATTCAATTTGTATTCCCATAAAAGATTTCGTGAACGTTCTGGCAAATATTTTACTGATTTGGTATCTGCTCAATAAAAAAATAATCAAACACATAAAAAATGCGTTATTTTCTTCACTGACATAATTCCTAATCCGTTAACAATTTAGAAAATCAATTTATAGTATTATCATAAATAAGTAATAACTATTAAAACTTTTGTTCAAACAGAGTTTAATTTGGAATCCTTAGAATCAGAACAACTAATTATGTCCTTAACAGAAAATTTAAAGAAGACTAAAATTTGAAAAACAGATTAAATTAAATTATTTAGTAACAGTGAACAAACTATACAAATTTATAATAAATTTTATAACCTTCGTTGGGGTTGACGAATGTATTCCATGCAACTGCTGATGTTGTTGCTTCACCAGTCACCACACATACGTGGTCATCACCATTGGTGGCCACGAAGGCACCACTTTCGAAAGCATAGGAAGGACAAAACCATAATTGTATTGCACTAAATCTATAGAAATAAATATTGGAAATACAATTTAGATCCATTCATACAAAAATTGTATAGTAACAAATATTATCATGAATAATTTCTTATCTAATTTTATTTCTTATTATTTCATCCAAATAAATTCACTTGGGTCTAATTGGGTGACGATCACTCACCCTCTTAGACCCAAAAGAACAAAATTTATAGAATATATTCTATACAATTGTTTTGTTATAATTTTGTTATATATTCTAAAAATTCTATAAATTTTAAACTCTATAGTTTTAAAACAGTTTACACTGTATTATTAACTGCCAGAAAAAGTTTATTTTCATCAGAAATCCGATTTGCCAATTTTATGTTTTCTCGACATATGAATCGAATGAAACCAAATTTGGAAAAAGTATGTGTGTATATGTGTGAGCCGATTTTTTATCTTTGAAGTCGTTCAATTTAAAAAAAAATTCAAAATTTGAAAAAAATTGTGTCAAAAGTCGCTTTTGAGATGTGATAAATCAAAATTTGATCATAATTATTTTTAAAATTAAATTTATAAAATAATTATTCAAAATACTTACATGAAAATAATTAAAAAATATCCTCCCATTTCAAAAGATTAATTGCATAAATATTAATTATTATACTTATATAAATATATAAATTCAACTAATGCAATATATATTTAATACTTTATCACTTTTATTTGTATCCGCGCCAACCAATTTGCACAAATGCTAATCGTTATTTGTAAAAAAAAATACAAATGAAAATTATCTTGAGGCGGATCTGAACGGAGCTGATAAGATACAAAAAGTATAAGTTAAAATTGTCTATCTTATAACTTTCTTGAAATTTAGATAGTGATTGTTACTAAATCTTTGTTTCCAGGAACCCATTTTCAAGTTCCAAAAATAAGAGTGTCCTAACAAACCAGATTCATAGTTTACCAAATAATCCTAATTGTAGAAAACTTGCGCCGATTGTGATATTATTTTTAACCGTGGTCCTAGATATGTTATTTACGGTTACGGGTCTAAAGATTAAATTAAAAGAATTAATAAAAAAATGACCATAATAATCGAAAAATGATGGCTTGAGCGTTGAGTTGCACTGGGAAGCTCATAATTTTTAATATAATTTTTTTCATGATAGTTACGATCAATACTATCTCTCAGTTTCGGCTTGACGTTGAGTTCTGGGATACCCTATATATATATATATATATATATGTGTGTATATACACACATATATATATATATATATATATATATATATATATTATAGTTTAGTGATAATTTATGGATATCATTGAGAAATACAGACTATTCATAAAATGATAAATACAGACTTATTTTTCTGTGTGATAACTTTCAAGAGATATGAAATAATAAGACAGTATTTCGCAATTTTTATCGTTTATTTTCACAATGACAAACATTGCATTTTTTCTCTTATTTTATTTCTTTTTGCATCATTATCTTTCATATTATTTCTGATCTATATTATTCGTATTATCTATTTATATTATTTTATTTCTGACATCATTATATTATCAAATAAAATAATTATATTACAAATTAAGAGCAGGGTCAAATATATATATTTGTTAAATATATTTCACTCTTTTCAAAAAGTCATGGACTATAGTCCATGGTTTTTCACTCAATTCAAACCTAATGTAAATGTCTAATGAAATCTAATTAAAATATCAACTTTCAAAACAGATTTTTTTTTTAAATCTAATTCATTAATCATTAGCAATTGGAAATAATGCGTTAAAAAGAATATTGATTAAAAATTTAAAAAATATTTATATCTGAATAATTTAATAACTTGTTTTTCTAACATAGGAGAAAGCAATGATTAATTTTAGTAAATTATATCACTTTTATCATTTGAATTTTTCGCATCGGCTCATCACTAATTCTATTTATTAATACTTAATTTATAAAAATCAAAATTAAAAAAAAAAAATTATAAATTAATTTTATATGTAACAATTGCCTTGATTATCAAAAAAATACATATTATGTAATGTTTACTCTATATTTCATACTATTTTTATATTTAAGAATAGAACATTTTAGATTCAAGAATATTTTATGTTTTTAAATATTTAAATTATATGTTAAGATTTCATGGATTTTCTTCACTCTTCCGATTATGAAGTGCCATGTGTTTCTTCAAAATACTCCTGCTCTCCATTATGAATCAGTTTGTGTTTTTTCAAAATACTTAATCGTGTGAATGTCTTATTGCATATATCGCATTCATGGGGGCTCACCCCGCTGTGAAGGTACATGTGACTTTTCAGACTACCTAATTCTGTGAATGTCTTATTACAAATATCGCATTTATGGGCACGTACTCCACTGTGAATGAAGAGCATGTGCCGTTTCAGACTACCTAATTCTGTGAATGTCTTACGGCATAATTTGCATTCATGAGGGCTCTCACCACTGTGAAGGAGCATGTGACTTTTCAGAGTTCCCAATCGTGTGAATGTCTTATTGCATATACTGCATTTATAAGGGTAAACTCCATTGTGAATAAGCATGTGACGTTTCAGAGCACCTGATTCAGTGAATGTTTTATTGCAAATGTTGCATTCATGGGGCCGCACACCACTGTGAATGAGCATATGACTGTTCAGACTACTAGTTTGTGTGAATGTCTTATTACAGATGGAGCATTTATGGGAGCGTACTCCTCTATGAATATCCATGTGGTTTTTCAGATTACTTGAACGACGAAATGTCTTCTTGCATATAGTGCATTGAGGAGGGTATACCCTTTTGTGTATCAACATGTGATTTTTCAGATTACTTGAATATCTGAATGTTTTATCGCATTCATTGCATTTAAAGACACGTTCTTCAGAATGTATTTTTATGTGTCTTTTCAACCCTTTTGATTGTTTGAAAGTCTTTTCACACATTCCACATTTGTAATGACGTTCATCGCTATGAGTAAGCATGTGTTTTTTCAAAGCAGCTGATTTTTTGAAATCCTTTTGACAGATTTCACATTTGTAAGGGCGTTCTTCGCTATGGTTAGGCATGTGATCGACCATATGTTTTGTTAGATGATGCGATTCTGCAAATGATTGATTACAAATGTCACAATCAAAAGACTCCTGTTTGACTTCGTCTTCAATTGTCACCTCGGAGTTCATGAAACTTTCTAAACACGTATCATCGTCCTTAGAACACGATTCAGATTTAACAATGGCATCAGGAGCATCAAATTCATCCTCAATTTCATATTTAATGTCCTCTGCTGAATATTCTGGTGGTTCAATTTTAATTGCTTGATCATTCATAGACTTAAATGTTTCTTCTGACATTTTGAAATACTTTCATTACTTGTACTTACTAAACATCTAAAAAATATTCGTATTCTAAAGAATCTACTTTAATCAACAATCTTCTAAAATATACTAAATGATATCAACTTAAATTATATTGATTATTTGACATTTCAAGCAGAGAGTTTGTTTTTAGCAGTAGAGACATAGTTAACCATAAAGAATTTGAAAAGACGCGCCACTTGCTTGATAACTGAACCAAACTGATTATATTGTCTAGGTAATAATCATTTTGGAATTAATAATAAAGACGTTTGTTGCCAGTTCAGACATAAAGAACGATAATGCCAATTTATATTTGTTTAACTATGGATAATGCATTTGAAAAGGGCGCCACTTACTAAATATCAACGCGCTTTGGTAAACGTCTCATCTTTCTAAAAGCATTGCTCTATGCTTCACATGTCAAATAATGAATTAAATTTTAGTTGAAATGATATGTAATATTTTAAAGCATTGTTGATTAAATTAGATTATTATTTCGTAAGAATTATTTCGTAAATATTTAGTGAGTATAAGCATTAAAAATGTCAGACGAAACAATTATGTATAACAATGATTTGGCAATTAAAATTGAACCACCAGAATATTCAGCTGAAAACATTAAAAGCGAAAATGATGATGAATTTGATGTCCCTAATGCTATTGTTAAATCTGAATCGTGTTCTGAGGATAATGACACGTGTTTAGAAAGATTCATGAATTCCGAGGTGACAATTGAAGACGAAGTCAAACAGGAGTCTTATGATTGTGACATTTGTAATCAATCATTTGCAGAATCGCATCATCTAACAAAACATATGGTTGATCATATGCCTAACCCTAGTGAAGAACGTCCTTACAAATGTGAAATCTGTCCGAAGACTTTCAATCAATCAAGTGTTTTGAAAACTCACATGCTTACTCATAGTGATGAACGTCGTCATGAATGCAATGTATGCAAGAAAACATTCAAACGATTTTACCATCTGAAAACACACATGGTCATTCACAGTGGTGAGCGCCTCCATGAGTGCAATATTTGCAATAAGGCTTTCATAACTGTAACTCATCTGAAAAGACACATGCTCATTCACAGTGGTAAGCGCTCCCATGAGTGCAGTATATGCAATAAGACATTCATAACTATAAATAATCTAAAAAGACACATGCTCATCCACAGTGGTAAGCGCTCCCATGAGTGCAGTATATGCAAGAACACATTCATACAATTAGGTAATCTGAAAAGACACATGCTCATTCACAGTGGTGAGCGTCCCTATGAATGCCATATATGCAAAAAGACATTCAGATTTTCAAGAAATCTTAACAGGCACATGCTCATTCACACTGGTGAGCGCCTTCATGAGTGCAATATTTGCAAAAAGACATTTACATATTCAGAGAATCTGAAGAAACACATGCTCGTTCACAGTGGTGAGCGTCCCTATCAATGCAGTGTATGCAAAAAGACATTCACAAATTCAAGTACTCTGAAACCTCACATGCTCATTCACAGCGGTGAGCGTCCCCATGAGTGCAATATTTGCAAAAAGACATTTACATATTCAAGCCATCTGAACAGGCACATGCTCATTCACACTGGTGAGCGGCCTCATGAGTGCAATCAATGCAATAAGACATTCAAACAATTAAGAGATCTGAAATCTCACATGCTCATCCACAGTGGTGAGCGTCCCTATGAATGCAGTGTATGCAAAAAGACATTCATACAATCGGGGGCTCTGAAATCTCACATACTCATTCACAGCGATAAGAACCCCCATGAGTGCAATATTTGCAAAAAGACATTTATATGTTCAAGCCATCTGAAAAGGCACATGCTCATTCACACTGGTGAGCGCCCCCATGAGTGCAATCAATGCAATAAGGCATTTACATATTTATATAGTCTGAAGAAGCACATGCTGATTCATAACAGAGAGTAACCTTATAAATGTTAAATATGCAGTAAGACATTCACACAATTATGAAGCTTGAAATGGCACATGCTTATTCGTAAAGGAGAACGTTGCAAATGTGAAATATGCAATAAGGAATTTAATCAATCAGGCAATTTAAATGAGACGTAGTTGGGAGCGTGATGAAAATCAATGAATCTAAACTATCTGTTAAATTGAATTTAAATATTTGTCATAAAGTATTCTTGCATGTAATGTACAATTTGTATGAAATATACAGTAAACATTTAATTATATGCATTTATTGATAAACAAGGCAATTGTTACATAATATATTATTTTATAATTTTTTTTTCATATTTTGATTTTTTTATGATAAGTATTAACCACTGGATTAGCAACCACTGGTTCAGAATTTAGCTGACATACATAGTTATATAACAATTTTTTTTTTAATTTGATATTAAAATAAAATAAATGAAAAGAATTATAAAGATACTTTGCATTTATTTTATTTTGATATATAACTATGTGTTATATTTAGTTCTCACATTTTTGAGTTTTTGTTTTGATTATTTGTGTGCTCTGAATATAAGTTAAATCAACACTTGAAACGTTTATTACCACAATAAAGACATTTTTCTTCAATAAAATTGATGTGTTATCCTCGTCATCCTGATAAATTTCGAATATTTACCTCCTTTTCTTTTTTGAGCCCATTGTTATAAATGTAAATAATAATAATAATAAATGTGCAAAAGCAAAAAGCGCCACCTCAACAAATACTTGCGTGTGTGTATCATTGCTACAAAATTAATATTAATATATTTGTCTAACTGATAACACAACATGCGAATCAATAAAATTTCTTATGGCCATGTCTCAAAATTGTATAGCGCTTTTAGGGGGTATTCTAGTGTAGAAATTCAAAAAATCGATTTTTTTTATTTCATATTTTCAAAGTTTAACTATCTAAGAATATGGGTACGAGAAGGTTTTTGAAAATTTGAATTATTTTCGGAGATATAGGCATTTTACTGACTTGGCCTTCCATACTGGTTTGGCTTCACGCAAAACTTTTAATGCGTTTTTCTCAGAACAGACTTTTCCAGTACTGTTGACACGATTTCTCGAGTTTTAATCGACCGATTCACTTGAAATGTTCAGAGAGTCTTGTTTATAGACCTATCTATAGCCCCAACTAGGATTATTCCCTAATTCCAATCTTTACTATTTTTGAAAAAATCGAGAAACTCAAAAAACAGTTAAAAAAACACTTTTTTTCAAACAGTCGCCAATTTGTAAAAAAAAAAAAATTTACTCATCGCTAGTTCGGGCGATTGCGACATCATTGTAGATTAATATTTTTATTTTTTGCCTTTCCAATGGCTAGGAGGGCTGAAATCATGTCAAGACTGAGGTGCCAATTTTTTGAGACCACCCGCTTTATCAGCTGCCAGTTTTTACAATTTTCAACTTTTTTTTTTTAATTTTTGTTTTGTATTTTAATAATATTAATAAACAAGTGGTAAAATGGATAGTAAAAACATGCATTGCTTTCTTTTACGACACTTTAAAAAATACCTAAAATTAATCGCTCTACACTAGAATACCCCCTTGAGCAACACATGTTTGTTCTAGTATTGTGGCCAATAACAAAACAATTTAAATTAGGCTTGAAACGAATAATATATTCGGCGAAATGCCGAACACCAACTATTCGACTATTCGCAACTATTCGACAGGTTTTTAGAGCATAAACTCGTTCGTATCAATGTAAATACTATTCGCAGTTGTTATATTACTAACTTACTACATGTTTATTCAATTTTTATTCCTATGCTTGCATCGACCTGGTTACTCTTTATTATTTGGAGAATTTGGCACCATTTACACTTTTCGGACGAATACCGAATACTTATATGTGATACGAAAATAAATCAAAAAGCGATTCTTTACAGATATATAAATGTATTTCAAATTATTTCTTTCATAAACATTCAATATTCTATTTTATAAACACAATATTATCTACATATATATATAAAAATAAGTCGGGTTTTCCTTCCTGACGATTTAACTCCAGAACGCACCAACCGATTTCGACAATTTTGCATTCGCTGGAAAAGTCTCCGCAAGATTTATAACTAAGAAAATTAGTGGTGCCTTAATGCAAATTTCTGGAACTACACGTACCGTAATTAAAAATTCGAGTAATGACATTAGTGAGAATTATCAGAATTATGCTTGGTTAAGTCAACGAGCAATTCTTGCCGCAAAGAATAATGATGTACACGCACTGAATTTCACCATTCAATCAAAAATTGCTGGCGATTTGGTGACATACCAATGATTCTGACTGGTCTTCCGTTTGACTTCAAACGATTGCAATTTTCAGTTCGCCTTGCGTTCGCAATAACAAGTCGCAAGGCCAATCACTTAGTGTTTGCGGGATAAATTTAAAATAGATTTATTTATAACATCATTGTTTTTCACATGGGCAGTTATACGTTGCCTGTTCACGAGTTAGGAAACCATCCGCTTTCTTTGTGTTAACGTCAGACCAGAAAACAAAAAATGTGGTTTACCAAAGAGCACTTCAATGAAACGGATAATTTGCGGATTCACTTTCATTTACTTAGAGAAGTCCAACTAAAAAACACTTCATTTTTGTAATCGAAATAAATTCATTACTGTTGTGTAATAAAATAAAAATTTTTCTTTTCAAATATAAAAGAAACAAAAAATTCTTCATCTTTCTCACGAAACCATCTGGTGGCGAAACGGAGTTTGTCGGGTTTGCTAGTTTCTTATATATTAGGAAGGCTAATCATAATAGTATAAATAAAGACTAATGAAAAGTATTGTTTGTATTTACGATAAAGAGCCTATAATATCTCTCTATTTAGAAATGTTCAGATTAAATATATTGAATGACTTTATGTAATCGTTGAATGATTCTTAACATAAACATATAACAATAACGCGTACTTTGAATATTGAGAAAAGAGTTCTTTACTTGTTCGTGTATATAACCATTTATACAATCGTTAATAGTAACCGAATGTTCGGTGCAAGCCTAATTTAAATTATGACTACGATTATTCATTGAATCTTTTCAACAAAGCCATTTTTCAATTCGTGCATTTTATTTCGGAAATATAAAAAAATCACTTTGTTATCCATATGATTTCTTCACTTATACTCGCATTATTTCGTACGGCGTAGATACGCCCCATAATTATTAGAAACTAGTGGTGTATGGCATCGTGCCTTAAGGCAAATTGCTGGAACTTCCCGTACCGTAATGAAACGTTCGAGGAATTTTAAATGTTTTTATATTGATAATTATAAATATAATTTGTTAAATGTTTAAATAGATTATTATGAATACTGTAGCTTTTATTATTCGTATTTTATAGACAAAATATAAGAGCTTATGAATTGGTGGACGACGTTTATATAAACATACTTGAAAAGTAAATAAACAAAACTAAATCCAGCGGTGCTAGAATGAAGGAACTTATTTCATACTTTTTATATACCGAATTTTTAAATTTAAAATTTAAAGTCTGAATTGTTTTCGATATTCGAAAAAGATATTTTTTTGGAAAATTAATATTAATGTTAATATTGTTGATAATAAAACCATATGCATATTGTTAAGATAGAGATAATTATCATTTATTTGAAAAAAACGCGCCACTTGTTAATTATCAACGCGATTTGATTAATGTCTCATCTTTCTATAAACATACTCTATGCTTCAAATATCTGATCAAAGCGTTTGGTTACTCCCTAGACAATACAATATATAAACTCTATGCTTGAAATAATGAATGTATTTTTTGGTGAAATTATTTATAGTGAAAAATAGTGAAAAAGATTGTTGATTAAAGTAGATTATTATTTAGAATACGAATAGTTTTTAGATATTTAGTGAGTACAAACAGTAAAAAATATTTAAGAATGTCAGAAGAAACATTTATGTCAGTGAATGATCAGGTAATTAAAATTGAACCACCAGAGTATTCTCCGGAAGACATTAAACGCGAAAATGAGTATGAATTTGATGACCTTGATGCTATCGTTAAATCTGAATCGTGTTCTGAGGATGATGATACGTGTTTAGATAGATTCATGAATTCCGAGGTGACAATTGAAGATGAAGTCAAGCAGGAGTCTTATGATTGTGACATTTGTAATCAATCATTTGCAGAATCGCATCATCTAACAAAACATATGGTCGATCATATGCCTAACCATAGCGAAGAACGTCCTTACAAATGTGGTATCTGCCCAAAGACTTTCAGTCAATCAAGAGGGTTGAACACACACATGGTCATTCACAGTGGTGAGCGTCCACATAAATGCAATGAATGCAATAAGGCTTTCATAACTGTAACTCATCTGAAAAGACACATGCTCATTCACAGTGGTAAGCGCTCTCATGAGTGCAATATATGCAAGAAGAGATTCACACAATTAAGGTATCTGAATAGTCACATGCTCATTCATAGTGGTGAGCGTCCACATAAGTGCAATGAATGCAATAAGACATTCACCCTATCAAGGCATCTGAAATATCACATGGTCATTCACAGTGGTAAGCGCACCCATGAATGCAGTATATGCAAGAAGACATTCATATATTTGTGGACTCTGAAAAAACACATGCGCATTCACAGTAATGAGCGCTCTCATGAGTGCAATATATGCAAGAAGGCATTCTTGCAATTAAGTAATCTAAAAAGACACATGCTCATTCACAGTGGTGAGCGCTCACATGAGTGCAGTATATGCAAGAAGACATTCATAGAATTGTGGACTCTGAAAGCACACATGGTCATTCACAGTGATGAGCGTCCACATAAATGCAATGAATGTAATAAGGCATTCAAAACTAAAACTCATTTGAATGATCACATGCTCATTCACAGTGGTAAACGTCCCCATGAGTGCAATATATGCAAGAAGACATTTATACAATTAAGTAATTTGAAAAGACACATGCTCATTCACAGTGGTGAGCGCTCCCATGAATGCATCATATGTAATAAAGCATTCAAAGATATACACGGTTTGAAGGTTCACATGCTCATTCACATTGGTGAGCGTTCCCATGAGTGTAAGGAATGCAATAAGACATTTATACGATTAAGCCATCTGAAAAATCACATGTTCACTCATACTGGTAAGCGCCCCCATGAGTGCAGTATATGCAAGAAGTCGTTTACACAACCATCTCATCTGAAAAGTCACATGCTCGTTCACAGTGGTGAGCGTCCCTATAAATGCAGTATATGCAATAAGGAATTTACTGTATCAAGAGTTTTGAACAAACACATGGCCATTCATAGTAGGAAGCATGATGAAAATCAGTAAAATATCTGTTAAATTGTATTTAAATATTTGGAAACATGTTATAAAATATTCTTACATATAATAGAATGTATAATTAGATAAAATATATTTTATAAATATATAATAATAAACATTAAACATGCATTTATTGATAAACAAGGCAATTGTTTCATATTATATTATTAACTTCCCGTAGGGTAAGTTATTGTAATCGTCCAAAAATCGAAATTGAAAATTTTTACTTTTCTCGACGTTTTGAAGGTTTCTGAACATTTTGGTATACCTCAGAAAAAATGGATGTGTATGTGTGTGTGTGAGTATCTATGGATACAAATTTCCAGTCACGTTTTTGGGCGCACGGATTAACCGACTTTGACGAAGGCGGGTCTAGCAGTTACGGAGATAAAGAGCAAAGAGTGCAGAAAATAGAAATCGAGTTTTTGAGAGAACGGAGCATCCGATTTGAATGTTCTAAAAAAACATTCAATTAGTAATGATTGGCGGAAGTGTTTATCAGATTTTGGCAAAAGCAGGCCCAGCCATTTCGAAGATACGGAGCTAAATGTGCAAAAAATGGCAGTTTTTGAGAGAACTAAGCGTCCGATTTAAATGATTCAAAGAACGTTCTGCTTGTCTTAACAAAATAATTGATTTTGGAAAAAAAAAATGTCTCAACTTTTTTTTTTCAAAAAAAATTTTTTTGTATATCGAAAATAATTCAGATTTTATTTTTAATTCTGACTAAAGTTCTAATATACTTTGAACAAATAATTTCAACTTTGCAATTCAGTTTAGATAATTCTTATAAATATTAGACAATAATACAATATTAATAATAATCTATTTGAAAACATTCAGTATTCCTGGAACATTTCGTTACGGTACGGGAAGTTCCAGCAATTTGCCTTAAGACACGATGCCATACACCCCACTAGTTTTATAACTTTTTATTCACATTTTTTATAAATGAATTATTAATAACGTAATCTATAGATTAGCAACCCACCTTGTTCAGCAGTAATAATACAAGTATTACAAATATGATATCAAGAAATGTTATATTCTACTAAAACGTATGGTTTTTTAAATCATTTATGCCATTTTTTATCGATGGTGACGCCAGATTATTAAACTTCACTAATGTATATTCATTTAGTTATAAAATCCACCAACTGTTGCCCACCATCTATTTATGTATATTATAATTATATGGACCAGTTGTCTCCAATCAATTTCGAACCAATTTAATTTTATTATTAAAAATTCCATTTTAATATTGTTTTAATTTTTCTGCATGAACATTAGAGCGGGTCGATTTGTAAGGGTCAAAAAAAGTTTCCTAGTTACATATGATTTTCAGATTTTAGGGATTAAAATAAGATACTTTGCTGAAGAAACTATACCTCTAAAATGAATTCTGATGTCCCGTGCTTTGACCCCAAAGATAAGGGTTAAAATTTGAAAAATTCTATTGTGACCCATTTAGAGTGCCCCAATTGCGTCCAAATGTATGACAGACCTCCACTAACTTCGGAAAACCGATCCATCCATGCATCTGGATCACCCCCCCTGAGGGGGTTTTTCAAAATTTAACCCTTATCTTTGGGCCAATGCACGGGTCATCAGAATTCATTTTTGAGGTATGGTTTCTTCAGCAAAGTATCTTATTTTGATCGTTAAAATCTGAAAATCATATGTTTATTACTTTAATAATAATTTAATACTTTTTTTGTTTATGTTATCATAAGGTTAGAAAAATATGAATTAAAATTCAGTGAAAAACACTCGGTATGGTGAAAATTTATTCGACTACTGAGATAGCTATTATGAAATAGAGATTTATGGAAGGAGGGTGAAAATTTAGAATTGTAGCATTATTTAGTTCCGCATTAAGCAAATTAAAATTAAAAGAAAATTGATTCCAAAATTTGAAAAAATGTTAAGGATGGACCTTAACATTTCCTTGATAGAAATAAATAGTTTTTAGAGGTAAATATAGTTGTGTGTATTTTTCAATTTCAAATTATATGAAATTGAATTATCTTTGATTTGTATATATGTGTTGAGTTTCAAACAAGGAATTCAATAGTAATGAAAAACCAAAAAGTTTTTCAGATAATTATTATTTATTGTCGACGTTTCGGATCTATATGCTTATTTATCTAGGGTGTGAATGTTCCATCTTCAGCTCTTGAACATGATCTTGATTAGAAATAAACAAACAAAGCTGATATCTTATGTAGGACATGAAATTAATAAATTCTCTTCTAAATTATTTATTATTAATTTATTGTCTAGGTAATAATCATTTTGGAATTAATAATAAAGACGTTTATTGCCAAGAGAACGATAATGCATTTGAAAAAGGGCGCCACTTGCTAAATATCAACGCGCTTTGGTAAATGTCTCATCTTTCTAAAAGCATTGCTCTATGCTTCACATGTCAAATAATGAACTAAATTTTAGTTGAAATCATTTAAAGCATTGTTGATTAAATTAGATTATTATTTCGTAAATATTTAATGAGTATAAGCATTAAAAATATTTAAACATGTCAGACGAAACAATTACGTCTATGAATGATCAGGCAATTAAAATTGAACCAACAGAATATTCAGCAGAAGACATTGAAGGCGAAAATGATGATGAATTTGGATGCTATTGTTAAATTTGAATCGTGTTCTAAGGATAATGATGCATGTTTAGAAAGATTCATGAATTCCGAGGTGACAATTGAAGATGAAGTCAAACAGGAGTCTTTCGATTGTGAAATTTGTAATCAATCATTTGCAGAATCGCATCATCTAACAAAACATATGGTCGATCACATGCCTAACCCTAGTGAAGAACGTCCTTACAAATGTGAAATCTGTCAAAAGACTTTCAAACAATCAAAAAGATTGAAATCACATATGGTCATTCACAGTGGTGAGCGTCCACATAAATGCAATGAATGCAATAAAACATTCAAACAATCAGCTTATTTAAAAAAACACATGCTCATTCACAGTGATGAGCGCCCCCAAGAGTGTATTATTTGCAATAAGGCATTCAAAACTATAGCTCGTTTGAAAAATCACATGCTCATTCACAGTGGTAAGCGCTTCTATGAGTGCAGTATATGCAAGAAGACATTCATACAACCGGAGGTTCTGAAAAGACACATGCTCATTCACAGTGGTGAGCGCCCCCATGAGTGCAGTATATGCAAGAAGACATTCATACAAATGGGGAATCTGACAAGACACATGCTCATTCACAGTGCCGAGCGTCCCTATGAATGCAATGAGTGCAATAAGACATTCAAACAATTAAGGGATCTGGAATCTCACACGCTCATTCACAGCGGTACGGGCTCCCATGAGTGCAATGTATGCAAGAAGACATTCACACATTTAGGTGCACTGAAAAGACACATGCTCAATCACGGTGATGAGTGGCCTCATAAGTGTATTATATGCAATAAGGCATTCATACAAACAAGTCATCTGAAAACTCACATGCTCATTCACAGTGGTCAGCGTTCCTATGAGTGCAGTATATGCAATAAGACATTCATAACTATAAATAATCTAAAAAGACACATGCTCATCCACAGTGGTCAGCGTTCCCATGAATGCAGTATATGCAAGAAGACATTCATACAATCGGGGACACTAAAAAGACACATGCTCATACACAGTGGTGAGCGTCCCCATGAATGCAATCAATGCAAGAAGACATTTATGCAATCAAACGATCTGAAAAGACACATGCTCGTTCACAGTGGTGAAGCGCCCCCATGAGTGCAATATTTGCAAAAGGACATTTACATGTTCAAGGCATCTGAATAGGCACATGCTCATTCACACTGGTGAGCACCCCTGTAAGTGCAATAAATGCAATGAGACATTTGCACATTTAAGTAGTCTGAAGAAGCACATGCTGATTCATAACAGAGAGCATCCTTATAAATGTTAAATATGCAGTAAGACATTCACACAATTATGAAGCTTCAAAGGGCACATGCTTATTCATAAAGGAGAACGTTGCAAATGTGAAATATGCAATAAGGAATTTAATCAATCAGGCATAGTCGAGGGCGTGATGAAAATAAATGAATCTAAACATTTCAGTTAAATTGAATTTAAATATTTATGTGCAAATTGTATGAAATATACAGTAAACGTTAAATTATATGCATTTATTGATAAAAAAGGCAATTGTTACATAATATATTATTTTATGTGCTAGAATGAAGGAACTCATCTTATATTTTACATATACTGAATTTTTAAATTTAAAATTTAAAGTCTGAATTATTTTCGATATTTTTTTAATTTTTGTTTTGTATTTTAATAATATTAATAAACAAGTGGTAAAATGGATAGTAAAAACATGCATTGCTTTCTTTTACGACACTTTAAAAAATACCTAAAATTAATCGCTCTACACTAGAATACCCCCTTGAGCAACACATGTTTGTTCTAGTATTGTGGCCAATAACAAAACAATTTAAATTAGGCTTGAAACGAATAATATATTCGGCGAAATGCCGAACACCAACTATTCGACTATTCGCAACTATTCGACAGGTTTTTAGAGCATAAACTCGTTCGTATCAATGTAAATACTATTCGCAGTTGTTATATTACTAACTTACTACATGTTTATTCAATTTTTATTCCTATGCTTGCATCGACCTGGTTACTCTTTATTATTTGGAGAATTTGGCACCATTTACACTTTTCGGACGAATACCGAATACTTATATGTGATACGAAAATAAATCAAAAAGCGATTCTTTACAGATATATAAATGTATTTCAAATTATTTCTTTCATAAACATTCAATATTCTATTTTATAAACACAATATTATCTACATATATATATAAAAATAAGTCGGGTTTTCCTTCCTGACGATTTAACTCCAGAACGCACCAACCGATTTCGACAATTTTGCATTCGCTGGAAAAGTCTCCGCAAGATTTATAACTAAGAAAATTAGTGGTGCCTTAATGCAAATTTCTGGAACTACACGTACCGTAATTAAAAATTCGAGTAATGACATTAGTGAGAATTATCAGAATTATGCTTGGTTAAGTCAACGAGCAATTCTTGCCGCAAAGAATAATGATGTACACGCACTGAATTTCACCATTCAATCAAAAATTGCTGGCGATTTGGTGACATACCAATGATTCTGACTGGTCTTCCGTTTGACTTCAAACGATTGCAATTTTCAGTTCGCCTTGCGTTCGCAATAACAAGTCGCAAGGCCAATCACTTAGTGTTTGCGGGATAAATTTAAAATAGATTTATTTATAACATCATTGTTTTTCACATGGGCAGTTATACGTTGCCTGTTCACGAGTTAGGAAACCATCCGCTTTCTTTGTGTTAACGTCAGACCAGAAAACAAAAAATGTGGTTTACCAAAGAGCACTTCAAGGAAACGGATAATTTGCAGATTCACTTTCATTTACTTAGAGAAGTCCAACTAAAAAACACTTCATTTTTGTAATCGAAATAAATTCATTACTGTTGTGTAATAAAATAAAATTTTTCTTTTCAAATATAAAAGAAACAAAAAATTCTTCATCTTTCTCACGAAACCATCTGGTGGCGAAACGGAGTTTGTCGGGTTTGCTAGTTTCTTATATATTAGGAAGGCTAATCATAATAGTATAAATAAAGACTAATGAAAAGTATTGTTTGTATTTACGATAAAGAGCCTATAATATCTCTCTATTTAGAAATGTTCAGATTAAATATATTGAATGACTTTATGTAATCGTTGAATGATTCTTAACATAAACATATAACAATAACGCGTACTTTGAATATTGAGAAAAGAGTTCTTTACTTGTTCGTGTATATAACCATTTATACAATCGTTAATAGTAACCGAATGTTCGGTGCAAGCCTAATTTAAATTATGACTACGATTATTCATTGAATCTTTTCAACAAAGCCATTTTTCAATTCGTGCATTTTATTTCGGAAATATAAAAAAATCACTTTGTTATCCATATGATTTCTTCACTTATACTCGCATTATTTCGTACGGCGTAGATACGCCCCATAATTATTAGAAACTAGTGGTGTATGGCATCGTGCCTTAAGGCAAATTGCTGGAACTTCCCGTACCGTAATGAAACGTTCGAGGAATTTTAAATGTTTTTATATTGATAATTATAAATATAATTTGTTAAATGTTTAAATAGATTATTATGAATACTGTAGCTTTTATTATTCGTATTTTATAGACAAAATATAAGAGCTTATGAATTGGTGGACGACGTTTATATAAACATACTTGAAAAGTAAATAAACAAAACTAAATCCAGCGGTGCTAGAATGAAGGAACTTATTTCATACTTTTTATATACCGAATTTTTAAATTTAAAATTTAAAGTCTGAATTGTTTTCGATATTCGAAAAAGATATTTTTTTGGAAAATTAATATTAATGTTAATATTGTTGATAATAAAACCATATGCATATTGTTAAGATAGAGATAATTATCATTTATTTGAAAAAAACGCGCCACTTGTTAATTATCAACGCGATTTGATTAATGTCTCATCTTTCTATAAACATACTCTATGCTTCAAATATCTGATCAAAGCGTTTGGTTACTCCCTAGACAATACAATATATAAACTCTATGCTTGAAATAATGAATGTATTTTTTGGTGAAATTATTTATAGTGAAAAATAGTGAAAAAGATTGTTGATTAAAGTAGATTATTATTTAGAATACGAATAGTTTTTAGATATTTAGTGAGTACAAACAGTAAAAAATATTTAAGAATGTCAGAAGAAACATTTATGTCAGTGAATGATCAGGTAATTAAAATTGAACCACCAGAGTATTCTCCGGAAGACATTAAACGCGAAAATGAGTATGAATTTGATGACCTTGATGCTATCGTTAAATCTGAATCGTGTTCTGAGGATGATGATACGTGTTTAGATAGATTCATGAATTCCGAGGTGACAATTGAAGATGAAGTCAAGCAGGAGTCTTATGATTGTGACATTTGTAATCAATCATTTGCAGAATCGCATCATCTAACAAAACATATGGTCGATCATATGCCTAACCATAGCGAAGAACGTCCTTACAAATGTGGTATCTGCCCAAAGACTTTCAGTCAATCAAGAGGGTTGAACACACACATGGTCATTCACAGTGGTGAGCGTCCACATAAATGCAATGAATGCAATAAGGCTTTCATAACTGTAACTCATCTGAAAAGACACATGCTCATTCACAGTGGTAAGCGCTCTCATGAGTGCAATATATGCAAGAAGAGATTCACACAATTAAGGTATCTGAATAGTCACATGCTCATTCATAGTGGTGAGCGTCCACATAAGTGCAATGAATGCAATAAGACATTCACCCTATCAAGGCATCTGAAATATCACATGGTCATTCACAGTGGTAAGCGCACCCATGAATGCAGTATATGCAAGAAGACATTCATATATTTGTGGACTCTGAAAAAACACATGCGCATTCACAGTAATGAGCGCTCTCATGAGTGCAATATATGCAAGAAGGCATTCTTGCAATTAAGTAATCTAAAAAGACACATGCTCATTCACAGTGGTGAGCGCTCACATGAGTGCAGTATATGCAAGAAGACATTCATAGAATTGTGGACTCTGAAAGCACACATGGTCATTCACAGTGATGAGCGTCCACATAAATGCAATGAATGTAATAAGGCATTCAAAACTAAAACTCATTTGAATGATCACATGCTCATTCACAGTGGTAAACGTCCCCATGAGTGCAATATATGCAAGAAGACATTTATACAATTAAGTAATTTGAAAAGACACATGCTCATTCACAGTGGTGAGCGCTCCCATGAATGCATCATATGTAATAAAGCATTCAAAGATATACACGGTTTGAAGGTTCACATGCTCATTCACATTGGTGAGCGTTCCCATGAGTGTAAGGAATGCAATAAGACATTTATACGATTAAGCCATCTGAAAATCACATGTTCACTCATACTGGTAAGCGCCCCCATGAGTGCAGTATATGCAAGAAGTCGTTTACACAACCATCTCATCTGAAAAGTCACATGCTCGTTCACAGTGGTGAGCGTCCCTATAAATGCAGTATATGCAATAAGGAATTTACTGTATCAAGAGTTTTGAACAAACACATGGCCATTCATAGTAGGAAGCATGATGAAAATCAGTAAAATATCTGTTAAATTGTATTTAAATATTTGGAAACATGTTATAAAATATTCTTACATATAATAGAATGTATAATTAGATAAAATATATTTTATAAATATATAATAATAAACATTAAACATGCATTTATTGATAAACAAGGCAATTGTTTCATATTATATTATTAACTTCCCGTAGGGTAAGTTATTGTAATCGTCCAAAAATCGAAATTGAAAATTTTTACTTTTCTCGACGTTTTGAAGGTTTCTGAACATTTTGGTATACCTCAGAAAAAATGGATGTGTATGTGTGTGTGTGAGTATCTATGGATACAAATTTCCAGTCACGTTTTTGGGCGCACGGATTAACCGACTTTGACGAAGGCGGGTCTAGCAGTTACGGAGATAAAGAGCAAAGAGTGCAGAAAATAGAAATCGAGTTTTTGAGAGAACGGAGCATCCGATTTGAATGTTCTAAAAAAACATTCAATTAGTAATGATTGGCGGAAGTGTTTATCAGATTTTGGCAAAAGCAGGCCCAGCCATTTCGAAGATACGGAGCTAAATGTGCAAAAAATGGCAGTTTTTGAGAGAACTAAGCGTCCGATTTAAATGATTCAAAGAACGTTCTGCTTGTCTTAACAAAATAATTGATTTTGGAAAAAAAAAATGTCTCAACTTTTTTTTTCAAAAAAAATTTTTTTGTATATCGAAAATAATTCAGATTTTATTTTTAATTCTGACTAAAGTTCTAATATACTTTGAACAAATAATTTCAACTTTGCAATTCAGTTTAGATAATTCTTATAAATATTAGACAATAATACAATATTAATAATAATCTATTTGAAAACATTCAGTATTCCTGGAACATTTCGTTACGGTACGGGAAGTTCCAGCAATTTGCCTTAAGACACGATGCCATACACCCCACTAGTTTTATAACTTTTTATTCACATTTTTTATAAATGAATTATTAATAACGTAATCTATAGATTAGCAACCCACCTTGTTCAGCAGTAATAATACAAGTATTACAAATATGATATCAAGAAATGTTATATTCTACTAAAACGTATGGTTTTTTAAATCATTTAAGCCATTTTTTATCGATGGTGACGCCAGATTATTAAACTTCACTAATGTATATTCATTTAGTTATAAAATCCACCAACTGTTGCCCACCATCTATTTATGTATATTATAATTATATGGACCAGTTGTCTCCAATCAATTTCGAACCAATTTAATTTTATTATTAAAAATTCCATTTTAATATTGTTTTAATTTTTCTGCATGAACATTAGAGCGGGTCGATTTGTAAGGGTCAAAAAAAGTTTCCTAGTTACATATGATTTTCAGATTTTAGGGATTAAAATAAGATACTTTGCTGAAGAAACTATACCTCTAAAATGAATTCTGATGTCCCGTGCTTTGACCCCAAAGATAAGGGTTAAAATTTGAAAAATTCTATTGTGACCCATTTAGAGTGCCCCAATTGCGTCCAAATGTATGACAGACCTCCACTAACTTCGGAAAACCGATCCATCCATGCATCTGGATCACCCCCCCCTGAGGGGGTTTTTCAAAATTTAACCCTTATCTTTGGGCCAATGCACGGGTCATCAGAATTCATTTTTGAGGTATGGTTTCTTCAGCAAAGTATCTTATTTTGATCGTTAAAATCTGAAAATCATATGTTTATTACTTTAATAATAATTTAATACTTTTTTTGTTTATGTTATCATAAGGTTAGAAAAATATGAATTAAAATTCAGTGAAAAACACTCGGTATGGTGAAAATTTATTCGACTACTGAGATAGCTATTATGAAATAGAGATTTATGGAAGGAGGGTGAAAATTTAGAATTGTAGCATTATTTAGTTCCGCATTAAGCAAATTAAAATTAAAAGAAAATTGATTCCAAAATTTGAAAAAATGTTAAGGATGGACCTTAACATTTCCTTGATAGAAATAAATAGTTTTTAGAGGTAAATATAGTTGTGTGTATTTTTCAATTTCAAATTATATGAAATTGAATTATCTTTGATTTGTATATATGTGTTGAGTTTCAAACAAGGAATTCAATAGTAATGAAAAACCAAAAAGTTTTTCAGATAATTATTATTTATTGTCGACGTTTCGGATCTATATGCTTATTTATCTAGGGTGTGAATGTTCCATCTTCAGCTCTTGAACATGATCTTGATTAGAAATAAACAAACAAAGCTGATATCTTATGTAGGACATGAAATTAATAAATTCTCTTCTAAATTATTTATTATTAATTTATTGTCTAGGTAATAATCATTTTGGAATTAATAATAAAGACGTTTATTGCCAAGAGAACGATAATGCATTTGAAAAAGGGCGCCACTTGCTAAATATCAACGCGCTTTGGTAAATGTCTCATCTTTCTAAAAGCATTGCTCTATGCTTCACATGTCAAATAATGAACTAAATTTTAGTTGAAATCATTTAAAGCATTGTTGATTAAATTAGATTATTATTTCGTAAATATTTAATGAGTATAAGCATTAAAAATATTTAAACATGTCAGACGAAACAATTACGTCTATGAATGATCAGGCAATTAAAATTGAACCAACAGAATATTCAGCAGAAGACATTGAAGGCGAAAATGATGATGAATTTGATGCCATTGTTAAATTTGAATCGTGTTCTAAGGATAATGATGCATGTTTAGAAAGATTCATGAACTCCGAAGTGACAATTGAAGATGAAGTCAAACAGGAGTCTTTTGATTGTGACATTTGTAATCAATCATTTGCAGAATTGCATCATCTAACAAAACATATGGTCGATCATATGCCTAATCCTAGTGAAGAACGTCCTTACAAATGTGAAATCTGTCAAAAGACTTTCAAACAATCAAAAAGATTGAAAACACATATGGTCATTCACAGTGGTGAGCGTCCACATAAATGCAATGAATGCAATAAAACATTCAAACAATCAGCTTATTTGAAAAAACACATGCTCATTCACAGTGATGAGCGCCCCCATGAGTGTATTATTTGCAATAAGGCATTCAAAACTATTGCTCGTCTGAATAATCACATGCTTATTCACAGTTGTAAGCGCTTCTATGAGTGCAGTATATGCAAGAAGACATTCATACAACCGGAGGTTCTGAAAAGACACATGCTCATTCACAGTGGTGAGCGCCCCCATGAGTGCAGTATATGCAAGAAGACATTCATACAAATGGGGAATCTGACAAGACACATGCCCATTCACAGTGCCGAGCGTCCCTATGAATGCAATGAATGCAATAAGACATTCAAACAATTAAGGGATCTGGAATCTCACATGCTCATTCACAGCGGTACGGGCTCCCATGAGTGCAATGTATGCAAGAAGACATTCACACATTTAGGTGCACTGAAAAGACACATGCTCAATCACGGTGATGAGTGGCCTCATAAGTGTATTATATGCAATAAGGCATTCATACAAACAAGTCATCTGAAAACTCACATGCTCATTCACAGTGGTCAGCGTTCCTATGAGTGCAGTATATGCAATAAGACATTCATAACTATAAATAATCTAAAAAGACACATGCTCATCCACAGTGGTCAGCGTTCCCATAAATGCAGTATATGCAAGAAGACATTCATACAATCGGGGACACTAAAAAGACACATGCTCATACACAGTGGTGAGCGTCCCCATGAATGCAATCAATGCAAGAAGACATTTATACAATCAAACGATCTGAAAAGACACATGCTCGTTCACAGTGGTGAAGCGCCCCCATGAGTGCAATATTTGCAAAAGGACATTTACATGTTCAAGGCATCTGAATAGGCACATGCTCATTCACACTGGTGAGCACCCCTGTAAGTGCAATAAATGCAATGAGACATTCGCACATTTAAGTAGTCTGAAGAAGCACATGCTGATTCATAACAGAGAGCATCCTTATAAATGTTAAATATGCAGTAAGACATTCACACAATTATGAAGCTTCAAAGGGCACATGCTTATTCATAAAGGAGAACGTTGCAAATGTGAAATATGCAATAAGGAATTTAATCAAACAGGCATAGTCAAGGGCGTGATGAAAATAAATGAATCTAAACATTTCAGTTAAATTGAATTTAAATATTTATGTGCAAATTGTATGAAATATACAGTAAACGTTAAATTATATGCATTTATTGATAAAAAAGGCAATTGTTACATAATATATTATTTTATGTGCTAGAATGAAGGAACTCATCTTATATTTTACATATACTGAATTTTTAAATTTAAAATTTAAAGTCTGAATTGTTTTCGATATTCGAAAAAGATATTTTTTTGGAAAATTAATATTAATGTTAATAATAAAACCATTTGCAGACTGTTGAGATAAAGAGAATTATCATTTATTTGAAAAAAACGCGCCACTTGTTAATTATCAACGCGATTTGATTATTGTCTCATCTTTCTATAAACATACTCTATGCTTCAAATGTCTAATCGAAGCGTTACTCTATGCTTGAAATAATGAATGTATTTTTTGGTGAAATTATTTATCAGACAATATAATAATCATAATAATAATAATAATACTTGTTTGGCTGTGATAATAATGATCTTGACAGGTTTTAGCTGTCAAAGTTATGAATCCAATGCATTTCAACTTGACAGCTAACTTCTATTTCGTCGCCAACTTGAAGGCTGAAATGTTAGCAAATGTCAAAATTCTTAGCATGATTTAAGGTGGTGTTTTTTTTGGTGAAATTATTGAAGAATAGATTGAAGTAGATTATTATTTAGAATACGAATAGGTTTTAGATATTTAGTGAGTACAAACAGTGAAAATATTTAAAAATGTCAGAAGAAACATTTATGTCAGTGAATGATCAGGCAATTAAAATTGAACCACCAGAATATTCAGCAGAAGGCATTAATCGCGAAAATGAAGTGGAATTTGATGACCTTGATGCTATCGTTAAATCTGAATCGTGTTCTGAGGATGATGATACGTGTTTAGAAAGATTCAAGAACTCCGAGGTGACAATTGAAGATGAAGTCAAACAGGAGTCTTTCGATTGTGAAATTTGTAATCAATCATTTGCAGAATCGCATCATCTAACAAAACATATGGTTGATCATATGCCTAACCCTAGTGAAGAACGTCCTTACAAGTGTGAAATCTGTCAAAAGACTTTCAAACAATCAAAAGGGTTGAAAGCACACACGGTCATTCACAGTAGTGAGCGTCCACATAAATGCAATGAATGCAATAAGACATTCACACTATTAGGACATCTGAAATATCACATGCTCATTCACAGTGGTAAGCGCTTCTATGAGTGCAGTATATGCAAAAAGACATTCATAGAATCGTGGACTCTGAAAACTCACATGCTCATTCACAGTGGTGAGCGTCCACATAAATGCAATGAATGCAATAAGGCATTCAAAACTAAACCTCATTTGAATAATCACATGCTCATTCACAGTGGTGAGCGTTCCCATGAGTGCAATATATGCAATAAGATATTTATAAAATTAAGTAATTTGAAAAGACACATGCTCATTCACAGTGGTGAGTGCTCTCATGAGTGCATCATATGCAATAAGGCATTCAAGGATGTAAGCGGTTTGAAAGTTCACATGCTCATTCATAGTGGTGAGCGTCCCTATGAGTGCAGTATATGCATGAAGACATTCATTCAATCAAATGTTCTGAAAAGACACATGCTCATTCACAGTGGTAAGCGCCCCCATGAGTGCAATTTATGCAAGAAGACATTCACACATTTTGATGTTCTGAAAAGACACATGCTCATTCATAGTGGTGAGCGTCCTTATGAATGCAGTATATGCAATAAGGCATTCATACAAACAAGTCATCTGAAAAATCATATGCTCATTCACAGTGGTCAGCGCTCCCATGAGTGCAGTATATGCAAGAAGACATTCATAACTATAACTAATCTAGAAAGACACATGCTCGTTCACAGTGGTGAGCGTCCCTATGAATGCCATGTATGCAATAAGAGATTTACACAATTAGGTACTCTGAAAAGACATATGATGATTCATACAGATTAGCGTCCTTATGAATGTGAAATATGCAATAAGGAATCTATCAAGAGTTTTGAAGAGACACATGGACATTCATAGTAGGAAGTGTGATCAAAATCAGTAAAATATCTTTTAAATTGTATTTACATTTTTGGAAACTTGTTATAAAATATTCTTACATATAATAGAATGTATAATTAGTATAAAATACATTTTATAAATATATAATAATAAACATTAAACATGCATTTATTGATAAACAAGGCAATTGTTTCATATTATATTATTTCATAATTTTTTTATTCATATTTTTTGTAAATTAAGTATACCCATGCACCTTGGTCAGCAGCAGTAATACAAGATATTACAAATATGATATCAAGAAATGTTATATTCCTCATCATTTAAATCATTTATGCAATTTTTTATTGATATTATTTTAAACTTGACTAATATTTATATATATATATATATATATATATATATATTTAGTTATAGAATCCAAAATTTTTTTCCCACCATCTGTTTTATTGTATTTTTAACGTTCTATGATATGGAGCCATTGTCTTTAATCAATTAGGAAATAATGTAATTTTATTATTAAAAATTTCAGTTTAATTTTTTTTTTAATTTTTCTGCAAGGGCAAGGTAACCAATTTGCTAATTTCATTTTCTCGATATATAAAATAAAATTGTGAAAAGTTTAAGACCAATATTGGGAGAGGTATGTACGTGCTTATGAGCCAAAACTTGAATTGTCGTCAACATTTTTATAAAAACGGTTGCACTGATTTCATGAATTCAAAAACTCCCGTGTAATAACAATCGGTCGAGCCGTTTCTTTATAATCAGCAGATAAGTACAAAATTTTTCGTCCGCGTTTTAACAAAAAATCCTTTCCGATTTTGAAAAATCTAAAGCTAATCTCTGTTTAAATTATATTAAACAGTTGAGCTTGCCCTAAGGCAAAATGCCACTTACACCCAGTTGATGTAAGTGACCTGCAATCTATGACAATAGAGGGAGTGAATGGGTCTTCGCTCATTTACAAAATAAGTATAAAATCTAGATAAGAATGATAACGTTCTAGATCCTCCCCCCACGAAGTAATGTCTAACGGCGGTTTCTGTGGGGACTAGAGGTAGGGGCAAAGCGGAGGTTTTCAGTCGGTATTATAACCATGCCGTATTGAGTCCGACATACCCAGACAAAAGACCTAGTCTGGGATTTATAAATATGCTATGCAGAATCATCGCTATACAAAAAAAAAACAGTTGATTTACTTTTTGGCATCTGAACAAGAAATCTAAATGAAATCAAAATATTTTTGTCTATAAAATACAAGTTTATTAAATAAAATTTTATTAATTATTAGTCATATCGATAAAATTAATTATCATTAGACTAGCCAATATTCAGATTAAATTATCCTGCAAAAACATAATGCATTTCATTATCTTTTCTTAAGTTTTCTTCAGATTTAGTCATTCCCAAATAGATGACTTCATCTTCTTTTTTAGCCAAACTATCCACTTGTTTCTGGGATTGGTTAATTCTGAAAAATGGAAATTTTAATTTTAAATTAATTTAATATTTAGGGAGTGTTTTTATTTAAACTTTCTGAAGGAGAGGTTTATGTTTTTGCCAAAAAATCTGATTTGCTTATTTTATTTTTTCTCGACGTTTTAAGCCATTCTTAATCGAATGAGACCAAACTAGGAAAAAGTATGTGTATGTGTGAACAGATTTTTGACCTTTCAACGACGTTTTCTCAAAAACGTCTGAACCGATATTTTTTAAGTAAAACTTCTCTAGGCGCGACTAGGGTGTAAATCCGTACAAATGCAACGGAAGTGCGTTACGGCAGATAAGATAAGATAAGAGCCGAGTGCCAATGATTCGTCATACGCTCTCGATGATATCATTTCTATACGGGTCGATTGTGATTAGTCGTCGTATATGTGAAAAGAGATCTGTCGTTGTATGCGTAACGGCATCAACGTTGTATGCATACCGATATTAACAAGGAAATCGACATTAATAAATATTCATTTTAAAGTTACATCGTAGTACAAATCTTGATTTAATAAAAAATGCCTGAATCAGAAAAATATTTTACCCTGTTTCTTGAAAATAATAAAACAAATTAAACATTTGTGCCGTGTACTAAACGTAGGTTTATTGATTAGAAGATATTTCTATATTATTCGTAGTTTCTATAAATCTTTGAAGTTATTAAAATGGAAAATATAGGCAAAACAGATATTACAGCTGTTCAAAGAATGATATTATATCGCCAGCGGAAAAGTGAACAAAAATACAAGCAGTCAATTAATGTATGTTAATTTTAATTACATGAAGTTCTTCGAACACAATTATTACATGATGAGTAAAGTTGCAAAAACAATATTTGTTAAGGCGTTGTTTAATATAATCCACTGTGTGAACGATTATTATAGAATTTATTAATCAGCAATTACTTAATTTCTCTAATGAAGGTTCATTTCCAAATGCTAATTACAATGACAAACCGATCATGTCATATTTGAAGTATGACTTTAATTACATTATTGTTTTTAAATATTATACATATTTTTGATGATATTATAAATATATAATTTATAATTTATCATTATATAATTGTGTATAATGGTCGACACTGATAAATGTGTGCATCACGAGTGTTACTAATTTATACCATATTACTAATAAACATTATTCAAAATTGTTATATGATGTATTTATTTTTACTTAAATGCCATCTTGTGCAGTAGCAAATAAGTTTTACTTCACTTGCGTGTGAACCTTACGCGCACTCTTTTTTTATTGATTTTTTATTAGGAAATTTTATAAGGGGTAATGCCACTTGTAACTACTAACCTTGTATTTTTATTTTCGGTTGCATTTTTTGCTCTAGTTGGTTGTTGGACATATCTGATTCGATCATCTTGTTTTTGTTGATTTTCTTCGAGAATTCTCATATTGACATCGTGATTTGCATCTTCGACTCCTGCTCGCATTTTATTTAAGGTTTTTATCCTCATTTTTGTACAAAAACTAAAAAAATATACAAACTTCAATATATATTCTATGAATGACAAAAGGATTTATTATGACCATATATAAAAAATGTGCCATATATTTTATATTTGTTGCTAAAGAATGAAAAATCGAATTCAAAGTCGTTTTATTCAAAACTTTTATATAGGAGTGTATAAAAGTGTTCGCTATAAGGAAATGTTGTAAATTTTATCTAGTTTCACCATATCTAACTGAAAAGGGGAGGTTTTATATGAAATTTTGGAGTTATTTGACAAAAACCAAAAAAATGTCCCGAATTTTCTATTTAATGCTAAATAATGAAAAATCAAATTCAAAGTAGTTTTATCCAAAACTTTTATTTTGGGGTGTATAAAAGTGTTCCCTAGAAAATGTTGTAAATTTTATCTAGTTTTACCATATCTAACTGAAAAGGGGAGGTTTTATATGAAATTTTGGAGTTATTTGACAAAAACCAAAAAAATGTCCCGAATAATCTATGTATTCGTATTTATTCAAAACTTTTATATCGGAGTGTATATAACTGTTGGCATGCAAATGTAGTAAATTTTATCTAGATCTGAATTTTTCCAATAATTATTTTTCGGAAATAATATTATTCATATGATATCGTTTATTTTTGACTTTCTACGATAATGTTTTTAAAGTGAAAAATTTTATAATCAGGACAATCGGTTGATATGAATCCACATTGGAGATAAAAATTTAATGCAAATTTAATTGAATATATATATGTATATATATATATATATATATATATATATATATATATATAAGTTTATCAAAGTTTAACATTCTCAAGCCAATATTTTTTATTCAAATAAATATCGTGACAAACATTAAACAAATATTGCTATCTAGCCAGACATTACAGAAAATCTTTCACTTTTACTGTATTATATATATATATATATATATATATATATATATATATATATATAAAGACAAAACTAAGTTTTTTATGCTAAATCTTGAATTTTTTAAATCTTAAAATTTCCTTCAAATCATAGCATTTTTGGGCCATATCTTCCAAATGAAATTTTATATCAAACTAAGGAAAAATTAGGAAAATTATAATGTTTTTTGAAATATTTTATTTCTTGCTCTAGTTTTTATATTTTAGGTCCTTTTTAAAATTAAATTTCAAAAATGTATTCACAAATAAATTAATTATATGCCAAAATTTGTTAGAAGATCAAAAAAATCCAAAGTTGGTGTTAAATTATTCATACTACAAATAGATCTCTATTTATATTAATTTTATTAAATACTAAAAAAAATAAAATAGCAAATATTGTTCAAAAAGATTATCAATACTACATTATTATTACACAATATGTTTATATATGTTTTTTTAATTTAATTGGATAATATTACAAAATTTAAATGTGCCGGCACAGGTCTATGTCCTTTTCTCAAGTTGAAATAATTTAATTTTATATTAATAGAAAAATTTATAAATTCAAAATAAAATATTAATAATTACCTTTGTATTTCCTTAAAATATATCAGCATCAGAATCATCATAATAAATACAATTAGTATTGGAATTACCAAACATTTTAAAACAAATGCATCTGCCATTTTTTGGAAAATCATTCAAAGTTTATCTGAAATTAAATACAAAAATTATATATATATATATATATATATATATATATATATATATATACAAGTTTTTTTTAAACATGCATATAACACAAAACACACTTAATTTTTCACCAATTTTAAATTTTAAAGTCAACTGCAGAAAAAAAAACACAAAATTTTACATAATTCTCATAATTTTTAACTCATAAATTTGTGTTTAATTTATATATAAATTAAATATGTGTATATAAAATTATGTTTACACATTTACCTTTGAATTTTTCAAATTTGTAACTGCCAAAAATATTTCTATTGTAAATTTGCTATCACCTGTCCATTGATAGTATAATAAACATCACAATTTATTGAATTCTGGTTTTATCACTAAAAAGCTATTATATTTATTTATTTATTCATTTTTATTTAAGACACATCTTAATAATAATGTGTATACTATGTTTGTAATGTGCATTTTATATGATGGCTTTAAAAAAATTATATTGAATGAAGAAAGCCTCTTATCAATTTTCGATAAAATAAGATTAATATTTATTTTCTGATTGTGAATCTTTACAAGTAAAATGATTTTGAAAAATGTTATTTTAAGAATTGATAGATCTGTAAAATGTTAAGAATTAGTTATATATATATATATATATACATATCTGTGTGTGTGTGTGTATTTATCTCTATATATGAAATCGATATTTTCAAATTGTTGACACAAAATTTTGCACTTCTTTTCTAATTACAAAGCTAACCGAGTCCTTATCGAATTTTATTGATTTTTTCTAAATTTTGAGAAAACGTCGACAAAAGTCAAAATTGGCTCGTACAATTTCGAGAAAGAATTATAGCATTCTAGATCTTCCCCTAGTAATTAATTCGAGATCCTCCTCCTTTAACCAGTATTATACCTAGAGGGTACCGAGTCTGACATACCCAGACAAAAGACTTAGTCGGTGATGAATAAATCATATTTTTTCCAATTTTGTTTCAAACTTCTTTACACGTTTTTGAGAAAACTTCGACAGAAGCCAAAAATTTGCTCGTTTAATTTCAAAGCAAAAATTATAGCATTCTAGTTCCTCCCCCTAGTAATTAATTCTAGATTTTTCTCCTTTAATCGGTATTATGCCTAGAGGGTATTGAGTCCGACATACCCAGATAAAAGACCTAGTCTGAAAGGCATAAAATATAGTTTTTCTAATTTTGTTTTCAAACTTCTTTGAGAGTTTTTGGGTAAACGTCGACAGAAGTTAAAAATTAGCTCGTATAATTTTATGGCAAGAATTATAGCATTCTAGATCCTCTCCCTAGTAATTATTTCTATATCCTTTTTCTTTAATGGGTATTATGCCTAGAGGGTAACGAGTCCGACATACCCAGACAAAAGACCTAGTCTGGGATGCATAAACTATACTTTTTTCCAATTTTCTTCTCAAATTTCTTTAAGCGTTTTTGAGAAAACGTCCACAGATTTCAAAAATTGGCTCGTATAATTTTATGGCAAGAATTATAGCATTCTAGATCCCTCTCCCTAGTAATTAACTCTAGATCCTCCCCCTTTAATCGGTGTTATACCTAGAAGGTATCGAGTCCGACATATCCCGACAAAAGACCTAGTCTGAATTTCATAAAATATATTTTTTCTAATTTTGTTCTCAAACTTCTTTAGGCGTTTTTGGGAAAACGTCGGGATAAGTCAAAAGTTGGCTCGTATAATTTTAGAGCAAAAATTATAGCATTCTAGATCCTCTCCCTAGTAATTGATTCTCTAGATTCTTCTCCTTTAATCGGTATTATACCTAGAGGGTTTCGAGTCCAACATACCTAGACAAAAGACCTAGTCTGAATTGCATAAAATATATTTTTTCTAATTTTCTTCTCAAATTTCTTATCATTTATTTGAAAAAAAAAACGCGCCACTTGTTAATTATCAACGCGATTTGATTAATGTCTCATCTTTCTATAAACAAACTCTATGCTTCAAATGCCTAATCAAAGCGTTACTCTATGCTTGAAATAATGAATGTATTTTTTGGTGAAATTATTTATCATATTGAAAAAGATTGTTGATTAAAGTAGATTATTATTTAGAATACGAATAGTTTTTAGATATTTAGTGGGTACAAACAGTGTAAAATATTTTAAAATGTCAGAAAAAACATTTATGTCAGTGAATGATCAGACAATTAAAATTGAAGCACCCGAATATTTACCGGAAGACATTAAACGCGAAAATGAGTATGACTTTGATGATCTTGATGCTATCGTTAAATCTGAATCGTGTTTTGAGGATGATGATACGTGTTTAGATAGATTCATGAATTCCGAGGTGACAATTGAAGACGAAGTCAAACAGGAGTCTTTCGATTGTGACATTTGTAATCAATCATTTGCAGAATCGCATCATCTAACAAAACATATGGTCGATCACATGCCTAAGCGTAGCAAAGAACGTCCTTACAAATGTGAAATCTGCCCAAAGACTTTCAGTCAATCAAGAGGGTTGAACACACACATGGTCATTCATAGTGGTGAGCGTCCACATAAATGCAATGAATGCAATAAAACATTCACACTTTTAACGCATTTGAAATATCACATGCTCATACACAGTGGTAAGCGCCCCTATGAGTGCAGTACATGCAAGAAGACATTCATACAATTAAGTCATCTAAAAGCTCACATGCCCGTTCACAGTGGTGATCGCCCCCATGAGTGCAGTATATGCAAGAAGACATTCATACAATTAAGTAATCTAAAAGCTCACATGCCCGTTCACAGTGGTGAGCGCCCCCATGAGTGCAGTATATGCAAGAAGACATTCACACAATTAAGGTATCTGAAATATCACATGTTCATTCACAGTGGGGAGCGCCCCCATGAGTGCAATGTATGCAAGAAGACATTCACACATTTTGTTGTCCTGAAAAGACACATGCGCATTCACAGTGGTGAGCGTCCTTATGAATGCAGTATATGTAATAAGGCATTCACACAAACAAGTCATCTGAAAACTCACATGCTCGTTCACAGTGGTGAGCGCCCCTATGAGTGCAGTATATGCAAGAAGACATTCACACAATCGCGGGCTCTGAAATCTCACATGCTCATTCACAATGGTGAGCGCCCCCTTGAGTGCAATGTATGCAAGAAGACATTCACACATTTTGTTGTTCTGAAAAGACACATGCTCGTTCACAGTGATTAGCGTCCCCATGAATGCAGTATATGCAATAAGACATTCAAAGGATTAAGTTCTCTGAAAGAACACTTGCGGATTCATACAGGAGAGCGTCCTTATAAATGTGAAATATGCAATAAGGAATTTACTCTATTAAGAGTTTTGAAGAAACACATGGCCATTCATAGTAGGAAGCGTGATGAAAATCAGTGAAATATCTGTTAAATTGTATTTAAATATTTGGAAACATGTTATAAAATATTCTTACATATAATAGAATGTATAATTAGATAAAATATATTTTATAAATATGTAATAATAAACATTAAACATGCATTTATTGATAAATAAAGGCAATTGTTACATATTATATTATTTTATAATTTTTTTATTCATATTTTTTGTAAATTAAATATTAATAACGTAGATTAGCAAACACTGGTTCTAAAATACAAATACCCACCTTGGTCAGCAGCAGTAATACAAGATATTACAAATATGATATCAAGGAATGTTATATTCCACTGAAACGTATGGTAAAATCCACCGACTGTTGCCCACCAGTTTTTAATCAATTACAAAATAATTTAATTTGATTATTATAAAATTTCCATTTTAATATTACTTTAGTTTTTCTGCATGAAATGTTCATGGGTCTATTGGTATGGGTCAAAAAAAGTCTCTTAGGCACATATGATTTCAAATTTTAGGGATTAAAATAAGATACTTTGCTGAAGAAACCATATTTACTTTAACGTTAACCTACATTTAACATACAATTTTGTTTTCGAACTTCTTTAAGAAATGCCTAAATGTCCATGGGTCGAGATTTCTTATGCAGAAAACAAACATACTTTTTCCAAATTTGTTTTCAAACGATTTGAAACATAAAATTAGCGAGTCAAATTTTCCGGTGAAAAGACACTTCTTCTTGGAAAAAGACTAAGTATATAGTAAATATTAAATAATAATTTATATATATTTACGTATAATTTCAGAACTATAGCATTCTAGGTCCTTCCCCAAGAATCTTTAAAGGCGGTTTTCATGGGGACTAGAGGCAAAAGATACGGGTTTTAATCGGTATTATACCTGTGTCCGGCATACCCAGACAAAAGACCTAGTCTGTGATTAATAAATGCAAAAACATACTTTTTCCAATTGTGTTTTCAAACGATTCAGAATGATTTGAAACTTTAATAAAACATAACATTAGCAAGTAAAATTTTCTGGCAAAATAATTTCTTTAAAAAAAAAACACTAAATATATAGTAAATATTAAGTAAATATTATATAATAAATATTTAAAAAAATGTTTCATTCAGATTGTGATTAGATATCACGAGTTGATTAAATCTGCATTATTCATCATTATCATTTTATTAAACAATATTCAAATGTAATAATATAAATTTATTCTGTTACAGCAATAGTTCTATTATTATTTTCAAATTTCGCGCCATCCATTACCTGCCGCCATTATCAACAATATGGCGCCGCTCCGCTCTGGCAACACTGCAAACTCGGTTGTCAAAAAGTGTCAAAAGTGAATCAGATTAGCACATAACCATTCTGCATTAAAATCTAGTTTTATTTAAAAGAAAAGTATTATTTTATCAATGAGAAACAATGGGTGATTCACTAGAAGGCAGCGAAATCCTTGCCGATCTGCAGAATGTATCAGTCGTCGATTATTTGTCGTTTGCGAATTATCTGAAAAAGGCTGTGACAATCCTATTGCCAGAAGAAGACGTAGTTTCACCGGCTTTGAATAATGCTTTGGAGGATAGAAGTAACCAGGAATGCATCAGAAAATTCTTGTCTGATCCCCAGGTTACGTCTTTGTATATCCAGAGGAGCTCGTCGAAAGGTAAGTGCTGGCATGTAATAATACCACACCCAGAGGTTTTGGTTTGTAAATATTAATAACACCTGGGTAATGATGTCATGGGTATCATTAAATATTCTAACAACGTTTACACTTGTATTATTTTATTAATTCACTGATTTAAAAATTCATTGTATAATATAACAGTATAATTCATTGAACTTTATGCACTGTTGATTATGACCAAGAAAATCACTATGCAATTTTGTTCTGCTTTTATAAATTATTTTATACAAATATTTGGATATTATTTATATTTTGTGCATATCATATTTTATGCCTAATTATAAAAATATCATATTGTTAAATATATTTCAAAATTGTGCAAATACTGTCCTCCGTAAGTATTGTAGCATATACTCCAGTAAGGTTATGATAAACATTGAATACATATTATAATTATTATATTAATTTTCATATTTCTTTTGGGATCTATTTTTGCCTAGTTTTGGATGATACCTATCAGAAATTTCATGCCAAATTTTAACAAAACTCAGTGGAACTTTTATATGAATTAGTAAACCGTGAGGATTATATTTACAAAAATTACAAAATCAGTTTTTATATTCTAATGTTCAAAGAAATTTCCAACATGCCAAGCCGATCGATTCCTGTGTTATTTAGCATTGTGACACTCTTTTTATACATTTTTGATGAAAATTTTGGTAAAATACAATGGATTAATTTTGAACATATGTTTTGTGAAAACATAGCCATAATTTTATCAGAATAGAATAATTTCATTGTCCGTAATCACCAACAAGCTTTTATGGCTTATCAGAGGAATCCAACGAGTGATATTTTAGACTCACATTGTTCCCTCAAAGGATTTATATATATATATATATATATATATATATATATATATCTTGAGAGTTTTTTTGACGTCGAAACATGTTTAAGAGTAACTAGCAGCCCATTCGTCGAAATAAAAAAAAAAAAATATTTCAACAAATGGGCTGCTAGTTACTCTTAAATATAGAAACAAGTGGCATCTTGCCCTAAGACCAATTACTGCAATTTTCCGTACCGTAATTTAAAATTTTTAAAGCTCAATAGATAAAAATTAGATCTTTGAGAATTTTGATTTATTTTCATTATTCAATCATTTAAAAACAATGAGAAGAATTTGAAATCTTGAAATTTTTTGAATCCCTTTTTTTTGGAACATTTTAAACTTTTTTTTGAAGGTTTTTGATACTCATTTATGACTTATGCAAATGTCTGATTTTCCACCACTAAAAGGCATGTTTTTTAATTTTTATCTCTGGATCTCTTAAACTGCAGGACCTGACTTTGAAAAAAATCAATAAATCCTTTATTATGTCAGTACATGTACAGGAATATTTTTTGAATTATTCAAATTAGATGGTCTGTTCTCTCAAAAACTTAATTTTCATTTTCTGCACTTGCGAAACGACTGGACCAACCTTTCCTATAAACTAATTAATGTCAATGCATTATGAAGAGTTGATCAAGTTTATGCAATGGCAGATTCAGCGGTCTCGGAGATCAAGATAAAAAACAATTATTACATTATTACAAATATTTCTGAAAGCATTGTCTGAAAGCATTGTTTTATATTGATTTTTATTGTTTTAATTATATTTATGTTGAAGCATTCCTTTGTATATATACTGTGAACTCTCCCCAATATAGAATTTTTCACAATCATTACAATTCACCTTGTAAACGGAGTCAACAATTCTATTTTGTGGTGTTTTTGATTTTAAAGGAGTATACAAAGAATTAAGAGTATTTTCAAATTTGGAAACTAAAAGAAAACCTTCTTCAGAAAATATCTTTTTTAAAAAATAAGTAAAATTGCCTAAAAATGGTAAGGAAATAATACCTTTATAACGATTTAGAAAAGATGAAGAATTTATTAAACTAGTATCAATAGGTAACGAAAGGTTATTATTATTAATGTTAATTTTATTATTATTTAAATACTGCATACGGTTTTTTATAATATTATTAACTAATTTTAACGGATATTTGACGGAGATTTGATATTGAACATTTCAAAATTTATATCTAGGTTGGAACAGTGTTCATGTTTTATTTTTTATTTTTATTATGAATTTATAGAATAAAACTTCTAAATATTATATAAATTTGTGCAATCCCATTAACCGAATAATCTCCTACAATTTTGTTTATTTATCATACCATTTTCCTTTTATTTCAGAGGATGACAACGATCAACCAAACGAAGGAGAAGAGGAAAAAGACTTGACTTCTTACTACATAAGCAATGAAGTCCACTTCACAAACCACCGCATTGCCTCTCTCGTTTGCATCAAGAGAGGTCATGTTGTGGAAGCAGACAAATCCATACATTCCCAACTGCGTCTCATCAACTTTTCCGATGGAAGCCCTTATGAGACATTGCACGCCTTCATTAGCAAGACTATGGCACCTTATTTCAAGAGCTACATCAAAGAATCTGGTCGAGCTGACAGGTAATAATAAAACTTGCAGCGGAAATTGAATTATATTATATAGATTTTTTTTTAAATTTTTTTTTTGTTTTAATTTTTTTTGTTCAACAATATATTCACAACTGTCCTACATAGACATTAAGTAAATTTTTTGGCAATTATATATAAAAAATGACATAGATATATAAATAGTGAAAAATACTCAGTTGCATTTTTCCTTTATAAGAAGTAATGTTATATGACACGAGTAATTAAAAGCTAATTAAATCACTAAATATTTTCCTTTTGAGTCTTCGTGTTGTGTTTGTAGTAAGCAGTGCGTTGGCCAACTCATTTGGGTGTCCTTCTAGAAATAATATAGAAAAATTCAGCCTCTAATTTAATTATATTAACTTTTATTTTATTACAACTACTGAGTTGTTTTTTCCAACATGTCAAAGTAGTATACAATGTACCTTTTTGGCGGACTATTATAAATCCATTAAATTTACTGAATTTCCTATACTGGACAGTTGTAAATAAAAGAGTTAATAAAAAAAAACAAAAAAAAAAAATATTACATTTGTGTCCTTTTCCAGAGATGGTGATAAGATGGCTCCATCCGTGGAGAAGAAAATAGCTGAGCTGGAAATGGGCTTGTTGCACTTGCAGCAGAATATTGATATACCAGAAATTTCTTTGCCGGTGCACCAGACCGTTGCTGGTGTTATCAAACGTTGTGCTGATGATGGACGTAAAGCTAAAGTATCAGATTTTGGAGACAAGGCTGAAGATTCAACTTTCCTCAATCAATTGCAAAATGGTGTCAATAGGTGGATCAAGGAAATTCAAAAGGTAAAATAATATTTTTAACTTAATGTAGGGTGAGTTATGGTAATCGCAAAAAACTTGAAAATGTAATTTTTGGCATATCTTTACGTTTCAAAGGTTTTTGAACATTTTGGCATATGAAAAATTGGTGTGTGTATGTATGTGTGTGTATGTGCTTGCGGATAAAAACTTTCGTCGACGATTTTGGGAACATGGTTCAACCGATTTTAATTATTCAAAAAACATTCGATTCCCATTGATAAGGAAACTTGATGATTAGTTTTTGGCGAAGGCAGGTCTAGCCGTTCCGAAGATACAGGATAAAAAGTGACAAAAATGGTAACTCAGTTTTTAAGAGAACGGAGCGTCCGATTTTAATAATTCAAAAAACATTTTACTTGTATTGACAAGTTGAAGAATTGATCAAATATTTGGGAAGGCAGGTCAAGTGGTTTCGAAGATCTAGTAAAAAAAAGTAAAAAAAATGCCATTTGGCGGTCAAAAATGATCATTAGACATATGCGCATCAAATTATCAGAAATTTTCTAAAAATTTTAATAAGTACAAATTTTGTTTACATTTCCATGGGTTCCGTAACATCGTTTGGGCGTAGGACGGCGACGCGACGCTTACGCGCTTCGATAATTCGTCTCTATGCAGCTAAAGCAGTGCGATGCTTTAAAAATAAGTTCAAAATTACCAAAATATTTCTAAATAAAAAAAACATTTTTCCAAAAGTTTTTTTTTTTCAAAAAAGTCTATTTTTTTTAAAAAAAATTCAAAATTTCTCAAAAATCAAATTTTTCCTCTTTCTTCATCTTTTTTTAAAAAAAATAATTTCTGGTACGGGAAGTTTCAGGAATTTGCCTTAGGGCACGATGTTATACACCACTAGTTTATTCTTACAATTAGTTCAGAGCATGGATTCTTAAACTATGGGTCGCTTAGGAAAATTATGGGGTCGCGAGAAATTTGAATGTCAAATATATATTATAAGAACATCACGTCTAGATTTCTGTACGTTTTACAACAAATTCTAAAACTATATTTTCTTATGTACTTATATATGTATATTGTTACCCAGTCATTTAAAAATATTAATTCTTACTTTTATATTTCTTTAGGGTTGTCAAAAAACAATCATAAATGAGGTCGCGAATGACAAAAGTTTAATAAGGCCGGGACATTTTTTTGGTTTTTGTCAAATTACTCACAAACTTTATATCAAAGCACACTTTTTTTAGTTACATAGGGCGAAACTAGATAAAATTTACTACAAATCTTTGTAAACTCTTATATACAGTCAGATATAAAAGTTTTGAATAAAACGACTTTGAATTTGATATTTCGTTTTTTAGCAATAAATAGAATAGAATTCGGGTCATTTTTTTGGTTTTTGTCAAATTACTCACACATTTTATATGAAAGTACCATTTCTTAGTTAGATTGCGTGAAACTAGATAAACTTTACTACAAATCCTTATAAACACTTATATACAGTCCGATATAAAAGTTTTGAATAAAACGACTTTGAATTTGAAATTTCATTTTCTAGCAACAATTAGTCAAACCGGGACATTTTTTTGGGTTTTGTCAAATAACTCACAAATTCTAGATGAAATTTACTACATTTCCGTGAAAACAGTTATATGCAGTTCGATATAAAAGTTTTGAATAAAACGACTTTGAATTTGATATTTGATTATTTAATTCGGGACATTTGTTTGGTTTTTTGTTAAATTACTCACAAACTGTATATCAGAGCACTCTTTTTCAGTTAGATATAGTGAAACTAGATAAAATTTAGATCTGGTTTAAATCAAATATTTTATGTCTGTTTTCCTCTTATTTCCAGGTGACAAAACTAGACCGCGATCCAAGTTCTGGAACAGCCCTCCAAGAAATTTCCTTCTGGTTGAACTTGGAACGCGCTCTTTACCGTATTCAAGAAAAACGCGAATCCATTGAGGTCACTTTGACCTTAGAAATCCTGAAATTTGGTAAACGTTTTCATGCCACTGTTAGTTTTGATAACGACACTGGTTTTAAACAAGCCTTGACCATGGTTGCTGATTATAATCCTTTGATGAAGGATTTTCCTATTAATGACTTGCTTTCTGCTACGGAACTCGATCGAATTCGGTAAAAAAAATAGCTATAGTAATATTAATTTGTAGTTTATTGTTTTGTTCTAAAATGCGTTATATTTTAGTACTGCTTTGCAACACATCTTCAACCATTTGCGCAAGATTCGTACAACCAAATATCCAATTCTGAGGGCTTTGCGTCTAGTTGAAGCAATTTCTCGGGATTTAAGTCAACAACTGTTGAAGGTATCCATCAATATTTTTTGTATTTGTTTGTTATATGATATCTTATACTTAATCTTTTATATTTATCAGGTTTTGGGTACAAGACGTTTAATGCACATTCCTTTCGATGAGTTTGAACGTGTTATGACTCAATGCTTCAAAGTGTTCTCCTGCTGGGATGATGAATATGATAAACTTCAAGGATTATTGAGGTATGTAATATATATATTGTAGTTTAGTTGGACCTTTTTGTCTCATCCACATATTCTGGGTGTCTCCGCATTTTATACTAACATTTAAGCTGATGGTATGTTCTCAAAAATGCATGATGCAATTTTGATGAAACTTGACACGCATCGTTACTATACTTTACTAAGATTGTGACCAAAATTTAAAGCTGGAACATTCAATAGTTTCTGAGATATGTGAGCTTGATGGATGGGTGGCTGGCTCCGCGCTCAATACTAACATTCATATGTAATATTTTTCTTTACTTTTTGGTTCATTTCTAAGTATACCGTGGACCCCCATTTTTATTTCATGGATCCTCATTTTTATTTCATGGACCCCCATTTTTATTTCATGGACCACCAAATTTTGTTTTCCCTGCCATGTTGTACCCCTTGAAAGTTGCCATGGACCACTGGGAGTCTAGAATCTAGAGGTTTTATAAAAAAAAAAACTGCTGTATCTAATTAACAAATATCAATACAATTAATTAAAGTGTATCTTCGGCCACTTCTATGTGTCATTACAAATTGAATGTTTTTTGAATTATTCAAATCGGTTGATCCGTGTTCCCGATATCGTCAATGAAAATTTGCCTTTTTTGTTATTTGTGTCTAAAATATGCTAAAATGTTCAGAAGATCTTCAAACGTAAAGATATTGAAAAAAATACTTTCGATTTTTGGACGATTACTATAACTTACCCTGCGGGAAGTTAAAAAAACTGACAACGAAAGAAGTAATTTTGAAAAAAAATCGACAATGCGAGTAAACTGCGGTAATTTTTAATGATACTATTTTAAAGTAGAGGGCAAAATATGTGTAACCAAGCTATAAAGTACCATTTGTCTCCTTATAGAGACAATAGGGCTCCTAATGCCCTATTTAAGGCGTTGTCTGGTTACACATATTTTGTCCTCTACTTTAAAATAGCATTATTAAAAATCACCACAGTTCGCTTGTTTTTGAGATAATGGTGAGGAATTCACACTGGTTCCAATAATTTGTGTTTTAATTAAGGGTAAGTTATCGTGATCGCAAAAAAATCGTGAATGAAAATTTTTATATATCTTTACGTTTCATAGGTTTTTGAACATTTTGGGATACCTTAGAAAAAATGGATGTGTGTGTGTGGAGTGGATACAAATTTTCCTCGACGATTTCGGGAACACCGATTAACCGATTTGATTTTTTAAAAAACATTCGTTTCGTATTGATAAGGAATCGTGCTGGTTAGTTTTTGGCGAAGGCAGGTTTAGAAGTTCCGAAGATACGGGGCAAAAAGTGCCAAAAATGGTAACTCAGTTTTTAAATGAACGCATCGTCCGATTTTAATAATTCAAAAAACATTTCATTTGCATTGATAAGGTGGAGAACTGATAAAATTTTTGGGAAGGCAGGTCTAGCGGTTATGGAAATCTAATGAAAAAAGTAAAAAAAAAATGCCATTTGGCGGTCAAAAGTGACCATTAGACATATGAGATTTTAACAATAAGTATAAAGAAGTTATGGACTCTCAATAAAAATAAGTTTAAAAAATGTCATTTAGTGGTTAAAAATTTTAATTGGACATATGCACATCAAATTATCAGATATTTTATAGAAATTTTAATAACTTGTACATATTTTGTTTAATTTATTTTTTATTTTTACAGGGATATTGTGAAAAAGAAACGTGATGAACAATTGAAAATGGTATGGCGCATTTCACCAGCTCACAAATTCCTGCAAACTCGAATGGAGCACATGAGAAAATTCCGCAGACAGCACGAACAATTGCGGACAGTTATCGTCAGAGTCCTCAGACCGACTGTGAGAAATGTAAGTTAAAATTATACCATGTCATTATTATCATCAGGACATCTAATTTTGGTATATTTTTTTAGCAAGCCACGTCCCTTCAAGGAGCTGGTGACCAGGCCAGTGAACAAACAAAACAACCTCAATCTTTGGACGCTGCTGATGCTAATGCTATTGAAGAAGTCAATTTGGCTTATGAGAATGTGAAAGAAGTTGAATGTTTGGATATCACTCGGGAAGGAAATGAAGCTTGGGATGCAGCTGTCAGGAGATACGAGGATAGAATCGGTAAATTTGATAAATATAACATAATCCATCAATTTGTGCAACTAATTCTTTACTTTTAGATCGTGTTGAGACCAGAATCACGGCCCATCTACGCGACCAACTCGGAACTGCAAGAAATGCAAACGAAATGTTCAGAATTTTCTCCAGATTCAACGCTTTGTTTGTAAGACCACATATTCGAGGAGCTATTAGAGAGTATCAGACTCAATTGATCCAACGTGTCAAGGATGATATCGAGGCTTTGCACAATAAGTTCAAGGTAATAATATATACAAAATTGGGGTTAAATATGGTATTGTTGATCATGCAACTTTTTTGTGGTGTTTCAGGCTCAATACCCTCAGAGCAAAAGCTGTCGTGTGAGTTTGGTCAGAGATCTACCGCCAGTTGCTGGATCTATAATTTGGGCAAAACAGATTGATCATCAACTCACGATGTACTTGAGGAGAGTTGAAGACGTTCTTGGTAATTGACAATAATTTTTTTATGAATATTGTAAATAATTTATTTTTAATTTGATTTGGAAGACTACAATCACTTTTATAAAAATACTTGATGAATGACAATAACGTGAACAGCCAATAACTATTTTCAAGTTGTGGTCAATTATCTTTGTTCTACTAATTTACCATTCAATTCGATTTTCACACTGCTTTTCTAAAATATAGGTTTTTTTTTATTTGTATTTATTATTTGCTATTGCATTTTTACAAAGCTTATGAATACAATTTTTATATTTATATTTCAGATACTGGATTAAATTTAGTAATTATAGAAAATAAATTATTTTAATTGAATTGATTACAGGTGAATACAACCCTTAAATAATATTAAGCCTGTCATTAGTATTATGTAATGCAATAACTTGAAGGAAAAATGTTATGATATTGAGAAAGTTTATTTAAGGCTAGATCTTGAGATTCTTCTGATGGTAAAAAATTCTTTAAATTTTTATTCAAGTCCCAAATCCAGAAAATATTAATTAAGAAAGAATATAATATGCAAACAATTCTAATGATAAAATACTTAGGGTAGGAAAATGTTGAAATACTTTGGAATAAAAGTTAGAAAAAATATGGAAACAATTGTAACTGCTGAAAAAAAAGTCATATCATTTATATCAGTAGGCATTTCATTATCAAAATATTGTTTATTACCTTTCCCTTCTCTTTTGTTGGTGTATGATATTATTAAGTATGTGCTAATTATTTTTACAGGCAAAGGTTGGGAGACTCACATCGATGGTCAGAAATTGAAAGCAGATGGTGATAGTTTTCGTCTCAAGTTGTCAACTCAAGAAGTTTTTGATGATTGGGCAAGAAATGTGCAACAAAGAAACCTTGGTGTTACTGGAAGATTATTTGCTATTGAATCAACCAGATCAAGGTAATAATAATAATAATAGTAATTAATTTATGTTTCCTGTCTCTGTTTTAGCAAAATTAACTTTTAAACGATTTTTACGAAACTTTTTTTATTTTAAAAAACGTACTAAAATATTAGTTCGATGTTTTATCAAAAAACAATTTAAAAGGCATTTTGATTTGACTCAATAAGGAAGAACTTTGATTAAAGTTTGTGAGACATGGTTCAAGCAATTTCTTTGGTATATTTTTATTTAAAATATATAGGCCACAGAATATTTCCAAGAGGACTTAAAAATTATTATACATATGATATGGATAAATTACAATATAGTATAACACATAATGCATTTAAAAACACGAAATTGCATAATAGCTGAATGTGCAAATTTTTTTGTCCAAGTTTATGCAAAAAAATCATTAACTGATTTTGGAAATTAAAAAATCATTTGAAAGACATCATTTGGAAATTGCACTGATTAATTTTCTTCCTAGTCTCACGTTTTAACAGATTCTAACTTTAAAGTAACTTGAATCTAACATAAACCTACGTAGATTCTAAATGGATTCTGAATAAATGCTAACTAGATTCTAATCATGTTACAACTTGAATCTTACTAGATACAACTAAATTCTATCTAGAATGTTACAAGAATTCCATTAGATTTATACCAGGATGTTTCTAGATTTTGACTGGATTTTCATTATATCAAACTAGATGCTTTTTAGGTATTGGTATCAGTTTCGTATCGGATTTTGATTAGATTGTTACCAGGTTCTCTTTATATTCTTTTGGGTATATTGTCTTGTCTTATTGCATAGAAATAGAGTGCAATATCCATAGAAATAATCTAAAATATTATAAAACTACGAAAAGTAATTATTATAAAAATGGATCGGGCTGTTAGTTAATTTTATTTATGTATCATTATTTTTACATCTAAAATAATTATCATGTTTTAATTTACTATTTAGAACTGGAAGAGCAAATGTTCTGAAGCTAAAAGTGAACTTTTCACCAGAAATCATCACTTTGTACAAAGAAGTTCGTAACTTGAAGAACTTGGGCTTCAGGTAAATAAAAAAAATTAATGCCATATCATTATATTGTTTGAAATTTTTAATACTTATTGTATTTATTTCTAGAGTTCCTTTGGCTATTGTGAACAAGGCTCATCAGGCAAATCAATTATATCCATTTGCGATTTCTTTGATTGAGAGTGTTAGAACTTATGAGAGAACATTGGAAAAGGTAAGTGATATATTTTTTATTTTTCTTAAATATTAAAATGTTCTTTTTTCACCATCACATTAAATCAAATGTGTTTGTGACGTCCGATTTTAATAACTTCAGCACTATACTCACTTTTTAAATTGTGATTAATTAATTAAATTAAATTGTAATTCATATACATAATTTTGGACAACTATTACATAGTCCAGTCATTTGGTCGTTTTGCCGGTACAGTACTCCGGGAATTCTGAAAATTGGTAATCTTATAGATTTCGAGGTGTTCTTTACGAAAATCAAGTTTGCCACCTCAAATTTAAACGGCAAGTTGCCGCCATATTGAAAAAATGGCGTCAAAAAACAGCTTTTTTAAAATATCTCTTTTCTGGCTGATTCTGCGATAAAAGTATTTATGTCCGAATTAAACTAGATAAAATTTCCTATAATTCTTTAGAAAACCGTTTTTTTGTAAAATTGATAGTTTGAGAGTAAGGCCGCCTCAAAGTCTTTGCTGCTCTCGCCGTGGTATCAAATCTCTTCATATATGACAGCACTTTGAACTTGATCACATTCCTTCTAATAAATAAATATTTTCAATGATAAATTAAGTGAATAAGATCTAGAAATAAAATAATTCAAATATTTTTCTGTTTTTTTGCTGATTTTTTAACACTTCAAGCTACTTACTTATAGCTACTTTGCCATTGAAGTGTTAAAAAATCAGCAAAAAAAACGAAAAATATTTGAATTATTTCATTTCTAGATTTTATTTGCTTAATTTAACATTGAAAATATTAATTATTAGAGAGAATGTGGTCAAGTTCAAAGTACTGTCATATATGGAGAGATTTGATACTACGGCGAGAGCAGCAAAGACTTTGAGGCGGCCGTACTCTCAAACTATCAATTTTACAAAAAAACGGTTTTCTAAGGAATTGTAGGAAATTTCATCTAGTTTAATTCGTACATAGATACTTTTATCGTAGAATCAGCCAGAAAGGAGATATTTTAAAAAAGCTGTTGTTTGATGCCATTTTTCTAATATGGGGGCAACATGCCGTTCAAATTTGAGGTGGCAAAGTTGATTTTCGTAAAGAGCACCTCGAAATCTATAAGATTACCAATTTTCAGAATTCCCGGAGTACTGTACCGTCAACAGCCTTTTTTTGCACCAAATGACTGGACTAACAATAGAGTTGCAAAGTTTTATTTCTTCAATACAATTAGTTTTAAATTTGTGTCACTGGGTATTTGTGTCAATTTGATTCGTACTTTCTTCAAATATGTAAAATTTAATGTGGTTTGTAATTATCCTCGATATTTTTGATATTTATTATAAACAATTATGTATATCATGTTTTTGTCAAATATTTCACGCAGCTGTTAAATAGGCTACATGCACACAACTCTTCATTCAAGGTAGTACACGATTTTGTGATATTAAATTTTTCTTTTAATTTTTACCAAATTTTTATAATCATCTCGATATTTGTTGTTTTTTAGTTGTTGTTGTTGTACATAAGAATATTGTAGGAGAAATTCTTTGTTTTATCTAAATCTGTAGAATTTTAAAATTCATGTCAATGTTATCATTATGTAAATGCAGATGTAGCCGCAGTGATTTAATGGGTAATCCCAAAACTATTTATTACTTTTGCCTGCTTTTTTATTAATTAGTAAAACTTCAACCCTGACAATGTACCTAATTATTTTATTATAATTAGATTGAGGATAGAGCCAGTATAGCTCCTCTAGTAGCCGGTATGAGGATGGATGTCCTTGCCCTGATTGCTGACGGAATGCAACTGGTCTGGGAAAGCTATAAACTAGATCCTTATGTCCACAAATTGTCCGAAGCCGTTGTATCATTCCAAGAAAAGGTAATAATGAATCAATAATAATAGATTCATCTGCCAACATCATCGATCTTACAATACTGATTTCACCAATTTTTACCAGGTTGAAGATCTCGTTGTGGTCGAAGAACAACTCGATGTTGATGTGAGATCTTTAGAAACATGTCCTTATAGCGCTGCAACTTTTGCTGATATCTTGGCTAAAATTCAGCAAGCCGTTGATGATTTATCCTTGCGTCAGTACTCGAATTTGCATGTCTGGGTCGCACGTTTGGACGAAGAGGTGAGGAGATAATAAATTATTTCCAGGGTTTATGTTTATTTATACATGTGTGTTTTTTTAAAAGGTTGAGAAGAAGTTGGCTGCTCGTTTGCAAGCTGGTGTAGCAGCCTGGACTGATTCTCTGAGTGGAAACCAGAAAGAAATTGATCGTAGTATGGATACTGATGCACCTGCTGCTCCTACACATAAACCAGGAGGAGAACCACAGGTAAATGGCACTCATTAATCACTTGATGGATTTTTGAAGGTTTTTTAAACCTCCCTTTTTACCTTAGTAATATACAAGATAATTCCCCTCCCCTCTCGTCCAACAAACATCACGTGTATTTTTAGTTATCAGAAAAAGTTTTTAAATATTTCCAATTTTTTGTTTCTATTTTTTTTTTAATCAGGCAAAAAATAAATACACGTGTTATCTTATTATACCTCTAACTCCCCCTCGTGATATTTTGTCAATTTTTTTATACAAATTATATTTTGAGCGATTTCAAAGATTTACAAGTCTTCAATAAACTATTTCAATATTATAACATTTTTTTAACTTCCCGTAGGGTAAGTTATTGTAGTGGGCCGAAAATAGGAATTGAAAATTTCTACATTTCTCGACGTTTTGAAGGTTTCTGAACATTTTGGCATACTTCAGAAAAAATGGATGTGTGTGCGTGTGTGTGTATGTATGTATGTATGGATACAAATTTCCAGTCACGTTTTCGGGCGCACGGATCAACCGATTTGAATGGTTCAAAAATATTCGATTCCTATTGATAGGGAAAAGAGCTGATTAGTTTTTGGCAAAGGCATGTCCAGCCGTTTCGGAGATACGGAGCAAAGAGTGCATAAAATAGAAATCGACTTTTTGAGAGAACGGAGTATCCGATTTGAATGATGTAAGAAACATTCAATTAGTAATGATTGGGAGAAGTGTTTATCCTAAATATGTAAAAAATGGCAGTTTTTGAGAGAACTAAGCGTCCGATTTAGATGATTCAAAGAACTTTCTGCTTGTCTTAACAAAATAATTAATTTTGGAAAAAAAATTTTGTTCCAACTTTTTTTCTTTTTTTTAACTTTTTGTATATCGAAAATAATTCAGATTTTATTCTTGATTCCGACTACAGTTCTAATATACTTTACAAATAATTTCAACTTTGCAATTCAGTTTATAATAATAATCTATTTGAAAACATTCAGTATTCCTCGAACATTTCTTTACGGTACGGGAAGTTCCAGCAATTTGCCTTAAGGCACGATGCCATAATTGCCTCAAGACAGAATTCCACTTACAGCTAGTTCTTCAAGTTATTGTATTAGATAATACAAATGTTAGGCTTAATATTGTTTTATAGTTCTATTTTACTGTAACTAATTCAATTAAAATAATTTATTTTCTATAATTACTAAATTTAATCCTGTATCCATAATATAAATATAAATAATATTGTAGATGACATTATTATTTTTTTTCCAGATCCAAATGGCCGTACATGAAATCAGAATTACGAATCAACAAATGTATCTGTTCCCATCGATAGAAGAAGCTCGTTTCCAGATCACACAGCAATTGTTTGCATGGCAGGCAATTGTTACTTCACAAACTCGTCTACAAAGCTCCAGGTGGATAAAAGAATAACAAGTATACCTCCTGCAACGATTTAATTAATTTATTGTATTTTTTTTCCAATTTCTAGATATCAAGTGGGCGTGGACAAACCAGTACTGCAAACTTACAGAAATTTGTTAACAAAATTACCACAAGGCTCAGAGCAACTCGATAATGCTTACGCTGCCATAGAAAGCAAAATTAAAGAGGTAAATTGTAAAACATGAAATATTTCCATTTTCGTTGTGATCCAAAATGACGTGGATGCTATAGCATTCAAATCTTGAAGTTAATTATTCTTAATATAATCTTGTACTTCCAACGCTATAGCGTTCATTTTCATTGTGATTCAGAATCACGTGGATGCTATAGCATTCCAATTCAGAAGTCAATTATTCTGAATTTAATCTTATACAACCAATTCTATTGTATTTATTTTCATCGTCATCCAGAATGACGTGGATGCTATAGCATTCAAATTTTGAAGTCGATTGTCACTAAATTTTTTTAAAATATTTTCATTTTGCTTTGGACATTTTTGAAAATTTGCACATCCAAATTTTTTACTTTCCGTATAAGTTATAGTAATGGGCCGTAAATCGAAAATGAAAATTTTTGCATATCTTCACGTTTCAGTGGTTTCTGAACATTTTGGCATCCTTCAGAAAAAATGGATGTGTGTGTGTGTATGTGTGGTAACAATTTTTTGGCGACGATTTCGGGCGTACGGATTCTTATTTGATTGGTTAAAAAAGCATTCGATTCGTAATCATGGGGAGTAGTGGTGGTTAGATTTTGGTAAAGGCAGGTCTAGCCGTTTTGGAGATACTGAACTGAATGTGCAAAAATGGCAGTTTAAAAAAAAAATCTGCTTGTGTTGACGAAACGCTTGCTTTTGGGGAAAAAATGTTCGTTTATTTCAATTTTTTATTTAATTTTCAAAAAAAAATTGAATATTAAAAAATAATTCGGATTTTAATTTTAGTTGTAGCTAAAGTTATAAAAATCACTTATATACTTCAAATAAATAACTAACTTCGCAATTCAGTTTATATAATTCTGAGAAATATGCGATAAGATCCTTCATTCTAAAACTGCTGTGTGTGTGCGGATATAAATTTTCGTCGACGATTTCGGGAACACGGATCAACCGATTTGAATGATTCATAAAACATGCGATTCGTATTGATAAGAAGACGTGCTGATTAGTTTTTGGCGAAGGCAGGTCTAGCCGTTCCGAAGATACGGGGCAAAAAGTGCCAAAAACGGTATCTCCGTTTTCAAGAGAACGGAGCGTCCGATTTTAATAATTCAAAAAACATTTTACTTGCATTGACAAGATGAAAAATTGATTAAATTTTTGGGAAGGCAGGTCCACCCTGTTATGGACTCTCAATAAAAATAAGTTAAAAAAATGTCATTTGGCGGTCAAAAATGTTTATTGGACATATGTACATCAAATTATCAGATATTTTATAGAGATTTTAATTATGTGTACACATTTTGTGTAAATTTTTTTTAGGTTCCGTACCAATATTTTTAAATACGGTACGGGAAGTTCCAGAAGGCACGATGCCATACACCACTAGTTACCTTTCTATATTATAAACTATATTTATTTTTTCCAGGTTCGTCTTTATGTTGATGAATGGTTGCGTTATCAAAGTTTATGGGACCTTCAAGCTGATACTTTATATGGCAGACTTGGTGAAGATATTAATTTGTGGATTAAGTGCCTTAATGACATCAAGTAAGTATCCATCAAACAACTATATACGCTATACCAAATACTGTAATTTCTATAAATATTACTTTTTTTTATTATTATTAGGAAATCCCGTACAACATTCGACACTTCAGATACAAGACGCGAATATGGACCAATTGTCATCGATTATGCTAAAGTGCAGGCCAAAGTTACACTCAAATATGATTCTTGGCATAAGGAAGTTTTGGGTAAATTTGGGTCGCTTCTGGGTAACGAGATGGCTACTTTCCATACACAAGTTTCGAAGTCGCGCTACGAGTTGGAGCAGCAATCTATAGGTAATTATTTTATAATTGATACTTGGGAATATCAATTGATTTAAATTAACTAGTGGTGCATGGCATCATGTCTTAGAGAAAATTGCGGGAAAAATATTTTTTTTAAAAGCCTTTAAAATTTTTTGAAAACTTTGGAAAAAAATAGACTTTTGAGTATCTTGAAATTTTTGTACAAATTTGACTTTTTGGAAAATTACATTTTTTTTTTATATTTCTAAACTTTTTTATACTTTGAATTTTTCTGAAAATGTAAATTACTTTGAATTTTTCCAAAGTAATAGTGGTGCGTGGCTGTTTTAGAGAAGATATATCTAACAAAATGCAAATACAAACAAATTAAAATTATAAAAAACTAGCTGTAAGTGGAATTCTGTCTTAAGGCAATTAAGGCATCGTGCCTTAAGGCAAATTGCTGGAACTTCCCGTACCAAAAATTATTTTTTTTTTTAAAAACGATTAACATTTTTGAAAAAAAAAATTACTTTGAAAAAATAAGATTTTTGAGAAACTATAATTTGGACAAAAAATTACTTTTTTTTGAAAAAAAATTTTTTTTTAAAAAAAATTTTTTTTTAATTTTTTTTTTGTTTTTTTTTTGAAAAAAAAATTTTTCTTTATTTTCACATATTGTGGAAGATCTGAACTTTTTTTCAAAGCAATCGTACTGCTTTAACTGCATAGAGACAAAATATAAAGCGCGTAAGCGCCGCGTCGCTGTCTAACGGGTAAACATTGGTACGGAACCCATAGGAATGTAAACAAAATTCATACTTATTGTTAAAATCTCTATAAAATATCTGATAATTTGATGTGCATATGTCTAATGATCATTTTTGACCGCCAAATGGCTCATTTTTTTACTTTTGCCTCCATATCTCCGAAACCGCTAGACCTACCTTTATGAAAATTTTATCGATTCTTCATCTTGTCAATACAAGTAAAACGTTTTTTGAATTATTCAAATCGGACGCTCCGTTCTCTTAAAAACTGAGTTACCGTTTTCGGCACTTTTTGCCCCGTATCTTCGGAACGGCTAGACCTGCCTCTGCCAAAAACTAATCAGCACGTCTCCTTATCAATACGAATCGAATGTTTTTTGAATTATTCAAATCGGTTGATCCGTGTTCCCGAAATCGTCGACGAAAATTTGTATCCGCACATACATACACACACGTACATACATACACACACACATACACACACACACATACACACACACATACACACACACATACACACACACACACACACACACACACACACATACATCCATTTTTTCTAAGGTATGCCAAAATGTTCAGAAACCTTTGAAACGTAAAGATATATAAAAATTTTCATTTTCGATTTTTTTGCGATTACTATAACTTGCGCTACGGGTAGTTAAAAATATTTTCGATTTTTTTGCGATTACTATATTATATTAACTTATCCCCTATGGGGAGTAAATATAATATGAGGATGGAAGAACTATGGAACCAGTATTTATCTATAAAATATGAAAAATTCAAATAAATGAATTGGTTAAATATTTAATTCAAATAATATCGAATGCATTAAATTTGAATAAAATGATCTAAGAAGCCAGGTCAAAATAGCCACTTACACCCAGTTTAATCCACTTTTTAACTTCTCGCAGGGTAAGTTATTGTAATCGTCCAAGTGTAAATGTAATAAGTGAAAATGTCACACAGAATTATTTGCAAATGCGTTTAGACTGTGACTATACAGGAGCACTTTTTCAATTTTGTGTAAATTAGGCAACTATTTTTTTTAAATTGAATTGGAAATAAAATGATGATTGTTAATGTTCTGGAGATTGATTGAATTGGAATTGAATTGGAATTGAATTGTAATCGATTGATTGATTGAAATTGATTTATTTATGATTTACATTTGATTTGCTCAGATATAACAAGATAGTAAAAATAATGAAAGTTACAGTATTTGTAATAATATATTTGAAAACGTTTAAAATTTCTCATTATAGTAGGGGAAGTTACAGCAATTTGCCTTAAGGCACTATGCTATACACCACTAGTTTTAATAATGTAATTTTCTATAACATTTGTTATTTATTTCTCTTTTCAGAAGCTGCAAGTACTTCAGATGCTGTCAGTTTTATAACATATGTCCAGTCTTTGAAAAGAGAAATGTTGCAATGGGATAAACAAGTTGAAGTTTATAGGGAAGCCCAAAGGATCCTTGAAAGACAACGGTAAATAAATAATTTATTCATCACAAAAATTTGCTTAACTATGATGCTGGTGATTTTATATGTTGTTTATTTTTTGATAGCTTCCAATTTCCTACATCATGGCTTCATGTCGATAATATTGAAGGAGAGTGGTCAGCATTTAATGAGATTATGAAGAGGAAAGATTCTGCTATACAAACCCAGGTAGGAAATTGACCGATTTATTAATATTTATATTGGCTAACATAGAATTTTGCTCAAACTTTGTGAATAATTGGGACAGTTTTTGTTTAGAGTGTAGATAATCTATCCAATCTACTACCACATTTTACTCACTAATTGAATGCCATTATTCAGAAAACGTTGGTTTTTCTGTGAGGAATCAAAATAAATCCTCAGTTCCAAATAAATGTTATGTAATTTTTCAGTTTCCTTTTATTCCGAATTGTCTCGGTTTTTCGAAAATTAACAGTTGAATTTAATGTTATTATACCCACTGTCCCGAATTAGCATACCTAAAAATTGCCGTCCCGGTTTTGACTTAAACTCACCTTAATTAACCGTGATTTTTTATAACAGGTTTCTGTTTTTTACAATCTATTTTTTTCAGGTTGCCAGTTTACAGCAAAAGATCGTAGCAGAAGACAAAGCCGTCGAAACCAGAACAAATGATTTCCTGATTGATTGGGACAAAAATAAACCTACTCAGGGCAAAACTAAACCTGAAGATGCTCTGCAGCAATTGCAAATGTTCGAAAGCAAATTCTCCAGGTTGAAGGAGGAACGAGACAATGTGGCTAAAGCTAAAGAGGCTTTGGAATTACAAGAAAGCGGTAAAATGGATAAAAAACACTTTTGTTTTGCGTTTTTAACTATAATTATATTATAATTTATTCTTTACCAGCGGCGCCCAATAATAGTTCCGAGCGAATGTCGGTGGTTCTTGAAGAATTACAAGATCTGCGCGGAGTTTGGTCAGAGTTGTCCAGAGTCTGGACACTGATTGATGAAACGCGGGAAAAACCATGGTTATCGGTTCAACCTAGAAAGTTGCGTCAAACTTTGGATGGTATGATGTCGCAGCTCAAGGAATTGCCTGCCAGGCTCAGGATGTATGAGAGTTACGAGTATGTTAAGAAATTGTTGCAGAGTTACATAAAGGTAAGGGTAACAACTGTATATTATTGATGTGGAACTTCTTAAATTGTCTGAAAATGTTTTAGGATATGTTGTAAATTGAGTGAAATTGTTGTAGATTTTCTGAAAGAGTTGAGTTGAAAATGTTTTGTCTGGATATGTTGTAGATTATCTGAAACTGTTGTAGATTGTCTGAAAGTGTTGAGTTGAGTGAAAAAGTCTGAAAATGTTTTGGACTGTCTCATAACGTTTTTGCACTGTCTGGAGATTTTCTGGATTGCCTGGAGATTTTCTGGATTGCCTGGAGATTTTCTGGACCGCCTGGAGATTTTCTGGACCGCCTGGAGATTTTCTGGACCGCCTGGAGATTTTCTGGACTGTCTGGAGATTCTCTGGACTGTCTGGAGATTTTCTGGACTGTCTGGAGATTTTCTGGACTGTCTGGAGATTTTCTGGACTGGCTGGAGATTTTCTGGACTGTCTGGAGATTTTCTGGGCTGTCTGGAGATTTTCTGGATTGTCTGGAGATTCTCTGGACTGGCTGGAGATTCTCTGGACTGGCTGGAGATTCTCTGGACTGGCTGGAGATTTTCTGGACTGGCTGGAGATTTTCTGGACTGGCTGGAGATTTTCTGGACTGGCTGGAGATTTTCTGGACTGGCTGGAGATTTTCTGGACTGGCTGGAGATTTTCTGGACTGGCTGGAGATTTTCTGGACTGGCTGGAGATTCTCTGGACTGGCTGGAGATTCTCTGGACTGGCTGGAGATTCTCTGGACTGGCTGGAGATTCTCTGGACTGGCTGGAGATTTTCTGGACTGGCTGGAGATTTTCTGGACTGGCTGGAGATTTTCTGGACTGGCTGGAGATTTTCTGGACTGGCTGGAGATTCTCTGGACTGGCTGGAGATTCTCTGGACTGGCTGGAGATTCTCTGGACTGTCTGGAGATTCTCTGGACTGTCTGGAGATTCTCTGGACTGTCTGGAGATTCTCTGGACTGGCTGGAGATTCTCTGGACTGGCTGGAGATTCTCTGGACTGGCTGGAGATTCTCTGGACTGTCTGGAGATTCTCTGGACTGTCTGGAGATTCTCTGGACTGTCTGGAGATTCTCTGGACTGGCTGGAGATTTTCTGGACTGGCTGGAGATTTTCTGGACTGGCTGGAGATTTTCTGGACTGGCTGGAGATTTTCTGGACTGGCTGGAGATTTTCTGGACTGGCTGGAGATTTTCTGGACTGGCTGGAGATTTTCTGGACTGGCTGGAGATTTTCTGGACTGGCTGGAGATTTTCTGGACTGGCTGGAGATTTTCTGGACTGGCTGGAGATTTTCTGGACTGGCTGGAGATTTTCTGGACTGGCTGGAGATTTTCTGGACTGGCTGGAGATTTTCTGGACTGGCTGGAGATTTTCTGGACTGGCTGGAGATTTTCTGGACTGGCTGGAGATTCTCTGGACTGGCTGGAGATTTTCTGGACTGGCTGGAGATTTTCTGGACTGGCTGGAGATTCTCTGGACTGGCTGGAGATTCTCTGGACTGGCTGGAGATTCTCTGGACTGGCTGGAGATTCTCTGGACTGTCTGGAGATTCTCTGGACTGTCTGGAGATTCTCTGGACTGTCTGGAGATTCTCTGGACTGTCTGGAGATTCTCTGGACTGTCTGGAGATTCTCTGGACTGTCTGGAGATTCTCTGGACTGTCTGGAGATTCTCTGGACTGTCTGGAGATTCTCTGGACTGGCTGGAGATTCTCTGGACTGGCTGGAGATTCTCTGGACTGTCTGGAGGTTCTCTGGACTGGTAACGTTTTGGACTGTCTGGAGACGATCCGGGCTGTCTGAAAATGTTTTGGGATGCCCGGAAATGTCAACTTTCTAAAAATATTATTGACTTGTATTTTTCTGCATTTTTTTCTTAAAAAGTAAATCACTTCTGGCTCTTATAAGGCGCTGCATTATCCCAGTATACTTATAAACCACTTAAATTATTTTATTGATTCCTAAGGCAACATTTGCACATATCAGAAAGTTCATGCAACTTGCCTTATGATAAAATATCTTCTACACCTAGTAAATTTTTTCTCAATTATTAATCACGATTCAATTCTTTTCTCTTAGGTGAACATCATGATTGTTGAATTGAAATCCGATGCTTTGAAAGAACGTCACTGGAAGCAATTGACAAAACAACTCCGAGTCAGCTGGATTTTAAGTGATCTAACACTCGGCCAAGTATGGGATGTCAACTTGCTCAAGAACGAGTCAATTGTTAAGGATGTTATCCTGGTTGCTCAGGGTGAAATGGCTTTAGAAGAGTTCTTGAAACAAGTTAGTAAAATAATCTATACAAACTATATTTTGTCATTTTTTAAATAAGATCCTCTATGACTATTATTTTGATTTATTTTTTCCTTTAGGTTCGAGAGTCTTGGCAAAACTATGAATTGGATTTGATAAATTATCAGAACAAGTGCAAAATTATACGTGGTTGGGACGATTTGTTCAACAAAGTTAAGGAACACATAAACTCTGTTGCTGCCATGAAACTTTCACCATACTACAAGGTAAAGGAATCACCCATAGATAAAATCTTTAAACATTTCTTTTCCTATTCAGGATTATGCATTTATTTTTTTCTCAGGTGTTTGAAGAAGAAGCCCTAACCTGGGAAGAAAAACTGAACCGTATAAATGCACTCTTTGATGTCTGGATTGATGTCCAAAGGCGATGGGTTTATTTAGAAGGCATTTTCTCTGGTTCAGCTGATATTAAAACTTTGCTGCCTGTTGAAACGTCCAGATTCCAAAGTATCAGGTATAAATAAATAAATAAATAAATAAATAATGAACAAACAACACACTTTTTTGCACTAATTACACAGAGTGTATCGAGCGATTTGTAATGGATAACACAAAATGCTAATTTAGATTTCCATATTTTAAATTTTAAATTATAACACACTGATGATGAGACAAACCTAGTCTCGAAACGTTTGTGAAAATTATTATTTAATAAAATAGTGCAAAAAAGAGTGTTGTTTGTTTATATTTCTAAATTAATATGTATTATCCACTCAGAATACATTTGTTATAAATAAATAAATTTGTAGAAGATCCTTAAATTTTAAATACGTTGTATCCAATAATATTTATTACTTTTAGTTCTGAGTTCCTGGGACTGATGAAGAAAGTAACCAAGTCCCCAATGGTTATGGACGTATTGAACATTCCTGGTGTACAAAGATCATTGGAAAGATTAGCTGATCTTTTGGGCAAAATTCAGAAAGCTCTTGGAGAATATTTGGAACGCGAACGAAATTCCTTCCCCAGGTAATAATATACACCTAAGTCTGTTTTTACACGGTCTTTTTGTACACGGTTTTGATATAACACGGTTTGAAAATTGAATATTTTTAATTTTTTTACACGATTTTATTCCATTTAGCACGATTTGAAATGTTATGTACTTAATTTTTTTTTTCAAATTTAATTTTTGCGAAATATGTTGATATCACAAAAAAGTATTTATGAAAGAAAAAAGTCTGAAACCATCGATAGTATAGTACCGATAGTTTGCGATTTAAGTGAATTCCCCTTTAGCGCGTACAAACAATTATTATTATTAATATTATTATATTATTATACTACTTTTAAGATTAGAGTGCATATCTTTTTTATCATTAATTACTATGCTTGTGAAAATAAGCATTATATATTTGATTTAATAAAATAAACATGAATACTTGTTCTTAAAAATTCTTGTTTTTCACTAATTTTAATAGGTTTTAAAGATTAGGAACAAATCACCCATTTTTGTATAAGATCAATGTCTTTTTTTACACGGCTTCTTCTGGAACCAATCTACCGTGTAAAAACAGACTTAGGTGTATACTGTTTTTATTATATTTTGGTTATTTACATCTCTGTTTTTGTGCAGATTTTACTTTGTTGGTGATGAAGATTTATTGGAAATCATCGGCAACAGCAAGAACATTGCAAGGTTGCAAAAGCACTTTAAAAAAATGTTTGCTGGTGTTGCTGCAATTTTGTTGAATGAGGAAAACAATATCATACTTGGAATAGCATCCAGAGAAGGAGAAGAGGTACGCTATTTATTTTTTCTCAGTTCATCAGATGATTGTAATTCAATTACATTTTAGGTAAAATTCCTAAATCCTGTATCCACTGTCGATCATCCCAAAATCAACGAATGGCTGACATTAGTTGAAAAAGAGATGAGAGTGACTCTGGCTTCTTATTTAACACAAGCTGTGCAGGACATCAAGCAATTCAAAGGTGCAGCTATCGATCCACAGAAATACATGGAATGGTGTGATAAATATCAGGTAAAATTTGATAAAAATTTATTGCAGCTATTTTAAAAATTGGATACATGTGTTGTGTTTATTTTAGGCTCAAATCGTAGTTTTGGCAGCACAGATCTTGTGGTCAGAGGATGTTGAGGCTGCTCTTCAGCAAGCTGATGGTGGACAAGGTATAATCATAAAATACACATTTAGATTTGATAAAATAATATATTAATATAATGTAATTGATTTTATTTCCAGGAAGTGGACATTTAGAACGAGTTCTATCTACTGTTGAAGGCACTTTAAATGTCCTGGCTGATTCTGTACTGCAGGAACAACCAGCTTTGCGCAGACGAAAATTGGAACACTTGGTAAATTTTTAAACACTTTTTACCCAATTTACAAATCTTGGTATCTAATTTTCATTTTTTTTCCTTTAGATTAACGAATTTGTCCACAAACGTACTGTAACCAGAAGACTGATCGGAAACAATGTGAAGAGCTCCAAATCCTTTGACTGGTTATCAGAAATGAGGTTCTATTTCGATCCACGACAAACAGAGGTAGATGATGATGATTGATATATTGATTGCAGTAGTATAAATTATTTTTTTGATGTAGGTTTTGAAACAACTAACGATCCATATGGCAAATGCTAAATTCTTCTACGGTTTCGAGTACTTGGGTGTCCAGGACAGGTTGGTTCAGACTCCGTTGACTGATAGATGTTACTTGACGATGACTCAAGCTTTGGAATCACGTTTGGGTGGTTCACCATTCGGTAAAATGATTTTTATATTCAACAACCAACATTGAACAGCATCTATCAGAGTTTACTAATGCGTTTTAATATTTTTTTTAGGTCCTGCTGGTACTGGTAAAACTGAATCAGTTAAAGCTTTAGGTAACCAACTTGGGCGTTTTGTTCTGGTTTTCAATTGTGACGAAACATTTGATTTCCAAGCCATGGGAAGAATCTTCATCGGTTTGTGCCAAGTGAGTACTAAAATTATGGGACATTGTTTTGTTTTGGTTTACAAAATTTTGTGACTATTGATTTGTTTGTAGGTGGGTGCATGGGGTTGTTTTGATGAATTCAATCGTCTTGAGGAAAGAATGTTGTCTGCGGTGTCACAGCAAGTCCAGACTATTCAGGAAGCGCTGAAATCCCAAGCTGACTCCAACAAAGAAAGCGGTATACATAATAGAAAAATATTATGGCAAGGCCATGTTACACTCTGACTTCCACTGAATCATACTGAATACTGTCAAATTGTCATGTATTTGCTATGCATTCAGGCAGTTTTACACATAAACTGCAACGTCACTCGTATGTTATGAAGCAGGGTCAGAAAGACCTGTTATCCAACATTGTTTTTTTGACATTTGTGCAGTATTTAGGTTAGGTTTTCCATCTGACAACCTGCGTAAAACGCCTGACTGCACAGCAACCTCATGGCTTTTGCAAAATTTAGTATGGCAAGTTCTTCATTAATATGGTCTTGCCATAACATTGAGCTATTATGGATCTGGCAAATATTTATTGATCTATTTGTTTATCCTTTACCTTTAGCTATTACCGTGGAGTTAGTCGGCAAACAAGTGCGAGTTTCAACAGACATGGCCATCTTCATCACCATGAATCCGGGCTATGCAGGCAGATCCAATTTACCAGACAATCTTAAGAAGTTGTTCCGTTCCTTGGCTATGACATCTCCGGACAGACAGTTGATTGCTGAAGTCATGCTGTTCAGTCAAGGGTTCCGTACTGCTGAAAGACTTGCTTGCAAAATTGTACCATTCTTCAAGTAAGTGGAAAGGATATACATCTTTATCTCTGGATCATATCTAATTATAATTAAATTTTTAGGTTATGTGACGAACAATTGTCGAACCAATCGCATTACGATTTCGGTCTGAGAGCTTTGAAGAGTGTGCTAGTATCTGCTGGAAATGTTAAACGTGATAGAATAATGAGAATTAAGGTACTTTTTACATCCATTACACAATCATAACCTAAATTACCACTAACCAATATTTATTATTAGGATAATATGGTACAACGTGGTGAAACCAACATCGATGAAGCTTCCATTGCTGAAAATTTACCAGAACAAGAAATTCTGATTCAATCGGTTTGTGAAACAATGGTTCCCAAACTTGTTGCAGAGGACATTCCACTTTTGTTCTCTTTGTTGAACGATGTGTTCCCGAATGTCGGATACACCAGGGCTGAAATGACAGGTCAGGAAATAATAATTTCAAAGATATCCTTCAAATTCATTTTTCTTTACACTTATCTAATTATAAAAATATAGACAGTATAAAAACACTTGCAAAGATCCCTTGAAGCCTTTTTCTTTGTTAAATTCATCATTTTATACAAGATATAAAAAAAATGATATATTTATATATAACAATACATTTAAAACATTTTTATAGGCGCCCTGAATTTATTTTTACAAAAATAAAAATATGGACTGCATTAAAATACTTTCATAGACCCCCCGAAGCCTTTTTTCTTTGCTAAATTAATCATTTTTCACAAGATTTAAAAAATTTGATGTACTTATATATAAGAATGCATTTAAAACCTTTTCATAGGCACTCTGGATTCATTTCTATAAGTAAAAAAAATATTAAAATGCATTAAAATACTTGCAAAGACTTCTCGAAAATTTGGTATCATTATATATAGGAATACATTTAAAACATTTCTACAGGCACCCTTAATTCATTTTTATAAGTATAAAAATATAGACTGCATTAAAGTACTTTCAAAGACCCCTTCGAAGCCTTTTGCCTTTACTAAATTTATCTTTTTTCACAATATACAAGAAATTTTATATATTTATATATTAGAATATATTAAAATCATTTTTATAGGCACCCTGAGTATATTTTTATAAGTATAAAAAAGTGGATTGTACTAAAATACTGTTATAATCCTCTTGAATCCATTTTTCTTAACTAAATTCATCATTTTACACAAGATATAAAAAAATTTGATATATTTATATATAAGAACACACTTAAAACATTTTTATAGGCACCCTGAATTCATTTTTATAAATAAAAATATAGACTGCATTAAAATACTTGCATAGACCCCCCGAAGCCTTTTTTTTTTTGCTAAATTTATAATTTTGCACAAGATATAAGAAATTTGATATATTTATATATACTCGTATATAAGAATACATTTGAAATATTTCTATAGACACCCCGAATTCATTTTTCTTGACACTTGTATGGGAAGTGTGTTGAATTTGTAGAAAAATTTATACAAAGACTAATTTTATTTAAGAAATAATTCTGTGATTAATTTTCAAACTACAAATAATTGTAGACAAAAGGAATTTATTGTTTATTAATTTAAGATTGAATAGTACATCACAAAAAATAAATTTTTTTATACAGTTTTGTTAACTTCTTTTAAAAAACAATTTTTAAATTGCGGTTATTAGAAATATTTGCTTTTGAGAATATATTATGAACAAAATAGAAAAAAATCTTCTTCTCGTTGTCAGAGAGGTTAGGTCTTGAGAAAAACTGATTTATATTAGAAACTTATTTTAGCCGACATTTAGTTGGTTATGAATACTTAATAATTTGTATTAATAAAAACAAAAATAGTAATATTGAAAATAAATAGACATAGAAAACCAAAAGTAAAAAGTGAATTTTTAACTTCCCGTAGGGTAAGTTATTGTAATGGGCCGAAAATCGGAATTGAAAATTTTAACATTTCTCGACGTTTTGAAGGTTTCTGAACGTTTTGGCATACCTCAGAAAAAATGGATGTGTGTGTGTGTGTATGTGTGTATGTGGGTGTGTGTATGTATGTATGGATACAAATTTCCAGTCACGTTTTAGGGCGCACGGATCAACCGATTTGAATGGTTCAAAAAACATTCGATTCCTATTGATAGGGAAAAGAGCTGATTAGTTTTTGGCAAAGGCAGGTCCAGCCGTTTCGGAGATACGGAGCAAAGAGTGCAGAAAATAGAAATCGAATTTTTGAGAGAACGGAGTATCCGATTTGAATGATCTAAAAAACATTCAATTAGTAATGATTGGGAGAAGTGCTTATTAGTTTTAGGCAAATGCAGGCGCAGCCATTTCGAAGATACGGAGCTAAATATGTAAAAAATGGCAGTTTTTGAGAGAACTAAGCGTCCGATTTGAATGATTCAAAAAACTTTCTGCTTGTCTTAACAAAATAATTGATTTTGGAAAAAAAAATTTTGTTTCAATTTTTTTTTTTTTTTTAGTTTTTTGTATATCGGAAATATTTCAGATTTTATTTTTAATTCTGATTATAGTTCTAATATACTTTACAAATAATTTCAACTCTGCAATTCAGTTTATATAATTCTCATAAATATTAGACAATGTTACAATATTTATAATAATCTATTTGAAAACATTCAGTATTCCTCAAACATTTCGTTACGGTACGGGAAGTTCCAGCAATTTGCCTTAAGGCACGATGCCATAATTGCCTCAAGACAGAATTCCACTTACAGCTAGTTGTTTTAAAAATTGTAGGAAAACAGAATCTTGTAAAAGATTGTCGTCTGATCTATTGATAATACTATTAAAAGGTTCATAAAAATAAGGCTGCTTGCTACAAAGTCTTTCAAAAGTGCAATTTTAATATTTTCTTTTATGAATAATATTTGTACCACAATTAACTGGACACTTGTGAAAGGTTCTTTTAAATTTATTTTTAGGTTTGAAGGACGAAATCCGCAAAGTCTGTGCTGAAGAGCATCTCGTCTGTGGTGAAGGTGATGAACAAGGAGGCGCTTGGATGGAAAAGGTAATAAAACTTCATATTTTTAAAATATTTTTGGCTTTGAACCTTGGTTAATATGTTTAATAATTATGTAATACTTAACACGCTGCTTAAGGAATTTGTTGGAGAAACTTGGGTCGAAAAGGTACTTACAAATAATTAATCAAATGTAGTAGATTCATGATTAGGATCAATTAATTTAAGCGTGTACTATTTATTGAGAAATATTCTTGAGGTATGTATCAATTATATTTTTTTCCTAGGTTCTTCAATTGTACCAAATCAGCAACCTCAACCACGGCTTGATGATGGTCGGTCCAAGCGGTTCTGGTAAAAGTTGTGCTTGGAAAGTCCTTCTCAAAGCCCTTGAAAGATTCGAAGGTGTCGAAGGTGTTGCTCATGTTATTGATCCCAAAGCTATTTCCAAAGAAGCTCTGTATGGTGTTTTGGATCCAAACACTCGTGAGTGGACTGATGGTCTGTTCACACATATACTCAGGTAAGAGACAATTGATAATGGGAAAATATATATTAAATATTTATTATATACTAGATGACCCAACAGACGTTGTCCTGTACCCATGTCTACAATTTTTTAATATTCTATACTAATATTTACCGTTTACCTAAAAATAATAATTATTGTTTTTTAAATTACTCTTCACGCAAAAATGCATATACATTTATAACATGAGCGATGTTAAATGTAGAACTGCTTTAAATAAAATGATGAGTCTCAATTCCCACGCTATTGGGGACTATATTGCACACTATATTGGAAATTGAAGTCTTTTAAACAGTATAACATATCCATAACCATAACATAACACTGGTACTTCATTAATTTAATTTTTAATTATTTAAGATATCTAAAATTGCATCTTAAACTTCTCCTAATCGATATCGTGAGGGCCGAATTGTATGTATTCATCTTTACTTTCCCATTTGCTGTTATGAAGTGAAATTTTTACGAATTTTAAAACTATTGTGGAAAGATTAGTAAAAGATGCAAAGAAATTATAATGAAATTATATTGAAAAAAAATTCTATTGAAAATTTAATATCCGAATCTTGTGTTGGCGCCCCCTAAGGCGTGCGCTCGTATTTTTCGCATGCATCGCATTCAAGGTAGGACCGGCCCTTATTTATACTTAATTTCATATTTTAAGTGAATCAATTTGTCATATCCTGTTCATATGTGTATCATTCAATCTGCCATACATATACTGATTTTATATTATTTTAATTTCTGGCACATCTCAGCTGCTTTTCGGCAATAATAATGTAGACATTTCATTTTTCTTATTCATGATCATAAATTTATTATACATATTCTAATATTGTCTAGTAGGTTCATAAGTAAATTGAAATTTTTGGCAGATGATAGTTTTCTTTTATTTTTAATGCAAACAATGACATGTAGTTTATTGCAATTTTTTCCATTTATTTCCACAATATTGCACATACATCCCAGAACTTTATAATCACATACATCCTAGAAAATTTCCTTAACAAACTTCAGAAAGATTTATCAAAATTGGAATAATCGTTTAATTTAATATGGACTTTATATAATAGCAATAAAGCTCAAATTGATTCTACGTTTTAGTTAGAAAATGTTTGTATGAGAAAAAGAAAAGTGCTGTTTTTAGGTTTTTTCCGACAATTATTCGATTTTTTCTTACCGTAATAACCATCCCTGGACATCAACGAACATTTAAAAAAAGAATTGGCCAAATTGGTTCGGGCGTTGTTGAGTTATGCGCTTACCAACACATTTTGCGATTCATTCTTATATATATAAGATTTGTTATCCATTTTTGGTTAATAGGAAAATAATAGACAATGTTCGTGGAGAAATCAACAAACGCCAATGGATAATCTTCGATGGTGACGTCGATCCCGAATGGGTAGAAAATTTGAATTCAGTCCTGGATGACAATAAATTACTAACTTTGCCTAATGGAGAAAGATTGTCGCTTCCACCAAACGTTCGCGTCATGTTTGAGGTAAAATAATATACAGTCATATGTCTTATAATCTCGTATTTATTATATAGCATGTTTATTATTTTTTCCCAGGTGCAAGATTTGAAGTACGCAACTTTGGCAACTGTATCACGTTGCGGTATGGTATGGTTCTCAGAAGATGTCCTGTCCACGGAGATGATCTTTGAAAATTATTTGACTCGTTTGAGGAGCACGCCACTGGAGGATCTTGAGGATGATAATTTTGCAACGAAACATATTGCTGCACAAGCCGCTACTGGATCCAGCGATTCCAAGGATGAAGGACTTAGTGTGGCCTTACAGGTAAAATAAATTATTACATGGATCAATTTAAAACAAGGCGAATTGCTGGAATTTTCCGTACCAAAAATCAAAATATTTAAAAAATATTAAATTTTTTTAGAACTTTGAAAAATAGATTTTTGCGATTATTACATTTTTTGGAAAATATTGACCTTTTTGAAAAATTAGATTTTTTTTATACTTTAAAATATTTTGAAAATTTTGAATTTTCTTTACATAGCAGTCGCTTTTTAACTTCCCGAAGGAGAAGTTTATGTTTTCATCAAAAAATCCGATTCGCTAATTTTATGTTTTCTCGACGTTTCAAGCCATTCTGAATCGAATGAGACCACATTTGGAAAAAGTATGTGTGTGTGTGTGTGTGTGTGTGTGTGTGTGTGTGGGTATGTGAACAGATTTTTTGCCGTAAATCGACGTTTTCTCGAAAACGGCTGGGTCGATTTCAAAAATTTAAAAGCCATTCGATGTATCTCGAAGGGAACTATTGTTTGTCAGTTTTGTGCGACGATCGGCCAAGCCGTTTCTTTATAAATGGCAGAAAAGTGAAAAATTTTTCGTCTACGTTTTAGCCCGCAATTCTGAATCGATTTTGAAAACTCAAAAACCGCTCGAAAGATATTGGTTGGGAATCGTGCTGATTGGTTTTTGGTAGAGATCGGCCGGGCCGTTTTCTTGTAATAAAGTTTTAAAAAAAAAATTTCGACGATTTTTATGATTATTTTTTTGACGATAGATACCATAGTCTTCTAGATTATACTAAAATATTACGGCCCTACGACAATTGGTTTAGCTTTAAAAATTCGTCAAAGTTTGCAAAAGTCAGTATGGTCTTTTTGGCATTTGTCAAAATTAGACTTTTGATCGACGTTTTCTCAAAAACGCCTGAACCGATTTTAGTTTTCAGTTATCGTTTGTCAGTTTTGTGCAACGATCTGACAAGCCGTTTCTTTGTAATTCGAAAAAAAAGTGTTAAACTTTGCGTCCACATTTAAGCTCATCCTACCGAACCGATTTTAAAAAATTAAAAACTGTTCGAAAGATATTAGTTGGGAATGGTACTGATTAATTTTAGGTGAAAATCTACCGAGCCGTTTTCTTGTAATTAACTGTTGAAAAAAAATTTAAGCCGATTTTCGTGGAACTTTTTTGGCGATATACATCATTGTCTTATAGAACTTACTGTAATATTACGGCCTTACGACAAGTAGTTTAATTTTACAAATTCGTCAAAGTTTGCTAAAATTATTATCGTTTTTTTTGAAGTAGAATTGATGAAGTATATTATTTACACATTTTTTTTTGATTAAGTCGATTATTTACACATATCGGGAAGTTCATGTAACTTGCCTCAAGGCTAAATACCAAACCAACTAGTTTTCTAATTTTTTTAGTGGATTTCCAAACCCGCTAGGCCTGTCGTCTTAAATTTCATCAGTTCTTCATTTCGTGATGTTTTCTATTATTTTACGATTTTTATTTTAGACCCAGGGTGAAATTGCCGCAATTCTGCAATCGTACTTTGCTGCTGATGGTCTCGTTGTACGTTGTCTTGAATATGCAATGAAACAGGAACACATTATGGACTTCACCAGATTGAGAGCTTTAAGCTCCTTGTTCTCCATGTTAAACCAAGCAGCCAGGTAATAATCATCTACCACCTATTTATTAATATCAATTTAGGGATCGATTCTGGCGCATAACAGACCAATGTTATGGCAAGGCTATGTTATGAAGAACTAACATACTAAATATTGACAAAAGCCATGTGGTTGCTGTGCAGTCTGGCGTTTTCCTCAGGTTGTCAGATAAAAGAAATAAATAAATAAGCCTTTTATTTTTTGCCTTTTTACAAATTTTATACATGATTATACTAACTTAACATAAGCGTGTATATATAGAACGTTATTGTAACAGGTTGTCAGATAGAAAACCTAAATTAGAAATCGCACAAATGTCAAAAAAAAACTCAGATAACAGGGTCTTTTTGATCCAGCTTCATAACATACGAGTGTCGTTACGGTTTAGATGTAGAACGTCTCATTACACAGCAAATACTTGACATTTTGACAATATTCAGCATGATTCAGTAGCTTAATGTATGCAAGTTGGACATAACATAGCCTTGCCATAACATTTGTCAATTGTGAGGCAGAATCGGTCCCTTAGTCATTACTACAATTTACTTTCCCCACAGGAATGTTTTGATCTACAATCAGCAACATCCAGAATTCCCAGTGACTTCTGAACAAATGGAACAATATATTCCCAAAGCTCTGGTCTACTCGTTACTGTGGTCGTTCTCTGGTGATGCCAAGTTGAAGGTGCGATCAGATTTGGGAGATTTCTTGCGCAGTGTTACTACTATTCAATTGCCTGCTGCTGGAAATGCACCGATCATCGATTACGAGGTAAAATAATACTCCAAATATAAAAAAAAGAGTGCGCGTAAGGTTCACACGCGATTGAAGTAAAAGTTATTTGCTACTGTACAAGGTGGCATTTAAGTAAAAACAAATACATCATATAACAATTTTGAATAATAATTATTAGTAATATAATGGTAACACGCGTAATGCACACATTTATTAGTGTCGACCATTATACACATGTATATAATGATAAATTATAAATTATATAATTATAATAGCATTAAAAATGCGTATAATATTTAAAAGCAATAATGTTAAAGTCATACTTCCAATATGACATGATCGGTTTGTCATTGTAGTTAGCATTTAGGACTTGGACCTTCATTAGAGAAATGAAGTAATTTGTTAATCAAATAAATTCTATAATATTCATTCACACAATGGATTATGTTAAACAACGCCTAAACAAATATTGTTTTCGCAAGTTCACTCATCATGTAATTTCGTTTGAAGAACTTCATATATTTGAAATTAACATACATTCATTGCTGCTTATATTTTTTTTATTTTTTCGGTGGCGATATAATCACATTCTTTGAACAGCTGTAATAAAAATATTTTCCATTTTAATAACTTTAAAGATTTATAGAAACTAATATAATATAGAAATAATTTCTAATCAATAAAATTACTAATCATTAATATTATTAATCAATATTTTCAAGGAATAGAGTAAAATATTCTTCTGATTCAGGCATTTTTTATTAAATCAAGATTTGTACTATGATGTAACTTTAAAATGTTTATTTATCAATGCCGATTTCCTTGTTGATATCGGTACGCATACAACGTTGACGCCGGTACGCATACGACAGATCTTTATTCACATACACGACGACTAATCCCAATCGACCCGTATAAAAATGATTTCATCGAAAACGAATAACGAATCATTGGCACTCGACTCTTATCTTATTCTATCTTATCTGCTGTGTCGCATTTCCGTTGCATTGGTACGGATTTACACCCTAGTCGCGCCTAAAGAAGTTTTACTTCAAAATCTTAATTTTCTTAATTTTTTTTTTCAATTGTTTAGGTAAATCTATCCGGTGATTGGGTACCATGGTCCAACAAAGTACCAGTTATTGAAGTCGAAACCCATAAAGTCGCCTCTCCTGATATTGTTGTTCCAACACTAGATACTGTACGTCATGAGTCCTTATTATACACATGGCTTGCCGAACACAAACCTTTAGGTAAATTTATACACCCTGCATTCAAAACTTTGACACAATTTATCTCACAACTTGTTTTTTATTGCAGTCCTTTGCGGTCCTCCAGGATCTGGTAAAACCATGACACTATTCTCAGCCTTACGAGCTCTTCCTGATATGGAAGTCGTTGGCTTGAACTTCTCTTCTGCAACCACACCAGAGTTGCTCCTGAAAACATTTGATCACTATTGTGAATATAGGAAAACACCGAACGGTGTTGTCCTTGCTCCAGTACAGGTAATAGATCTCAAATCATAATACACGTAAGTCTGTTTTTACACGGAGATTGGTTCCAGAAGAAGCCGTGTAAAAAAAAACGTGTAAAAAAAGACATTGATCTTATACAAAAATAGGTGATTTGTTCCTAATCTCTAAAACCTATTAAAATTGGTGAAAAACGAGAATTTTTAAGAACAAGAATTAAATTAGTGCTATTCACATTTGCTTTGACCAGTAAAAATTGTTTGTAAGCGCTAAAGGGGAATTCACTTAAATCTTTAAGCTAGTGTTCGCAAACTATCGATACTATCGATGGTTTCAGACTTTTTTCTTTCATAAACTTTTTTGTGATATGAACATACTTTGCAAAAATTTAATTTGACAAAAAAAATTTAGGTACATAAAATTTCAAATTGTGCTAAATGGAATAAAATCGTGTAAAAAAATTAAAAATATTCAATTTTCAAACCGTGTTATATCAAAACCGTGTACAAAAAGACCGTGTAAAAACAGACTTAGGTGTACATTGTTATTGTGCAGCTGTTGATATTTATTACTGGATCATTTATATTAGTTGGGTAAATGGCTGGTCCTGTTCTGCGACGAAATCAATTTACCAGATATGGATCGTTACGGCACACAACGTGTTATTTCGTTCTTGCGACAACTTGTGGAACATCGTGGTTTCTTCAGGGCTTCAGATCAGGCCTGGGTTGCTCTGGAACGTATTCAGTTTGTAGGAGCTTGTAATCCTCCGACGGATCCTGGACGAAAACCTTTAACTCACAGGTAAAATAACTTAAAATACAAAATTCACATCCAGGACGTGGTACAACTATACTTTTATTTTGCAGGTTCTTGAGACATGTCCCGATCATCTACGTGGACTATCCTGGTGAAACATCTTTGAAACAGGTGAATAATTAATAATAAACTAGTGGTGCATGGCATCGTGCCTCAAGGCAAATTGCTGGTACTTTCCGTACGGTAATGAAATATTTGAGAAATTTTAAACTTTTTCAAATATATTAACACATACAGTAGCTTTCATTATTTTTGCTATCTTGTTATATCTGGGCAAATCAAATGTGAATCATAAATCAATTTATCTCCAGAACACTAACAATTGTCATTTCATTTCAAATTCAATTTCAAAAAAATAGTTGCTCGTAATTTACACAAAATTTAAAAAGTGCTCCGGTATAGTCAAGGTCTAAACGCATTTGCAAATAATTCTGTGCGACATTTTCACTTATACTGTGCTTAGCTCGGCGGCATTTTCACATTTTCATTCAATAGTTTTCACAAAATTGGAAAAGTGCTCCATTACATAGACAGTCTAAACACACTTGGGTGAACATTTGTACCAGAGTGGCGCTTAGACTGTGCTTAGTCTAGGCAATTTTTTGCATTTTTTATCCAAAATGACAAAAATACTTTATGGAAAATAGAAAAAGATGTAATAACTTTTTATTCTCAAAAGCAATTGTATTGTTAATACAAGCAGAAAGTTTTTTAGATCATTCAAAATTTAGCTATGTATCTTCGAAATGGCGGGACCTGTCTTTGCCAAAAACTAATCATCTCTTCTCCCAATCATTACAAATTGAATGTTTTTTAGATCATTCAAATCCGATACTCCGTTCTCTCAAAAACTCGATTTGTATTTTCTGCACCCTTTGCTCCATATCTCCGTAATGGCTGGACCTGCCTTTGTCAAAAACTAATCAGCACATCTCCCTATCAATAGAAATCGAATGTTTTTTAAACCATTCAAATCGGTTGGTCTGTGCGCCCTAAAACGTGAACGAAAAAATGCGAACACACAAAACACATACACACACAATATTATAAAATTTAGATTATTTATAAAAATCTATTTGAAAATCTATTTAATATTTTTTTATCATTTCAATACGGTACGGGAAGTTCCAGCAATTTGCCTTACTACTTATATATCTTACTACTTACTATAACCGCCCTCCCTCCCTCGCGTAATATTTCGTGATTTTTTTCCAAAGGACGTCCTCTAATTTTTTTATTTTTTTTTAGATCTATGGCACATTCAGCAGAGCCATGTTGCGACTAATGCCAGCTCTCAAAGGATACGCAGAACCTTTAACAAATGCCATGGTAGAATTCTATTTAGCATCCCAAGACCGGTTCACTCAAGACATGCAACCCCATTATGTGTATTCACCTCGTGAGATGACCAGATGGGTACGAGGAATCTGTGAAGCTATCAGGTACTAATCGAATACACACTTTGGTGATTGAACTAGGAATTAATATTGTCAATTTTACCCTCAGACCTCTGGATGCTTTACCCGTGGAAGGTCTTGTGCGCTTATGGGGCCATGAGGCTTTACGTCTGTTCCAAGATCGTTTGGTTGAAGAAAGTGAACGCAGGTGGACGAATGAAAATATTGATGCTGTGGCTCTGAAACACTTCCCGGGTATTGATGCCCACAAAGCTTTGGAGAGACCCATATTGTTCTCCAATTGGTTGCACAAGCATTATGTACCTGTTAACAGGGAGGAGTTACGAGAATACGTTAAGGCTAGGTTAAAGGTAAGAAGACTATCAATTGAGATTTATACAAAAACCGACATTTCAGAAAATCGGTTTTCGAATTTTAATTTCACTAAAAAAAAACGATTTAATCGGTTTTCGAATTTTATATAGAAAATAAATTTTTGCTCAAATATTCTGTAATTTATCCGCAAATTTAGTGTAATTTAGAGCAGTATTTGACTGAATTTATTTATTGTTCAACTTTATAGATGGTAAACAAAATTGTTTTAATTTTAATTAGTAGAACTAAAAAATATTAGTTTATCTGGATTAAATAACTTTGAAAATAATTATTCGTTATTCATGCATCATTTTCACATATAAGAATAAAAATATTTTTATGGTAGTGAAAGGAAAGTTTTTGAATAAATTAAAATAATACATTTTTAAATAAAAAAGATTCATTAAATTAAAAATTAAAAAAAAAAATAGATACATGGTGATACACACTCGTTAATATCAATTTATGTTTTAAAAACAATTAAGCTAAACTTGTATAAGGTCTTTTCCGAGCAATTTTAATTATTTAATTTTAAACATTCTAATTTTTTGTTTAATAAAATATGATTTAAAAAAACTTAAAATGTCTATCGAATTGCTACTTAGACATGTCCTTTGTTTACTCACAAAATTTCCTGAAATAGAAAATACTCTCACACTTGCGACCAAATTACGCTTAATTGTTTTTAAAGCCTTATATAATAATTCTAAGTTTTTTGTTCTTTAATTTATGGCTTCTAGGGTTTAAAACTCTTTTTTTTAAGTTTGAGTAGAGAAAGTTACTTCTTCAAGAATACGTCACACTGATTTAAATTAATATATACACAGGTATAAAAATCTAAATTAATTGTATACAATTTCTGGGAACCATTGCAGACTGATAAGATATCAAATGCTATTGAACCGATATGATTTCAAGAATCAAAACGCTTTCATCTATCTTTTATATTTGGCTATATTTGTCATTTTCCATTTTGTACAGTGAAAACCGACTTTTTTCACTAAAAACCGGTTTTCGAATTCCATAATTTCCGCCAAAAAACTGTTTTTTAAAACCGGCTTTTGAAAACCGATAATCTTTACTATCAATATTTTTGTTGCAGAAATACTAAATGAACTTTTGTTTCCAGATTTTCTATGAAGAAGAACTTGATGTACCATTGGTTCTGTTTGATGAGGTTCTTGAACACGTTTTGCGTATCGACAGAATCTTTAGACAACCCCAGGGTCATTTGTTACTCATTGGAGTGTCTGGTGCTGGTAAAACTACTTTGTCCAGATTTGTTGCCTGGATGAACGGCCTGTCTGTATTCCAGATTAAGGTAATAATAGAAATAGTAATAAAAAGCTCCAAGTTTAAGGGCCAGAACTAGTGTGAAATTTCGAAAAAATCTATTTTTGTTTTTATTCATATTTTGCTTTTGCTATATTTTGCTTTAAAAATAACATTAAAATTTTAAATCGATATCTCATAGTTTTTGAGTTACGTCCATTTAAAAGAGTGCATATATAGTATATAGCATAACTATTATTATATCTTCAAACAGAATTTTTCGAATTTGCTGCAGCGATTACTCAAAAATAAATGATCCGATCACTATCAAATTTTTTTTTACTTATTCTATATAAATTTCTCCGTAAAATGAACTATCGATTTTTTGATCGGATCAAAAATCGAATTCTGGCAGCGCAAAAACGACCAAAATTTTGGGTAAAATTCGACTTTTTTTTTAAAACGCCGCCATTTTGTCAATTTTTGATTTTTTTTTTCTACCGTAGGTCACTTTACAGACAATATTATCTAGTTTAATGAGTTTTTTTTTTTAAATTTCATCCACGTAGAAGGCCGGAATCACTGCAGCAGTGAAGGGCCTTTTTTTGAAGCGCCGTTGGAGATCGACGATAACTTGAAAAATATTTAATTTTTTTCTTAAAAAATTTTACTATGTATTCTTAAAACATGTGTAAATATATTCTTAAAATTTTGGAATGATTGATAAAGTAATTTTTTAATATAAATTCCCAAAAAGCACCTTTTTTAGGCGGTTACACTAGTTGTGCCCCTTATGATGATTATATTTTTTTTTTTTTTTAGGTTCATAACAAATACACAGGTGAAGATTTCGATGAAGATCTACGTTGCGTTTTGCGCCGATCAGGTTGCAAAGATGAGAAGATAGCGTTTATCCTGGACGAATCTAATGTTCTGGATTCTGGTTTCCTTGAACGTATGAATACTTTACTTGCCAATGGTGAAGTTCCTGGTTTATTCGAAGGCGATGAGTACACCACTCTTATGACACAGTGTAAAGAAGGCGCACAGAGGGAAGGACTGATGCTCGATTCTAATGAGGAATTGTATAAATGGTAAATAGAATATATACTTATTAGCCTGGGTAATTTAAACCTAAAATCAGGGTGAAGGTTACAATTACAATACCTACTGGGCACGTAAGAAAACGCGCTAAGCATACTACTTCATAAGTGGCGTTTAAACGTACTTTTCAAAGTGATATATCTTTAGAACGGTGGCCCTGATGGAAAAAAGTATTGATACATTTTTTGTAGATAATTATATGCTCTACAATATTGTCTCTTTTATGCTCTCAATATTGAAAAACTGACCATTTAGCTGAAATTAGCGAAATGTTCACTTTTTTTTTTACCTTGGACCACCTCAGGCCAATTTTTTAGCTCGCACCGGAACGATGAGGACTTTTGGGATTTCTTTGAATGCGTAAATTAATATGAATTATTAAATATGATAATGTTTTATTTGTTACTAGGCCAACTCGTCAAACGTTGTTTTGCTAAGTAAGGTATATTCTAAACAATTTCTAGAGAATCAAAAATATAAATACTTTTAGTGTTGTTTGTATGCTATATACAATGAGGTATTATAATAACAATAAACCCCACTAGTTTGTCTATATCTTGTCAATATAATCAAACTGGAAGTTTTATACACTTTCTATAGAAACCATGATATAATCCGAACCAAGTCTTTTTTTATCTTTTGACTTATTGATTACGTTTTAAGTTTTTCAGATTCTTTTTGGATTCTGGATTTTGTGTTTAATTGTAAATAATACTACTGAGCTTATATAAAATTTTCAAATTTCTTTGAGGAGAGATAGAAAATGAATTAAGTATTTCTTCTTTGACCTGCTTTTTGAAAAGTTTCAAGTTACATTCGATGAATTAAAGTAAATTTAATAAAAAGTATATATGCAGAGTAGGGCGAGGCACAAAGGTCCAATTTGACTTTGAGCAAATATTGATTATATTGTGAAAACCGTAACAATTATATCACAACAAATAACACATTTTAAACGAACAATTATCTGACTACGTTCAGTAAAACTGCCAGCTACTTCATCATTGTAGAAAAGCTTTTTTGCTTTCTTACAAAAATTTGTTTTCTAGACCTTTTTACCCTATAGGCAGGGTAACTTGGAACGGCCAGATGGCAAACAGGTTTAATGTCTTATTTTAATTTGAAAGGTATTTTACAAAATAATTACATTTTTAACTAATGCTATAAAACTACCAACGGAAGAAAATACTTTTATTATGGATTTTCAAAGATTACCGTTTATCTCCCATGAGAATCAAGGTTATAGCTGGTTATACATCTTTTTCCCTCTACTTTCAAATATTGTTGTAAAACAATGCTTAACTTTACTGATTTTTGACACATCGGTGGTGGACCTTTTTAACCCCGGACCTTCATATATTACTATCTATTCTTCGATAAATATTGGGAAGTTTTAACTGGGAAAATGTTATTCGATAAAATGTCCCTTTGAGCGATACCAAATTTAAATAACATGAATAAAAAATAATATAACCTAGAAAATGTTTTATAAATACCAATGAGTATATAATTATACAAATGAGATTTTTCCGAGCACCGTGTTTGAAAAAATATGATTTGCAAAAAGAGTGCTACAACGCCAAAAAGTGCATTTTCATATTAATATTTCAAAAAAGTTGATATTTTGAGTTTCTAGTAACATTTGCGATCCGTTCAATAACGTTTTTGTGTACAGATAAAACTGCAAACAAAACTACTTACTACAATTTAATCATAATCAATTAATGTTAAACATTCTATTAAACGTAATTGAATATCATCTGTTAAAAACGTTCGACATTTGACGTATTAGCCACCGTCCATTGTTTTATTCAAATTACGCTTCTACAAAAATGTTCAATTTAAAAATGTAAAGTTCCTACGCGATTTTGAAATAATATCTCACCTTTCCGACAACCTACTGATTAGCACGAATTTTTCAAGACTAAGACTGGCCAAATCGGTTTAGCCGTTTTCGAGTTTTAGCGGATCATTCGATCGAGAGCTCTATTTTTATATATAAGAAGATTAATGTTTATGGTTTTTTTTTTCAGGTTTACTGGACAAGTCATGCGCAACTTGCACGTTGTCTTCACAATGAATCCTTCGACTGATGGTTTGAAAGACAGAGCTGCAACATCACCAGCTCTCTTCAATAGGTGTGTTCTTAACTGGTTTGGTGATTGGAGTGATGGTGCTCTGTTCCAGGTACAAATCAAACACTCTCCTTTTTCCATTTACATCACCTTTCTTGTTATTTACAATAATATTCTGGTTACTTCAGGTTGGCAAAGAATTCACATCTCGTGTGGATTTGGACCGTTCATCCTGGCGTGCACCAGACTTCTTCCCTGCTTCGTGCGCACTTTTACCAGCCTGTGTTAGTCATCGTGATGCAGTCGTAAATGCTTTCGTATATGTCCACCAGACCTTGCACAAGGCCAATGCCAGGTTGGCTAAACGGGGAGGACGTACTGCTGCCATCACACCCAGGTAGATAATAGAAACGTAATAGATAACAAAGTAACTAGGAATTTATCTTAATATTGTTTTGTATTAATTTTTTTCAGGCATTATTTGGACTTCATCCATCATTTCGTAAAACTGTACTCTGAGAAGAGAAGCGACTTGGAGGAACAGCAGTTGCACTTGAACGTTGGTCTTAATAAAATTGCAGAGACGGTGGAACAAGTAGAGGAGATGCAGAAGAGTCTTGCTGTTAAATCACAGGTAATTATAAATAGTTAGTGGCACTATGCCTTATGGCAAGTTGCATAAAAATGAATAACTAGTGGTGCAACTAACATTTAGGTTTTCATAATAGATTTTTGAAATTTTAACATGGCCCACAATTTTTAACTTCCCGAAGGAGAAGTTTATGTTTTTATCAAAAAATCCGATTCGCTAATTTTATGTTTTCTCGACGTTTCAAGCCATTCTGAATCGAATGGGACCAAATTTGGAAAAAGTATGTGTGTGTGTGTGTGTGTATGTGAACAGATTTTTTGCCGCAAAACGACGTTTTCTCCAAAACGGCTGGAACGATTTCAAAAATTTAAAAGTCATTCGATGTATCTCGATGAGGACTATCGTTTCTGAGTTTTGTGCGGCGATCGGCCGGGCCGTTTCTTTGTAAATTGCAGAAAAGTCAAAAAATTTTCGTCCACGTTTTAGCCTGCAATTCTGAATCGATTCTGAAAATTCAAAAACCATTCGATAGATATTGGTTGGGAATCGTGCTGATTAGTTTTTGGTAAAACTTTGATAAAGATAAACTTTGGTAAAGATTGGCCGGGCCGTTTTCTTGTAATAAAGTTTTTAAAAAAAAAATTTCGATGATTTTTATGATTTTTTTTTTGACGGTAGATACCATAGTTTTCTAGGTCATACTAAAATATTACGGCCCTACGACAACTCGTTTAGCTTTAAAAATTCGTCAAACTTTGCAAAAATTGGTATCGTTTTATTGACATTTGTCAAAATAAAGTCTTTGATCGACGTTTTCTTAAAAACGCCTGAACCGATTTTAGAAATTTAAAAGCCATTTGATGTATTTCGGTGAGGACTATCGTTTGTCAGTTTTGTGCGACGATTTGCCAAGCCGTTTCTCTATAATTTGAAAAATAGTGTTAAACTTTTCGTCCACATTTAAGCTCATCCTACCGAACCGATTTTAAAAAATCAAAAACTGTTCGAAAGATATTAGTTGGGAATGGTACCGATTAGTTTTAGGTGAAAATCTACGGAGCCGTTTTCTTGTAATTAACTGTTGAAAAAAAAATTTAAATCGATTTTTATGGATTTTTTTTAGTGATATACCATGGTCTTATAGAACTTACTGAAATATTACGGCCTTACGACAAATAGTTTGATTTTAAAAATTCATCAAAGTTTGAGAAAATGAGTAGTGCTTTTGAGATTTGTTAAAATTAAAATTAGACTATTTACTTGGTATAACGCTAGAGTACTTGGTCTTAATAAACATAATAAACCATTAAAGTTCTGAAAACTGGTTCAATTATATAAAATTTGCTTTTAGAAAATACTCCGAGTCAAAGTGTTCGTTCGTTTCAATTATGTGTAATAAATCCACTCGGAATACTTTTAATGACGTATAAATTAATTTATTTTTTATTGATTATGTCGATTATTTAAACATATCGGGAAGTTTATGTAACTTGCCTCAAGGCTAAATACCAAACCAACTAGTTTTTACATAAACGACTTATTACTTACTTACCTTCTTTATCAAACCAACTTTCTTTTGGGACTGGGGTATTTTATATCGTTTTCTTTTTTTTCAGGAGTTGCAAGCCAAGAACGATGCTGCCAATGCTAAATTGAAGCAAATGATGAAAGATCAGCAAGAAGCTGAAAAGAAGAAGGTTCAGTCTCAAGAAATTCAAGTGGCACTTTCTAAACAAACTGTGCAAATTGAAGAAAAGCGTAAGGATGTTATGGCAGATCTGGAAAAAGTCGAACCGGCTGTTATTGATGCCCAAACAGGTAGGATAGAAAATTTACATTGCTCCTTTGTAATATCCCTATTGTAGTAATAATAAATTTATTTATATCAGGCAGATTATATTTTTATAATGCATATATAAACGTATCTCGTTTAAACTCTAAATTAGATTTTGCGATCTTTGTTGCTTCTAAAATGAAATTATTTTACTAGTGCAGAAAACGGAGCGTTTTGGGTCTGATTTTTTTATACTGTGCTACGAATTGCATGAAATTTTGGAATTAGGTTCATCTTACCCTCAAGTTCAAAAGTGAAAACAATTCGGGTTCCGCTACCATCCCCCGGGGAGATTACATCCCTTCTCAATTGTGTAATTACATGTCTTTTATAGTTTTTCAAAGAAACTAATACTTTTCAAGTTATAGGCCACTAAAAATTCATATATTTTTGGCGTCTTTCTTCCTTTTTTTTGCAAATATCTCCTAAAATATACATTTTAACGAAAATCATGTAATGAACAAAATAATGTCAATAAAAATCTTAATAAATCGGTGTTTCAAAAAGTGTTCTAGAAATAATATTAAGCAAGATTTGAAAAGGCAAAGCCGTTTTTTATTTCGTTCAAGATTTAATTGTTGTATTTAAAGCCAGCTACTGGCGAGATTTTACATTTTATGCATTTCGGTGAAATTGGGTTTTATAGTGCTCAACATAAGCTTTAAAATGAGTGCAGTTACAAGTTTTTTGCGTGTAAAAATGACTGAGCTATCATGCAAATAAGAAGCATATACTATGTTTTTTCCTTTTAAATCGTATGGTTTAATAAGCGCCATTTCCACCAGAATTAAAGTAATTCACATTCCGTCTAGAATTCACTTCATTATAGACATCTTGATGAATTCTAGCAGATTCACTACTTTAGTACAAACTATTTTCAGAAAACTCACGATTTTATAAAAACTTTTTTTCCCGATTTTTTTAAAATAGAACTTGTTTTCATTATATCTCAAAAAGAATATAAGATACGTATAAAAGCATATACATAAAAATCAAAGGGATCTTTCTGGTTTATTATTGTTTTTCATTATTTTTTATACATTATTTTTATACATTTATTTTTTTACAAAATTTTGTATTATTCGGTTGATTGTGAAATGTATTTATCTTCACATGGTACAGAATTTTGGCAGGCGATTTATTCTTATATAGTAAAGTATCTTATGGCTGAGAGGTTCACGTGTTAATTAATTAATATAGTTTTATATCACTATAGTCACATGAAAGTTTAATAATTGCAGTAATAAGAACAACAAATGTACGAGTTTAGACAAAATTATACTGGGTATTAGTGTCATATTAACTGTTTTTATTCAAGGGTAGTTTTAAGAGGTGAACAAATTATGGATATGGTAATTATTTTCGGGAAATTGAAATAACATTCATATTATTTTGAATTTCTTAATTTTCTCTCAATTTCAAAATAATTTTTTCAAACAATTTTTCATCAAAGGGTTGTTTTTAAGGGTCTAAAAAGGATTCAAAATTCGATAATCAAGATAGAAAACATGAAATATTATTTACTCTATACGTAATTCTTATTATATCATACCGAAATTTATTTTTAAGAGTTTTTTTTTTCAATTTAGAGGTTGTTTGAAGGGTTTTAGGGTTTTCACGGAGTTGAAAATGATTTTATTGCAAGGTAAATGTATTAAAAAATATTTTTTAAATATATACTTTAATATTAAAAACGTTTTCTAGCGATAATGTCCACTTATTTATTGAGAAGTACCAACCCCCCCCCCCCGGGGGCTGGTGGCGCAACCCGAATTGTTTTCACTTTTGAACTTGAGGTTAAGATGAACCTAATTCCAAAATTTCATGCAATTCGGAGCACAGTAAAAAAAATCAGAGTTTATACCATTTTTGCTCGCCGTTTACTGCACTATTCATTATTTTCAAATTTTGAATGATCAATGACGAAACTATTCCTAAGTTAGGAACGTCCTAAAAGGCAGTTTACACTAATTGTTTTTTCTAATGGATACAAAATATGTAATTAAGCATTTTACTTCAAAATAACACTTTCTACGACCTAATAAAGCTGTAAAGTCCATCAAGAAGCAACAGCTGGTGGAGGTTCGTTCTATGGCAAATCCTCCAGCCATCGTTAAATTAGCATTGGAATCGATCTGTCTACTTCTTGGAGAGAGTGCCCTGGACTGGAAGGCCATCAGATCTGTCCTGATGAGAGACAATTTTGTACCCACTATTGTCAACTTCAACACTTCGAATATCACGTACGCGAAATCAATATTAGAGTCATCTTTATGAATATAAATGCAGCGCTGCTACTAGATATTGCTAAAACTTTCCTTCTTCTTCTCTATTAACTTGATTAGAATAGTCGGAGTATTATATATTGTGGCATGGGTGAAGATGAGATTTTGATATGTGGAGTTTAATTATCGGTGATTATTAACCAGTTAATTGATGAGATTATATAACTAGTTGGTATTGGTCTTTTGCCTTAAGGCAAGTTACATGAACTTTCCGATATGTGTAAATAATCGACTTATAAAAAATAAATTAATTCATGAGTGATTAAACGTATTTCGAGTGGATTTCTTACACATCATTGAAAACGAACGAACGAACACTTTAACTCTCGGAGTATTTTCTAAAAGAAAATTTTCACAAATCAAACTTTGTTGAATTTTTAAAATTAAACTACTTGTCGTAAGACCGTAATATTTCAGTAAGTTCTATATGACCATGATATATATCGCCAAAAAAGTTCCTAAAAAATCGGCTTAAATTTTTTATTCGACTGTCAATTACAAGAAAACGGCTCGGCAGATTTTCACATAAAACTAATCAGTATCATTCCCAACTAATATCTTTCGAACAGTTTTCGATTTTTTAAAATCGATTTGGTAGTAGGATCTTAAAAGTGAACGAAAAATTTAGCACTTTTTTCAAATTACAAAAAAACGGCTCGGCAGATCGTCTCACAAAACTGTGAAACGATAATCCTCATCAAGATACATCAAATGGCTTTTAAATTTCTGAAATCGGTTCAGGCGTTTGTGAGCAAACGATGAAAGGTCTAATTTAGTCAAAGGCCAAAAAAACGATACTAATTTTTGCAAACTTTGACGAATTTATAAAATTAAACGTCTTGTCGTGTGGTCTTAATATTTTAGTATCTATAAGACTATGGTAGCCATTGTAAAAAAAAATTAATAAAAATCGTCTAAAAAAAATGTTAACACTTTATTACCAGAAAACGACCTGGCCGATCTTTATCAAAAACTAATCAGGTCGATTTCCAACCAATATCTTTCGAACGGTTTTTGAATTTTCAAAATCGATTCAGAATTGTGGGCTTAAACGTGAACGAAAAATTTTTCACTTTTCTGCTATTTACAAAGAAACGGCCTGGCTGATCGTTGCGCAAAATTGATAAACCCTAGTCTTTATCTAAATACATCGAATGGCTTTTGAATTTTTGAAATCGATCCAGCCGTTTTTGAGAAAACATCGATTCACAGCAAAAAATCTGTTCACATACACGTACACATACACACACACACATATACACACATTTTCCAAATTTGGCCTCATTCGATTCAGAATGGCTTGAAACGTCGAGAAAACATAAAATTAGCGAATCGGATTTTTTTATGAAAACAAACTTATAAAACATAACTTCGGGAAGTTAATAATACTTTTTTTATCCCACGTTTTAAGTCATTCTCAATCGTCTGACACCAAAATTACAAAAAGTATGTAGGTGTGATCAACAATTTGATCTTTTATCAGAAGGAGGAGTTTTTTTTTTGATGATTTACGGATTTATTTAAATTAGAAGGAAGAAGAGGTCCTTGCACGTACCCTTGCGGAGCACCTATTTTTATAATTAAATTCTTAGAAACAAATTTTCCTTACTTGTATTCTTTTGCGGTTAAATATCATTAGTAGAGTAATCAATATTTTGAATAAAAATATAAGTAATACCAAAAATTAATTTTGTCGCAATTTTATAATATAATTTTAATAAATTCTCGTCAGAAGCGATATATATTTTGCTTTTGCGAAAGCAACTTTTATCTTCTATTTATACCAAAACTCATTAATTATGTTAGTCGAATGGTTTTAAAGATATATAAAAGCAATTAGTAAAGACATCAAGATCCGTAATATTTAGATTTTGAGAATTCCATTATATTTTTTATAAACGAGACCTATTCAAAAAAAAAACTGAATTCAGGTTTTCGGTATCTCGGAATCTTGGTATTGGAATCCCTGATCTTAATAAATTATTATTTCGTTAACTGGTTAATACTTCACCAAAACTCCCTCGATGTCTGTAAATAACTGGATTTTGTTGTACAAATGTGTTTGTATGTATGTCTGTTATATAATACTTTGCAGAAAAATTTAGTGCAAAATAGGTGATTGCGTAGTGCATCTCGCATATTATATTGACGTCGTATCATAGTATCCATCAACGTCTTTTTCTTCCTCTTTGTAAATACATATATGCATTCTTTCTAAATTGTGCTAACTGCCTGAGCTAAAACGTATATAAATAATGAAGCTTTTAATTTTTTAACGACTGAGAAACGCATGGAACGAAATATATAATTTTTTTGTTATAATATTTATGTGATTTTCTTTCATTGCGTTTCTGCAGATGCTCTGGAACAAACTGATGAAAAATTACTAATTTTACTTCGGTAAATTAAATTACTATAACCGGAGTACGTGCAATAATGTATAATATTCATTTATAACAGGTGTTGTAAAATAATTAACAAGTTTAAAATTTAGGAGCTGGACCAGTTGCAGAATGGACGAATATAATATAAATGTTTTATTAATTTTTTGTGACTATATTAAATATGTATTAATATGCCTCTGAAAGCACACACACATAGTTTTGTTTTGATACATTACTATCAACATTTAGAATTTGCTAATGGGGCATATTGATACATATACTTGATTTATCAACATATTCATTTACCATAGTCCAATATTTACACTAGGGTGGTCCTTAATATGGATATGTAAGAATTTCTTTACTTCCAAGGGCTCAAATGCGTCCAAATTAATAAGAAAACTAGCTGTAAGTGGAATTCTGTCTTGAGGCATTTATGGCATCGTGCCTTAAGGCAAATTGCTGGAACTTCCCGTACCGAAATGTTCGAGGAATACTGAATGTTTTCAAATAGATTATTATAAATATTGTAACATTGTCTAATATTTATGAGAATTATATAAACTGAATTGCAGAGTTGAAAATATTTGTAAAGTATATTAGAACTATAGCCAGAATTAAAAATAAAATCTGAAATATTTTTGATAAAACTAAAAAAAAAAAAAAAAAAAAAAAAAAAAAAATTGAACAAAATTTTTTTTTCCAAAATCAATTATTTTGTTAAGACAAGCAGAAAGTTCTTTGAATCATTTAAATCGGACGCTTAGTTCTCTCAAAAACTGCCATTTTTTACATATTTAGCTCCATATCTTCGAAATGGCTGGGCCTGCCTTTGCCAAAAACTAATAAGCACTTCTCCCAATCATTACTAATTGAATGCTTTTTAGATCATTCAAATCAGATACTCCGTTCTCTCAAAAATTCGATTTCTATTTTCTGCACTCTTTGCTCCGTATCTCCGAAACGGCTGGACCTGCCTTTGCCAAAAACTAATCAGCTCTTTTCCCTATCAATAGGAATCGAATGTTTTTTGAACCATTCAAATCGGTTGATCCGTGCGCCCTAAAACGTGACTGGAAATTTGTATCCATACATACATACACACACACACACACACACACACACACACACACACACACACACATCCATTTTTTCTGAGGTATGCCAAAACGTTCAAAAACCTTCAAAACGTCGAGAAATGTTAAAATTTTCAATTCCGATTTTCGGCCCATTACAATAACTTACCCTACGGGAAGTTAAAAAAGAGTGCGCGTAAGGTTCACACGCGATTGACGTAAAACTTATTTGCTATTGTGCGAGATGGCATTTAAGTAAGAATAAATACATCATTTAACAATTTTGAATAATGTTTATTAGTAATATGGTAACACTCGTGATGCACACATTTATTAGTGTCAACCATTATACTCATTTATATAATGATAAATTATATAATATATATTTATAATGGCATTAAAAATATGTATAATATTTAAAAACAATAATGTAATTAAAGTCATACTTCAAATATGACATGGTTGGTTTGTCATTGTAATTAGCATTTAGGACTTGAATCTTTAATAGAGAAATGAAGTTTGCTGATTAATATTTTTTATAATATTCGTTCACACAGTGGATTATGTTAAACAACGCCTAAACAAATATTGTTTTCGCAACTTCACTCAACATGCAATAATTGTGTTTGAAGAACTTCATGTAATTAAAATTACTATACATTCATTGACTGATTGTATTTTTCTTACTTTTTCGCTGACGATATAATTTTATTCTTTGAACAGCTGCAATATCTGTCTTGCCTAAAAATATTTTCCGTTTTAATAACTTTAAAGATTTATAGAAACGTCGAATAATATAGAAATAATCAATAAACTTACGTTTAGTACACGGCCCAAATGTTTAATTTGTTTTATTATTTTCAAGGAACACGGTGAAATATTCTTCTGATTCAGGCATTTTTCATTAAGTCGACATTTGTACTACAATGTAACTTGTATATTTATTATTAACTTATATTATTTTGTGCCATCTGTGAGAGCGGACTTGTAATTTTGATGGCAATTTATTACTTATAGTTTGAGTGTTAATATCACCAATTAAATACATATTTTCATGCGAAATTAATCTTAAATAAATATTTTTTTTACACAGTCCACATGAATTTAATTAAAAGTTAAGTGTTTTATAAATATTTTTTTGTGTCATAATATTTGAGTTCACAAATGCTACCACATATGGGAAACTTTTAATTGAATTGCTTACTGTCTAAATGTTAATATTAAGAGCTAAAACTTTCAGAGGATTTTTCAAGTAAAACTTCTTTAGGCGCGAATAGATTGTAAATCCGTACAAATGCAACGGAAGTGCGTTACGGCCGAGTCTATACGGGTCGCTTGTGATTAGTCGTCATGTATGTGAATAGAATACTGCCGTTGTATGCGTACCGATATCAACAAGAAAATCGGCATAGATAAATAAACATATTATAGTTACATTGTAGAACAAATTTTGATTTAATGAAAAATGCCTGAATCAGAAGAATATTTTACCCTGTTCCTTGAAAATAATAAAACAAATTAAACATTTGTGCTGTGTACTAAGCGTAAGTTTATTGGTTAGAAACTATTTCTATATTATTCGTAGTTTCTAACAATCTTAGAAGTTATTAAAATTAAGGTGACCATACGTCCCGGTTTGGCCGGGGAAATCCCGAATTTTCACCTTGTGTCCCGGGTTTTTTTAAAAGCATTATTTGTCTCGGATGTAGGTCTTTTGTTCCGGATTGTCCCGGATTTTCAAAAGGTATAGATTTAAATTAAATTTTCGCACAAATTTGATAATAAAATTACAACTGTCACATCAAATATACGAAAATGTTACGTACAAAGAATATGCTCATATGAAACAATACGTTATGAATGAAAAAATTGCTTATTACAGAAATCTGAAGGCGGAAAATAGCCTCTTACATTAAAAATTTCGACAAAAAATAACAAAAATTATGAATTTTTTTCGACTGCCGCCTAGCATAAGTCCTATTTTTTAAAAAAGCTCTTATGCTTTTATAATTATGTAAAAAATTGATTAAAGTATTAAAGTTTAAAAGCGAAAAATATAAGATATAATATAACACATATTTAAATAATAAAGATCTTACTAGAAGTCAGTAATTTTGATTAAAAAAAATTGGTTTATTAAAATCAAATTGATTTGTATTGCATTCTTAAATAGTATTTGCTATTTAAGAAGAAAGTTTTGTTGCTAATACCTACCCCCGGATTACCGTAACTAAAAATTACCGTCCCGGTATTTGACTTAAAAAAAAATATGGTCACGTTATTAAAATGGAAAATATTTTTTAGGCAAGACAGATATTACAGCTGTTCAAAGAATGAGATTATATCGCCAGCGAATAAGTAAAAAAATAATACAAGCAGTCAATGAATGTATGCTAATTTTAATTCCATTAAGTTCTTCAAACACAATTATTACATGATCATTAAAGTTGCTCAAACAATATTTGTTTAGGCGTTGTTTAACATAATCCACTTATAATAGAATTTATTAATCAGCAATTACTTCATTTTTCTAATGAAGGTTCATTTCTAAATGCTAATTACAATGACAAACCGATCATGTCATATTTGAAGTATGACTTCAATAACATTTTCATTTTTGAATATTATACATATTTTTAATGCTATTATAAATATATAATTTATCATAATATAAATGTGTATAATGGTTGACACTAATAAATGTGTGCATCACGAGTGTTACCATATTACTGATGAACATTATTCAAAATTGTTATACGATGTATTTATTTTCACTTAAAAGCCATCTTGTACAGTAGCAAATAAGTTGTACTACAATCGCGTGTGAACCTTACGCGTACTCTCTTTAACAATTTCGAAACATTTGAGCTCCTGGTAGTAAAAAAATTCGAACATATCCATATTAAGGAACACTCTAATGCCGACATGAGTCTTTTACTTTGGGCTCATAATCATCATCTTCTAATCAACATAAAATTCATGTATCTCTAAAACCAAAAGCCGTCAAGTCGATCAAGAAGCAGCACCTGGTCGAAGTTCGTACCATGTCGAATCCTCCTGCGATCGTCAAAGTGGCCTTGGAGTCAATCTGTCTGCTCCTGGGAGAGAATGCGAGCGATTGGAAGAGTATCAGGGCGGTCATTATGAGGGACAATTTCATCAATTCCATCGTGTCCAATTTCAGCACGGAGGACATTACGTAAGGAGGATAATTGATAATTGATATATGATTAAATATACATTATTATAATCATTACTGTTGGTGCATCCTGTCCATAGACAGGTCTGTGGCGTAAAATCACCATATTTTATTTGTCCATATTACCTTCCTTGTTTATAGTACACGTTTTAATTTTGTTCTCATGCTTCCTTGACAAAGTCATAAGTCGTTCGTCAAACACATTCTTCTTCGTACCAGTTTTTTTCGATACTTGCATTTTTTCAATGGCCTCGTGCAGAAGATAATATTTACTCTAAATGGTTTCATTTCTGTTACCTTTCTTTCACAATCCTATCAATCCAGCAGAGTTTTTTCTTTTACCACAATCCTGCAATATTTCTTCGTTTGTTAACTTTTGACGATCTTTTTAATCTTCTCCAACATCACATCTCCTAACTTTAAGGCCTTGGGGGTGTCCATTAATAATGGTCTTATATTTTTTTTAAGTCAAACCCGGGGCGGCAATTTTTTGTTATGCTAATCCGAGACGTCGGAGGGGGGGGTGTTAATCTTTTATATAACTTATATTTTATATAACATAATTTTTTTATAGACTTTATATAATACATAATTTTTCATTTCTTTGTTATAAGAATACAATAAAAAAAACGTAATAAAAAAGTTTTTTTAAATCAATTTTTTTTATCATAATTGCGGACTTTCAGTAAGAAGTTTTAGTAAGATTTATACTTCGACTATAATATGCAATACTTCTTTATCTGTGATATTATATCTTATATTTTTCGATCTATATGTTCTATTCAACTTTCTTCATAATTAATTTGAAAAAAATAGCATATGTTAGTTTGTTTTCTTAATTTTTGTTAATTTAACTATTTATTTTCGAAAAACCGGGACATCCGGGACAAAAAATCAAAATCCGGGACAAATATTGCTTTAAGAAAAACCCGGGACACAAGGTGGAAATCCCGGCCAATCCGGGGCGTATGGTTACCTTACTATTGATCACATGAGGTTTTTATGGGGAGGGGGGGGATTTGAAAAAAATCGCGAAATATCACGCGGCTGGAGGGAGGGATATAGTAAGATATCATGTGTATTTTTCACCTGATTTTTTAAAAAAAAATCAAAGCATTTTCAAAAAATATTACAATTTTTTCCCGTAATTAAAAATACTCGTGATGTTTGTTGGGTGGGTGTAATATTGAATATCACCAAGTGGGTAAATTCTTAAATAATCGATCACGTGATTATTGGCCGCCCCCTTATTTAGATAACTTTTGAAGGTTTTTTTGCCCTTCCTCAAGTTCATTTTTTCTTCCATGTGCAGTATTTTATATTGTCACTGCAAATTTTTTAATTCTGATCATTTTTAAGCTTTTACTACGAACTTTGGTATTAAAAATTACTTCATTAATTTTATTTTGTGCAGCTTATGTATTAAGCACTGCAATTTATTTATACATAATGGATAAACACCATTTTTAAGAGATTTTTTCTTAACATATTTATAATTTTTGATCCTACTAATTGCATTTATACTTGTTTATTCTATGTTTTCATATTTGGTTCAATTAATTTTTTAGAAAATCTGCCAGATCAAGTTCACCAAACCTTTTAATTTTATTTAAATAAACTTTGGTTGGCATTTATAATTTTATAGACTTTTATATTTTATAGAATTGTATTTATACTTTTTCATTCCATATTTTTATATTTGATTCCATTAATTTTCATAAAATATGCTAACGACCAGATTGGACAAAAAAACAAATATCAGAAGAAATTAAAATAAACTGGCATTTATAATAAATAGCAGTCAAAATAATACAAATTTATAAGTATTATGCAAAAGAAATTAATAATATTTAAAAAAAATGTCTAGAAATTTCTCCAATTTGTTTCTTTTTTAATACCAAGTGAAAATTACTCGTTTTGGTTAAACAAAATTTGGTCAACTCTGATCATTGGCATATGATTTGATTTTTAGCTTATTTTAGTTTATGTATTATTTAGTTTATTATTTGTTATTGTAATATTTATTTATTTTTTGGTATCATTATCTAAGAGATACATTATTTACTTCTTTATTTTTTCGGCAATATTTATATTTTTAATTCGTGAGGAATTAGATTTTCTATTTTTTTTTTCAAATAATTCATCTGAAAAATATAATGTTAATCTTCGGTATTTAAAATTATCAAAAAAATAATGCGAAATCTGAAATATATAATGTTAATCTTCGGTATTTAAAATTATGAAAAAAAATCATGAATTTTACTTCAATATAAAAAAATAGTGACCAATAAATAGAAAAATTTATATTGGGCTATCTATAAAAAATTGAGGTTCTTTATCATTTTAAATTATTAAAAAATCCACAAATTTAACTTCAATATAATTAAAGCTGACGAATAGAATTTATAGTGTTTGGCCCAAAATCCATAAAATCTAATCCAATTTTCATTATTTTAAATTGACAAAAAAATATATATATATATATATAAGTAATTTTTATTAATTCATTATTCATCCAAAAAATCAAATCCGAATCTCATTTTCATTATTTTAAATTAATAAAAGCAAAAAAATAATTCGTTACTAATAGTGTTCATATTGTTTAGCACACAAAAATCGGCGGAGTGTCTTTAAAAAATACCAAATCATATTTGTATTTTAATTAATAATTAACAAAAAAAATTATAAATTTGTATGAAATATTTGTAACACTAGAAGCATATTTGAACACGTCTGAAAAATTAAAATTGAAAATACATTTATTTTCAAAAAAAAAACGTACCAAAAATATCATTTAACAACTCTTCTTGTATTCAGAGTAATTAAATATGTTAATTTAATATAGTATAAAATGTAGTACCTAAAATTAACTAATTTTAGAACTTATTATGTATCTCTTTAATTCATTATTATTATTTATTCTTCATTTTTGCAGCAGTTTAGTATTAATTTTGTTTATTATTATTTACCATTTATTTTTATGTATCATTTATCTTTATGTATCTATTTACCCCATTTGTGTTTGTTTTTAGTGGCGTCCAAAATGGGTGAAGCATCCTTAATTTTTTAATTTATATTTCAGGAGAAATGAAATATAATTATATACTAATCCACATTTACAGTTTTTTGTTTACAGTTTTTGTTAAAAATATTTATTTATTAGTTTGTGTTAGAATACTAACAATATTAAAGAAAAATTAGGGTTGGAGGAGTTGTGTGATAGTAATAAGTATTATAAACTTGGATAAATGTAAATATTTGTGTGGTACAAGGTATTATTTGTTAGTCTTATCTTATATATCTGTTCTTGCTATTCTTTAGCTTTTTGTGCTTTTTTTAATGCAATGTAGTTGCTTTTGCATGTGATGTTAACTATTCATAAAAATATTGCATGGTAGTTGTTGGTTGCAAATAATATTCAAAATATAATAATATCCTTTTTTCAAATCTTTAGTGATGATGTTCGTGAAAAGATGAAGACAAGGTATTTGAGCAATCCTGATTACAACTTTGAAAAAGTGAACAGAGCCAGTATGGCTTGCGGTCCTATGGTCAAATGGGCAATAGCTCAAGTAAGTACTTGCATAAATTTGTCTTACATATTTATAGATAAATAATTTTTCAAATTTTATTGTTCCTAGATCGAGTATGCTGATATGTTGAAACGTGTGGAACCTCTTCGTGAAGAATTGCATTCCTTAGAAGTCCAAGCTGAAACTAACATCAAACGTGGAGAAGAAGTTAAGACGTTGATTTCCCAATTGGAACAAAGTATTGCTTCGTACAAGGAAGAATATGCTCAGCTCATTTCGCAGGCTTTGGCTATTAAGAACGATTTGGAGAATGTCCAAGCCAAGGTGAGATAAATGACTTACGCATTCACTTGGCAATGAATCAAAGTATTTTATGAAAGTGAATCTTTAATTTTAGGTTGACCGATCCATTGCCTTGTTAAAATCTCTAGTAATCGAAAGAGAAAGATGGGAAGCCACCAGCGAAACCTTCAGATCACAAATGTCAACAATCGTTGGAGATGTTTTGTTATCAGCTGCATTTATTGCTTATGGTGGATACTTCGATCAACACGTTAGTAGAACGAAAACCAACACCTTTATCACATTTTTTTGCATAGTTTTATTGCCAATCAAAATAATATACATTTTTTAAGACAATATGCTGGGTGTAAACGCATTTAAGAGATTATCTCCTATGAGATATCTCTCTTTTTTTTATTTTGTGACATTTTATTCAAGATTGTATGGCTTTTTTTTTCAATCTTTGAGTGTGATATTCCTCGCTTAATTCTTTTGAATATACGTTTGGGTGACCTGGTAGTTTTTTGGGGTATTTCACCTTTATCACATGAATTCTATTTTTACCATCTATTTATTTCAGTATCGCCATAACCTATTTGCAACCTGGAGTCAACATTTGCAACAAGCCTGTCTTTTGTTCAGACAAGACATTGCCCGTACAGAATATTTGTCAAACCCTGATGAAAGACTACGTTGGCAAGCAAATGCTTTGCCGACTGATGACTTGTGCACAGAAAATGCCATCATGCTTAAGGTAATATTAAAATCTTTGAGGTATGTTGCAAAATATATGCATAACTGTATCCATGTCTACAATTTTTTAATATTACTGATATTTACAGTTTACCTAAAAAAGTTTTTTTTAAATTACTCTTCACGCCAAAATGCATATACATTTATAATATGAGCGAATGTTAAATGTAGAACTGCTTTAAATAAAATTATGAGTCTCAATTCCCACACTATATTGAAAATTGAAGTCTTTTAAACAGTATAACATAACCAAAACCATAACATAACACTGGTACTTTATGTTGGGTTAAATTAATTTTTTTTTTATCATTTAAGATATCCAAAATTGCATCTTAAACTTCTCCTAATCGATATTGTGAGGGCCGAATTGTATGTACTCATCTTCACTTTCTCATTTGTTGTTCAAAAGTTACGAATTTTAAAAATATTGTGGAAAGATTAGTAAAAGATGCAGAGAAATTATATATTGAAAAAAAAAAACTCTTTTGAAAATTTAATATCCGAATCTTGTGTTGGCGCCCCCTAAGGCGTGCACTTTTATTTTCGCATGCATCGCATTAAAGGTAGGACCGGCCCGGATTAATACTTAATTTCATATTTTAAGTGTATCATTCAATCTGCCATACATATACTGTATTTAATATTATTTTAATTTTTGGCACATCTCGGCTGATGATTATGATTCATAATCATAAATTTATTATACATATTCTAATATTGTCTAGGTTCATAAGTAAATTGAAATTTTTGTAGATGATAGTTTTTATTTGTTTTCAATGCAAGCAATGTCATGTCGTTTTTTACATTTTTTTCCATTTAATTCTACAATATTGCACATACATCCCAGTACTTTATAATCACATACATTCCAGTACTTTATAATCTCATACATCCCAGTACTTTATAATCACATACACCCTAGAAAATTGCCTTAACAAACTTCAGAAAGATTTATCAAAATCCGCATAATCGTTTAAAAGGAGTACGAGGTCTGTTCAAAAAGTTTTCGTAAATTTCGTTTTTTAAAAAAAATATTTATTTATTCGTCTACATTAATGTGGTCCCCTTCAAAGTAGTCCCCCCCAGATATAATACACTTATGCCAGCGTTTTTTCCAATTTTCGAAGCACCCTTGATATTCACTTTTTGATATGTCCTTGAGCACTCTCGGCGATTTTCTTCAATCGAGGAAAACCGCCGTCCTTTCATGGGTCTCTTCAACTTTGGGAATAGGAAAAAGTCACACGGAGCCATATCTGGTGAATTTTTGCACTTTGCAACACTTTATTTCATTTTTTACGCAAAATTTAATACAAATTCTTTGACTTTTTCAATTCTTCCATTGTAAAAATCGCCGAGCTCAGAAAAACACGTCGAACCTTAGCGACTACCACAGACAAAGTAAACAGTGAATATAGCTGAAAATTTCATCATACTTTAGGGGCATGTATACCAACACAATAAAAATTTTGACAATCAGACACTCCAGACCCGCGAAATATAATTATTAGTAATTCCGGGTACTTTTTGAACACACCACGTATACAGTGAGTGCTTGCAATTTAATATGAACTATATATAATAGCAATAAAGCTCAAATTATGAGTATGAGAAAAAGAAAATGGCTGTTTTTAGGGTTTTCCCGGCAATTATTCGGTTTTTTTTTCGCCGTAAGAACCATCCTTGGACTTCAACGAACATTTTAAAAAAAAGAATTGGCCAAATCGGTCCAGGCATTGTTGAGTTATGCGCTTACCAACACATTTTGCAATCTATTTTTATATATAAGATGTTTTATTTATAGCGTTTCAACCGTTATCCACTGATTATCGATCCCTCTGGACAAGCCACAGAATTTATAATGAACGAGTTCAAGGATCGCAAGATCACTAAAACTAGTTTCCTGGATGATTCGTTCAGGAAGAACTTGGAGTCTGCACTTCGGTTTGGTAATCCTTTGCTGGTACAGGTATGTAGGATTTAGACATTTGTTTGAAGACTATTTATTGAATTATTGTAATCTTTAAATTATTCTGTTTTGAACTTCCTCTTTATTTAATCTTGATTTACTTGGTTTATGCTTGTTTTGCTTGTTTTCAAATATGAAGTATTCTATTCCCTTCGATTGCTGGACGTCAAATCCGGCTCGAAGGACCAAGGTTTTTTTTTGAATGGTTGTTTTGATTGATTGCCTTATGAAGGACCAATTGTAAAATACTTTATTGATAACTGTATATATTTATTTTATTATTAATTATAAGTCATAATAGTATTTACAATAATTTTAATATGTTTTTGACAACGTATTGCTTGATTTAATTTTTGTATGATTTTCGATTGATGGGTTTTTGTTTTCTATCAATATATATCGCACCCTTTGATATGGCGCGAACATATTCTAAATGTATGTCTTTTTTCTTTAGGATGTGGAGAATTACGATCCAATCTTAAACCCTGTTCTGAATCGCGAATTACGTCGAACTGGTGGACGTGTCCTGATAACTCTAGGAGACCAGGATATAGATTTATCGCCTTCGTTTGTCATATTTTTGTCGACCAGGGATCCGACTGTAGAGTTTCCACCGGATATTTGCAGTCGTGTCACTTTTGTTAACTTCACAGTTACTCGAAGCTCTCTGCAGAGCCAATGTCTTAACCAGGTGCTCAAGGCTGAGAGACCTGATATCGATGAGAAACGATCTGATTTGCTAAAATTACAAGGTGGAAAAGATTAGTAAATGTTGCAACTTAGCCCAAACATTTCGCATCCGATTCGAAAAGATTAACATATCATTTCTACCATTGTATTATTTTATTTTCAGGTGAATTCCATTTGAGACTGCGCCAATTGGAAAAGAGTCTCCTGCAGGCTTTGAACGATGCCAAAGGAAAGATCCTGGACGACGATTCCGTCATCACAACTTTGGAGACACTCAAGAAAGAAGCTGCAGATATTGGACAGAAAGTTGAAGAGACCGATAAAGTTATCGGCGAAATCGAGACTGTCTCGCAACAGTATCTGCCTTTATCTCAGGTAAATAGATAGATATTAAATGATAGTGGATTAATTTCATGTACTGATGGAGTGTGTTGTTTTGTTTCAGGCTTGCAGTAACATCTACTTCACGATGGACTCGTTGAACCAGATACACTTCTTGTACCAGTACAGTTTGAAAATGTTCTTGGACATCTTCAGCTCCGTTTTGTACAAGAATGAACATTTGGATGGTGTCAGTGAGCACACAACACGTTTAGGCTTTATCACACAAGATCTGTTCTCAGTGAGTACAACTAATTTTGCACTTCAGTACTTCAAAAACTAACCATTAACAAAATGTCTATTACCTAGGTTTGTTACGATTGGGTCGCTCGTGGTATGTTGCACGTTGATCGTTTAACCTTTGCAATCCTCTTGTGCAAAATTCATTTGAAAGGCGTTGTCAACGAACAAAGTTTGGATAACGAATTTAACTTCTTCTTGCGTGCCAAGGAAGGACTTGCTGCGCAGGTACAAGCTGGTCCTGTCGAAGGTTTAAGTCAGGAGCAGCAAGAGGCTGTGAACAAACTCTCGTTGAGGTAAAATGTTTAAACTTGATATCTTGGTGCAATTTGTATAGTAGGGTGGTCCTTAATATGGACATTTTTGAATTTCTTTGCTTCCAAGGACTCAAATGGTTCCAAATTGATAAAAAACAAGTCTCTGAAAGTTTTAGCTCTTAATATTGTCTTTTAGATGGAGCGCAGTTCAATCAAAGATTTGTATGGAAATAGCATGAAAAATGTTTCAAAAATTTAGCAGAGCATCGAATTTTCAATAAAAAATGACACGAATTTTCACGTTTAATTCATTTGTCGCGAAGTTATACCTAAAAATTTTTTTTTTAATATTCAAAATTTTTTCCATGCTATTTCCATACGAAGTTTGATTGAATTGCGCTCTATCTAAAAGTTAACACTTTCCACTCGGGAGTCGGACTGCCAGTCGGTACGCTGCGCTCGGAATATTATTGTGCTATACATATCTCTCAACTCGGATTTTTTTTTGTATCGGATTTTTTCAAAATGTGGTAATATTGGTTTTAAATATAGTTATTATGATAATAAAATAGAAAAGTTTAAAAATTAATAAAAAGTGCGCTCGAAACCATACTATATTGTTTAAAAAATAATTACTTCTATTATAATATCTATTATAATGGCTTACAAAATAATAAATCCTGATAGACAAGGAAACAAAAATTAAATTAAATATGTTACCAAAATTATTACCATTATAATAAATATATAATATATATAAAATAGCATATCCAGTAAAATTTAAATCTCAAAAAATTATTATGGGGTTCATGAGCTAATAAATTAATTTTGTTACATATTTATTTATAAAATTAATAAATTAATCAATAAATTAATGTAATAGTGAATTAATTTCAAAAGAATGAAAAAAAAATTAAATATTTTAAGTTTGCGACGAGACGATTTGCCGCCGGAGCGGCGGCATCCGAGCGGAACAGTAAAACGTACCATGCCGCCGGAGCGGCGACATCCGAGCGCAACGGTAAAATGATTATGCCGCCGGTGCGGCGGCATCCGAGTCGAAAGGGTTAATATTAAAAGCTAAAACTTTCAGAGAATTGTTTTTTATCAATTTGGAACCATATGAGCCCTTGGGAGCAAGAAAATTCGAAAATGTCTATATTAAGGACCACCCTAATGTATATTTATATTATATTTTATTTTGCAGATTGCCAGCGTTCAGAAAGTTGGCTGAAAAAATAAGTTCCATTCCGGAGTTGGGAGCATGGTTGCAGCAAGGATCGCCCGAACAAAATGTTCCAAGACTTTGGCAAGAAGATAAACCTCTATCGCCAATTGCAACTGCTATGCACCAACTTTTACTGATCCAGGTAAGTAATTAAAACTCACAATCAGTTTAAAAGAATTTATGAAAACATTTGTATCTATTTTTATTTAGGCGTTCAGACCTGATAGAACAATAGCTGCAGCCCAACTTCTGGTTTCTGCAGTACTTGGCGAGCAATTTATGCCAAATGCTGAACAAGAAATGGACTTCAGCAAAATCGTCGAGAACGAGTTGCGTTCTAATGTACCAGCTTTGTTGTGTTCTGTTCCTGGTTTTGACGCTTCAGGTAAAAATATTCATATATTGATAATCATATGTTCATGTCATCGAGTTTTTGAGGAATTTTGACGGCACTTCTTTATTTCCCAACTTTTTTATCAACTTTATCTTATTCATTTGACTCCTGCACCATATTTCAAAGACCTCCAGGTGTTTTTTCAGCCCTTTCTTAGAGTCCGCATCTCTCCATATAACTTTTCTCTAATTGCTATATGAGCCGCTCAGTGCACACATTGACTAACTCCACTTTTTGAAAAAACTGAGATATTAGTGGGAAAGAACTTGGTATAATCTTAACTTTTTATGATTATAATAATTTTCCAAAAGAATAAAAATTGCCACTGTGAAACGAACATTTTTTTTGACCACTGAATCCATAAGTCATTCATTTCAGAAGACATTTTGATTAACTCCATTCTGTAGTGTATATGTTCTGGTTGGGTCGGATTTCGGGTTTCAAATTCATGAATTACGAATAAGAACACAGAACTGTAGGGTGTTGTGGGTCTTGAAAAAAATTCATCTAGTTTTATAAAAGACATCAAAGACGTTACAAACTTTGAAAAAATAAGATACTAAAATCCGTGTACCCGGCAAAACAAGAATATTAAAACTGCCTGAAGTTTATTGAAACTTGTTCAAAGTACGGAAATAAGAGCTAACTTAATTAGAACTAAATTTCTGGTCGGTGAAAATAGTTATTAATCTATTAACTCAAGATTTTGTTATTATTGAGTCACGTGCGAAAAAAAATCGAGACATAATTTTACCAGATAGTTGATACAATATAATAACTAGCTGTAAGTGGAATTCTGTCTTAAGGCAATTAGGGCATCGTGCCTTAAGGCAAATTGCTGGAACTTCCCGTACCAAAAATTATTATTTTTTCAAAAATGATTAACATGTTTGAAAAAATTTTACTTCGAAAAAAATAGATTTTTGAGAAACTATAAATTTGACAAAAAAATACTTTTTTTTGAAAAAAAAAATTTTTTTATTTGAAAAAAAAAACTTTTTTTTAGAAAAAATTTTTTTTTTTGAAAACAAAAAATTTTTTTGAAAAAAAATTTTTTCTTCATTTTGACATATTTTGAAAATTCTGAACTTTTTTTCAAAGCAATCGCACTGCTTGAACTGCATAGAGACGAAATGTCAAAGCTCGCAGGTGCCGCGCCGCCGTCTAACGCATAAGCATTGGTACGGAACCCACAGAAATGTAAAAAAAAATCATACTTATTGTTAAAATCTCTATAAAATATCTGACAATTTGATGTGCATATGTCTAATGATCATTTTTAACCGCCGAATGGCATTTTTTTTTACTTTTTTTATTAGATTTTCGAAACCGCTAGACCTGCCTCCATGAAAATTTGATCAGTTCTACATCTTGTCAATACAAGTAAAATGTTTTTTGAATTATTCAAATCGGACGCTCCGTTCTCTTAAAAACGGAGGTACCGTTTTTGGCACTTTTTGCCCCGTATCTTCGGAACGGCTGGACCTGCCTTCGCCAAAAACTAATCAGCACGTCTCCTTATCAATACGAATCGAATGTTTTTTGAATTATTCAAATCGGTTGATCCGTGTTCCCGAAATCGTCGACGAAAATTTGTATCCGCACATACATACACACACGTACATACATACATACATACATACATACATACACACACACACACACACACACATACATCCATTTTTTCTAAGGTATGCCAAAATGTTCAGAAACCTCTGAAACGTAAAGATATATAAAAATTTTCATTTTCGATTTTTTTGCGATTACTATAACTTGCCCTACGGGAAGTTAAAAACATTTAAGAAAAAAGCGCCATTGTAGCTAAGCCGAATGCTTCACTAAGATTTTTTATCTATTTTTTATTTATTTAGAACAATAAATCAATAACAGAAAAGTAACCATCACAGGATGTCCAGAAAATTGGCTTAAAATGCGCTGAATTTAGAATAGAAAGGTCCAAACCTAACGATATACAATTTAAGTGTGACTACAATGAAGTTTAAAAAAAGTTGAAAACTTGATTAACTCCACAAGTCATATCAAAACTTTATCTTTAATGATAATTATTTTCTCACTATTAATAGTTATAAATCTTATATACCGTTACATGTAAGCTATATATGTATTTATACGTTCTAAAATATATTTTTCAATTTATATTATAACAGGAATTTTTAAAAGCAATATACATTACTTTATCGCTTTTCTCCACTTTCTGACTTTCGGAGTTAGTCGATGTGTGCACTGAACGGCTCATATACATTTTTATTTATTACTGACTTTTATAATTCTATTTTCAGGTCGTGTTGACGATTTAGCAGCAGAACTTGGCAAACAAATTTCAAGCATAGCCATCGGTTCAGCTGAAGGTTTCAATCAAGCCGACCGTGCCATCAATAGTGCATGCAAAACCGGCAGGCAAGTGTCTTCAAAGGATTTAAACAAAATATATAGAATCAAACAATTCTTAATTTTTATGATTTTCTATTTTCCAGGTGGGTAATGCTAAAGAACGTCCACCTAGCTCCTCAATGGCTGGTACAGCTTGAGAAGAAATTACACTCCTTGCAGCCTCATGCTGGATTTAGATTGTTCTTGACCATGGAAATTAACCCTTGTGTACCTGTTAATTTATTACGTGCTGGAAGAATATTTGTTTTTGAACCACCACCAGGCATCAGGGCTAACTTGCTCAGAACATTCAGCACGGTAAATAAAAATAAAATAATAATAATAAATGAAAGCATGAAGCATCCCAAATCAATGATTCCATTTCTTTCCCGATACAATTTCATTACCACTATAATATAAATATAATATTATGAATTATTTTTAGAATATGTCTTCAATCTTATTTTTCCCCCAGGTGCCAGCTACTAGAATGATGAAGGTACCCAGTGAACGTGCTCGACTCTACTTCCTTTTGGCATGGTTCCATGCAATTGTCCAGGAGAGGCTGCGATATGTTCCTTTGGGTTGGGCCAAACATTACGAATTCAATGATAGCGATTTGAGAGTTGCCTGTGATACATTAGATACTTGGATCGAGGCTACAGCCATGGTAAGTTAAAAGAAATATTCTCAAATCACAAATATGAAAGAACGCAAACCCTATTGAAAGCTGTGTATCCAAAAAAAAAGATGGTGCGAATACAATAGTATTCTGTTTTTTTTTTGGTCTGTTTCAAAATAGTCCGAATTAGTTCCTAAGGAAAACATAATCTCTGATGTTTGCTGTCAATAATTAATAAAAATAAATGAAGCATTTAAAGAAAAAAGGCCAGAATTGTTAAATCGATAAGGTTCATTGCACCTTATACAAAACTACTGCAGCTTGGTCGGAAACTGGTACCATATCCTCAATGCACCCCTGATGTTGCACAATTAGATTACCATTTATTTCGAAATTTGCAGGAATATTTTATTGGTAAAACTATTATACAATTGACAATAACTTTTACTCGCTCTGGTTCTGTTTTTTTTTTTTGGTGATGAAGACAAGAAATCAAAGATTTTTGAGCAAAATGGAAAATACATAATAATATAAATTCATTTTATCTTACAAAACCTAAATTACTTAGTTGTCAACATATTATAAACCTGTCACGGTATATTTCTATTACAGGGCAGGACAAATCTTCCACCAGAGAAGGTGCCATGGGATGCCCTTGTCACTTTATTGTCTCAGAGCATCTATGGAGGTAAAATTGATAACGATTTTGACCAAAGGCTGTTGGTGTCCTTCTTGTCCAAATTGTTCACACCTAGGAGCTTTGAATCCGATTTTGCATTGGTTGCCAATGTTGACGGGGTAAGAAAAAAAATCACTTATAGTCAATCAAGATATTTCATCATCATATGAGACTATGAGATGAAGATAGAATTTTATACAATTTTGATACGATTGAATACCAAATAATTTGTTTTATCACTATTAAGGTTGCTAGGGTGAAACTAGATATAATATTTAGATATAAATTTTTGAATAAAACGACTTTGAATTTGATATTTCGTTTTTTAGCAATAAATAGAATAGAATTCGCGACATTTTTTTGGTTTTTGTCAAAATGAAGATAGAATTACATACAATTTTGATATGATTGAATACCAAATAATTATATCGTTCTATTTCTATTAAGGTTGCTGGTGGACCAAACGGTCAGCGCCATATAACAATGCCTGATGGCACTCGCAGAGATCACTTCCTAAAATGGATCGAAGGATTGGCTGATCGACAAACACCTTCCTGGCTAGGACTTCCAAATAATGCAGAAAAGGTAAGAGCTTCATCATTCTTTCTTTGCTTCCTGTCTTCACCAATTTTTTAAATATTTTTAGGTATTGTTAACAACTCGAGGAACAGACCTGGTATCAAAATTACTCAAAATGCAGCAACTAGAAGACGATGATGAACTAGCCTACACGTCTACAGATTCTGATAGTTCTCCAACAGCACAATCACCTGGTGGACAGGAGGATGGACGTCCTTCGTGGATGAAGACTTTGCATGCAAGTGCTGCTACTTGGCTGGAACTGCTGCCCAAACAATTACCGGTAAGTACACATAGAGAAATATATACTATATATATGTATATATATATATATATATATATATATATATATATATATATAGACCCGAAAAACGTTGTCCTGTACCCGCGTCTGCAATTTTTTAATATCCTATTACTAATATTTACCGTTTTCATAAAAATAATATTTGTTTTTTAAATTACTCTTTAAATGTAGAACTGCTTTATAAAATGATGAGTCTCAATTCCCACACTATATTGGCAATTGAAGTCTTTTAAACGGTATAACAATTTCAGAAAAAAATAATATATAGTATCCGCGGTAAAAATACAATACCGCCTTGGATTTTTTCACTCAAAATAATTGCTTCAATAATGATGCCTATAATTTTTATAATCTCGTACCATATTTTAACTGGTTTTTAGTAATTATAATATCTAAATTACATTTTTTGCAGAAATTATTTAATATACATTATTACCACGGACGCTCCTGGGGTGCTCAGCCCCTAATATTTTATCTGTTTTATTAATTTATTATTAAAATTATCATTAATCAATATGTGGCTTTTGAAATATTTTACTTATTTATTTTGGGCATTTTATGCGATGGATTCTATTGAGCAAATCATAGAGAGCAACAAAAAAAATTCTAACCTTTCAGTAATAAACATAACACTGGTACTTTATGTTGGATTATTTTAATTTAATTTTTTATATAAGAAATCCAAAATTGCACCTTAAACATCTCCTAATTGATATCGTAAGGGCCGAATCGTATGAATTCATTTTCACTTTCCCATTTGTTGTTTTAAAGTGAAATTTTTAACGTATTTTAAAAATATTGTGCAAAGATTAGTAAAAGATATATATTTAGAAAAATACTATATTGAAAATTTCATATCCGAATCTTGTGTTGGCGCCCCTAAGGCCATTCAAGGTTATACCAGCCCTGATTCTTACTTAATTTCGTATTTTAAGTAAATTAATTTATCAAGTCCTGTTCATATGTGTATCATTCAATCTGCCATACATATACTGTATGTTATATTATTTTAATTTCTGGCACATCTCAGCTGCTTTTCGGCAATAATAATGTATACATTTCATTTTTCTTATTCATAATCATGAATTTATTATGCATATTCTAATATTGTCTAGGCTCATAAGTAAATTGAAATTTTTGGCAGATTACAGTTTTCATTTGTTTTAATGCTTGATAATTGATTTATTTTTTTATTTATTTATTAGTTTTGTTGTTCATTTATTTATTATTCATCTATTTATTCAATTTATTTTTTTACTTCATTTAATTTTTTCATCTGTTTATTTATTTGTTTGTTTATTTATGTTCTTATTAATTTATTCGCTCATTTATTTATGCATTTATTTATTCAATCATTTACTCATTTATGTGTTTATTCCTTTATTAGCCTTCTTGTTTATTTATTAATTTATTATTTTATTTATTTATTAGCATTTTTTTTCATTTATATATTTTTTTTATTCATTTATGTTTATTTACTTCTTTATTTGTTCATTTGCTAATTTATCATTTTTTTATTCAATTATTTATTCATTCATTTATTTATTTATTTATTTATTTATTCATTCAATCATTCATTTTTTTATGCATTTATTTATTTATTTGATGTATCCATTCATTCATTTATTTGTTTATATTCTTTTTTATTCGTTTAATTATGTCTCCAATAATTTCAATGTCAAACAATGACATGTCATTTTTTGCAATTTTTTCGATTTATTTCTACAATATAAACTACATTTTCATAACCACATACATCCCTTAACAAACTTCAGAAAGATTGATCAAAATTCGAATAATCGTTTAGGAGGAGTATATTTACATACATCATTACAGAAGAATTTTAAATATAAGATGTAATTTTTACAATGTTATTTTTGTCAATTGCAATTTTTTCCAGTTATTTCTACAATATTACTATGATTCTATAATCACATACGTCCTTAAAAAAAAATCCCTTAACAAACTACAGAAAGATTTATCAAAATTCGAATAATCGTTTAGGAGGACTATATTTATATACATCATTACAGAAGAATTTTAAATATAAGATGTAATTTTTACAATGTTATTTTTGTCAATTGCAATTTTTTCCAGTTATTTCTACAATATTACTATAATTCTATAATCACATACGTCCTAAAAAAAATCCCTTAACAAACTACAGAAAGATTTATCAAAATTCGAATAATCGTTTAGGAGGAGTATATTTACATACATTATTACAGAAGAATTTTATATATGAGATGTAATTTTTACAATGTTATTTTTGTCAATTGCATTTTTTTTCATTTATTTCTACAATATTACTAAATTTTCATAATCACATACATCCTAAAAAAATCCCTAAACTTCGGAAAGATTTATCAAAATCTGAATAATCGTTTAGGAGGAGTATATTTACATACATCATTACATAAGTATTTTATACATAAGATGTAATTTTTACAATATTATTTTGGTATTTCTTAGACTCTCAAACGTACTGTGGAGAACATCAAAGATCCATTATACAGATACTTTGAACGTGAAGTTAATTCCGGAGCAAAATTGCTGCAAGAAGTCATTCATGATCTGCAAGATGTTGTCTTGATCTGCAAGGTAAATGTAAATAAAATTATCGTGTCTTATCATTCAACTACAAGTTTGTTATTTATTTACTAGGGTGAAAAGAAGCAAACAAATTACCATCGAGCAATGTTGGGTGAACTGGTGCGAGGAATGTTACCAGCCGGTTGGAGACGTTACACAGTTCCAAGGGGCTGTACTGTAATTCAATGGGTCACTGATTTTGGACAACGTGTACGACAACTGCAAAAAGTCTCAGAACTTGTGTCACAATCTGGTGCTAAATCATTACAGGTAAAAATAGATTATTTATACTGGCAAATCATAGAGAGCAAAAAGATTGTAGCCTTGCACTATTAAACATAACAGTAACATTTTATTATTTAAGATATCCAAAATTGCATCAACTTCTCCTAATTGATAATAATGTAGACATTTCATTTTCCTTATTCATAATCAAGAATTTATTATACATATTCTAATATTGTCTAGGCTCATAAGTGAATTGAAACTTTTGGCAAACGACAGTTTTTGGCCATCAAACCTGCATACTAATAATTATCCTTTACCCCAGGCCTTCGAAGTATGGTTAGGTGGTCTCCTGAATCCAGAAGCGTACATAACTGCCACAAGGCAGTGTGTAGCTCAAGCGAATAGTTGGTCTTTAGAAGAACTGTCGTTGGATGTAACGATTGTGGATGGAGCAATGCCTGCGTCGACAGAGGCAGGATGCTTTGCTGTCACTGGTCTTAAATTGCAAGGAGCGCAGTGCAGAAATAACCAGCTGTTGTTGACGTCTACTATTATGATGGATCTACCGCATACTTTGCTTAGATGGATAAGGTAAGGATGATATTTTTATTGGCTTCCAGAAGTTTTTGCTAGTAAATGTTATGCTAATTTTGTTTTCTCGACGTTTCAAGTCATTCTGAATCATTTGAGACCAAATTTGGTAAAAGTGTGTAAGGCAACGTTTGATTTTTTTCTACACTTGTTTATTATAAGAAGTATAATATTTAATTATGAATATCCTTTTCGTACAACTTTTGCCCATTAAACTAGATGTTTCAGATTCATAAAAAACAAATGTAATATTTATTATTTTATTAGCAGTAGAGCTTTAAAAAAAATATTTATTTTATTAAATTTTATCCATTATTTATTTATTTCTTTATTTAATCACTTATTCATTTATGTATTTTTTAATTCATTTATTTCTTCATTTAAATACTGCTTTATTCTTTTTTTTATTTACTCACGTATTCATTTATTTATTTACTTTTTTATTAATTTATTTATTTATTTGTTTATTTTTTTAAATACCTATTTATATCCATTTATTTATGCATTTATGTTTATTTTTTTATTCATCCATTCATTTATATTTGTTTTCACTTTTTTCTTCATTTATTTATTTATTCGTTTATTTATCTTTTCATTTATTTATTTATTTATTCATTTATTTCTACATTCATCGATTTATTTCTGTATTTATGCTTTCATTCATTTACTTATTCACTTTATCTATAAACTATTTATTCATTTAATTGATTCATTTATCGATTCATTATTTTATTTATTTATTAGCATTATTGTTTATTTATTATTTACCTATTTATTTAATTAATTTATTTATTTACTTATTTATTTATTTGTTTATTTATTTCTTTATATGTTAGATTCTTCATTTATGTATTTATTCATTTATTAGCTTTCTTGTTTATTTATTAATTTATTATGTTATTAGCCTTCTTGTTCATTTATTTATGATTAATCAAATTAATTTATTCAATTGATTGATTTATTTATTTATTCTTTTATTTACTTTGTTTATTTATCCATTTATTTATCTCTTATTTGTTTATTTATTTATTCATTTATTACCCTTCTTCTTCATTTATTTATTATTCAACTATTTATTAAATTAATTCATTTATTTATTTATTTGTTTATTTATTTCTATATTCGGTAAATTATTGATTTATTTTTCTATTCATTTATTAGTCTTCCTATTCATTTTGTATTTATTAGCATTCTTGCTTATTTATTTATTTATTCAATTAATTTATCTATTTATATACTTTTTCATTTGTTCATTTTTTTCTTTATTTGACATTTTGATTTTTTTTAATTTAATTTATTCATCCATTTATTTATTTGTTTTTTTATTTTATTTATTCGCTCACATATTCATTCAATCATTTATTTGTTAATTTATTGAGTTGTTGTTTTATTTGTTTTTTCGTTAAATTATTTTTCTGTTTTTTTTTTATTTAATTATTTATCAATTAATTCAGCTATTTATTTATCTATTTATTTATTTATCTATTTATTTATTTATTAGTGTATTTATTCATTCAAGCATTAATTTATTTATTCATTTATTGTATTTATTCATTTCATTCATCCATCCATCCATTCATTTATTTGATTTATCTATCCATTCATTTTTTATTATTCATTTATCATATTTTCATTTATTCATTCTTTTTTTATTTATTTAATTTTTCCTTTATTTAATTGATTTTATCATGAATTTATTCATTTATTAATATACATTTGCATTTGTTTATTTCTTTATTCATACGTTTATATATATTTATTTATTTATTTAAATTACTTGTTTATTCACTTATTTATTTATCAATTCATTTATTTATCTATTTATTTTATATGTTCATTTATTTATTTTAGAATTGATTTATTTATTTATTCATATGTTCATTACTCGTTTATTTACGTCTTTATTTAATTATATCATTTCTTTATTCACCTTTTTATCTATTCATTTAATTTGTTTGTTCATTTATTTTTGAATTTATTTATTTATTTATTCATTCATTCATTCATTGATTTATGTATTCATCCATTCATTTATTTGTTTACTTCTTTATTCATCTATTAATTTATTGATTCATTTATTTATTTACTTCTTTATGCATTTATTTCTTTATTCTTTTATTACCATTCCTGTTTATTTTTTCATTCGTTCATTTTTATTCTCCAGACAGCTTAATCTCCGTACTTAATGATTAATTAGATGCAACTTACCACAAGGGCAAAATACCCCTTACACCTAATTAACTAAGTCCTATATAAATATAGTAATACACCTATAAAAAACTATCGCAACAACTATTACATACATGATGTCACTGAATTTATTCATTTATTACTTCTAGGACTTCTTCAGAAAGAAAAACTGATAAACTATCCTTACCGGTGTACTTAAACTCAACCAGAAGCGAACTACTGTTCACCGTAGACCTATCTGTAGCATCTGGACAAGACCCACATAGTTTCTATGAGCGAGGCGTAGCCCTACTCACATCTACAGCTTTGAATTAAACTAAACTCGATATTAGATTTATTTCAGTATTTAAAAGTAACTTATACCTAAAACTATATTCTAATAACTGCTTAGCTGTTTTATTTATTTTATATAATTTAATTAATTGTTAGATTTGCTATTTTAGATATTTATTATGAATGTGAAGAAAGATACTCAAAACAAAAAAATATAGAAGATGATTGATGTTAGTTTGATAATTAGTTTTATACTATATTTTGTTATTAATCTTTTAGAATTTTCAAACTGCAATAAAATACCTGATTAATATTAAATTTTGTGTATTTTAATCAAGACAGACGTATTATAAATATTAATTCAAAACATGTACAAATTGAATATAAATATAAATTATCTTTTCTGATCACCCAGGTCTTCGATGAAGTCTTCATCAATCTGCAAACAAAATCAAGATAATGATAATCAATTACACAAAATAAAACAGAAATTGATGTACCTCTGGCCACTTTTCTGGTATGATGTCGAATAGGTCATCTTTTACATCACCCTGGATCACAATTTCATCATCGCCGGTTACAGAAGAACCACATGCAAACTTTTGGCCGAAGAATTTGGAGGCTACTTTCAAATCAATATCTGGGAAGGAAAAACAATTACTTGTTATTACAAGATCAAGTAAATACAATGATTAGAATATTTATATCTTTTACCAAAGGTGCTTAAACCGGTTACAACAGTTACAGACTTTTTCTTTCCCCTAGGGGCTCTAGAGACACAGACTTGTTTGGGTCCATCTTCTTTCTTTTTGGTTTTTAACATGCCTTTACCACCACGTTTCTGTCGCTTCTTTTCCTCTTCATTGGCACCATCTCCATCATTATCTACAAACGCAAAAGGTAAGAACAAAGTTTACAATATTGTTTTTTTCTTTTTTTACCTATTTTGACTTTTTCAAATTCTGTAGGTAGATGTCTTTCAAGCCACTGTTTGCATTTTTCGTACTCCGGGTAATATTCACAGTACTAAAAGACATGAATACAAACAAAATCAAATGCTGGAGGAACTTAAAAGAGTCTTTGTAACAAAACTAACCTCAATTGGCATACTGCAATTTCCACAATACTGGACGATTATCGGGTATGTGACATCTGGTTTAGGTCCTATTTGTAATTTTTCGGGTATTGCTACATCAGCCATTGCTAAAAATAATAATAAGTAATAACTGAAGCCTTAAATTAATAAATTTTAGACACTGTCACATTGTTTGGTACATACTTGTGGAAAAATATTATCCTGAAGGTGTAGTAATAGCAACTAAATAATTATTCAATTAATAATAACTAAATTCAATGTCTGGTAGTTATATAATTCTATTTACCACTTTTTTTAAATAAAAGTTTGTTGAAAATAATTTTAGTGCAAATGGAGGTTTGAGGTTGAGATTTGACAGCTCAGAGTCACAAACCGCGATTTTTAATACAAAATTTACATTTTATGCAAGACAAACAAAAACATTTCACATATAATGGTAAAAGACACAAAATATATATAAATTACATTTTATTATTGATTTATCTATATAAAATATGATATTTGTGAAAGATTTATGCCTAAAATATGTATTTTAAAATTTGCGCTATTTTCTCCAAACATGGTGCCAACTTCAGGTCGTGATTAAACTGTCAACCATCAATTGTCAAAATTGTAAAAATTTGAAGTATATAAATATAAACTTAGATAAAAAAAGAGTATGAATATAAATATATAAAATATATTTAAAATAAATCAAAAACAAATAATTATGTTGTATAGTTTATTAATACATTTATTAGGTCATGGTATATATAAGTTACATGTGAATCTATGCTATAAGTTCAAATAAATGTGTTCTCTTTTTTTAACAAATATTTATTTGCTTAAAAGCCATTAAAAGTTATGATTTTGTTAAGTTCTTTTTTGCTTATTAGGACTGAAAAGATATTGAAATGATCTTTTGAAAGGAAAAACTACTGATAAAGTCACTAAATGAGGTAAAGCACATATATAGGAAGATAAAATTAGACTTAGTATCTGAAGAAGAAGATTAGTTGATGCCAAGCACTTACGTGGATCTCAAAAGTATAATTTATATGATTATTTTGAATTTTTGATCAACATTGCATATTTTGCATCTAACGATATATTGCATCATACAATTATACCTTTTCTATCATGTATTGTTATTCTTCATTATATTGTTATCTCATTATATTGTTTCTTCATTATATTTATTATAGTAATACTACAATTAATTAATTATTCTAACAACTCAATTTCTTTCTGTTATAGAATGCTCTAAGACAAGAATCCATGGCAATAGACAATCCTGACCCCGGAGTATCTTCTGAGTTTAGAACTTTATAGTAAACCACTTCCAATGCAGACTTTTGGGATATCTCTCAGTTTCACACAGACCCCAGAGCACCCTTTCTGTGTTACAGATGAATATATAAATGTAACCTTCGAGAATAAGTGTGTAAGAAAAAGAATCTCTCATGAACTGTTAGAAGCTGTTTAAAACAAAATTTTATACAATTTGTGATATTATAATATACAATTGCATTGGTGAGATTTAAATCATAATTGATTGTAATTAAATTATAATATATATATAATAATATTTGTTAAGTTCTAAACGAAGTTATATATACAATTATAATTGTAAGTTAATTATTTCTAAAATTTATATCTAGAATGTGTGTGATTGGACAATGCTTGATAACGATAATTTATGCAATGATTTAAAAACAAGTGTACTTATATACATTTTTTTAAAAATTTTACTTATTCCTGTTCTACCATTAATTAACAGTAGATTTTTTGTAATAAATTATTAATGTAAATTATAGGAAAGATATAATTTTAATAGGCATCTCACAATTGCACATGTAGTGCAATTGACTGTGATATTATAATAAGAAAAAAATTTGGTCTTTCAGATGTATTATAAATTTATAGGATAACTTATCTCGTATTTGTAATATTAGAAGTAACAGGACAGTGTAAATGTTTAAAAGACTAGATTTAGTTACATATGCAGATCTTTTTATTGACTTAATTGTTATCAATTCAAGTCAAGTATTTTTTGTAAATGATCTTTATAGACTGTTTGAAACTGTTTACAACATATAACTGCATTATTAAGCTTTAAATATTAATTGACAGTAATTAAATTAATAAGACAGCCAAATCTAATCATAACTTTCTTATTTCTAAAATTTTAACTTAGGATATGTGTGTTTAATAAGCTTATTTTGCTTGTTTCTGTTAGATACTGTTACTTGTTTATTATTATTATCAAAGCCGTGAAAAGTGTGCTCAAATTACTGTTTTTTAAGTTAAAAATTTTATTTCTCAGTAGTTGTTCATTCCATATAGGGCCAATTATAAATTAGTAATAAAGAATTATATTATTTGCTAGTTATTATATATAAATGCACATTAATGTAATCTTGTTTTTGCCTATAGAACAATAAAATTTTGTGTAAATTGAAAAATTGAGTTTGTATTGTCAAATTTATTATATGTGATAAACTCTTTTTTTTCAGGTGAAAATATTTAATAATATTCAAAATTTTATTAAAAATAATATTAGTTTAATAGACATCTTCCACAGGTAGTGCAGTCTACTGTGATTGCACTAATTATAAATAAGTATGTTTGTAAATGTAAATTCTAATTTCAGTTTTAAAAATCTATGTATTACTTTTCATTCTTTTTTTCAAAGCTTTATTTCTTAATAAGTGTAAAACATGCAGTAATGTATAAAACGATATATAAATGTATATATTGATATTCCTTTAAAACCGTTACCATAATTATATATCCAATAACGTATAAAGGAATCCAATGTGAATCCACTAAGATTCCTTCTTTTCTGAGACGATTGCATGCAGCGCCTCTATGCAAAAATGTTCCCAAATCGCGAGGAACTACGTAGTGACTACCGGGTTCATATGGTTCTGTGTTAGATGGCGCCACTGACTTAAAACTCTTGACAGTTCAACGACAAGGAAGTATCTACCCACACATATATACAAACGGTATATAATATGTCGAGTTGAATCCACGGATTTATATATTAATTTTTACATAATTATATATATACTAGCTGCCCTAGTTTGTATAAAAATTGAATATATAAATGTATATATTGATTTATACATGATTATATATATACTAGCTGTCCTAGTTTGTATGAGAATTGGATATATAAATGTATATATTGATTTATACATGATTATATATGGCCTAACTGCCTTAGTTTGTATGGGAATTGGATATATAAATGTATATATTGATTTATACATGATTATATATATACTAGCTGGGCTAGTTTGTTTGGGAATTGGATATATAAATGTATATATTGATTTATACATGATTATTTATATACTAGCTGGGCTAGTTTGTATGGGAATTGGATATATAAATGTATATATTGATTTATACATGATTATATATATACTAGCTGTCTCAATTTGTATGGGAATTGGATATATAAATGTATATATTGATTTATACGTGATTATATATATACTAGCTGGCCTAGTTTGTATAAGAATTGGATATATAAATGTATATATCGATTTATACATGATTATATATATATACTAGCTGTCCCAAATTGTATGGGAATTGAATATATAAATTTATTTATTAAAATTTCAAAGATTTTTCGCATCATTATATAGACCAAATTCGGTGCATGGCATCTTGCTTTAAGGCAAATTGCTTAAACTTTCCACCGTAATCAAATATATTAAATGGAATTTTAAACGTTTTCTAATAGATTTTTATAAATTTGGGAGATATACAGAAAAAGTAAGTGAAACTGGAAGATGTTTAAATGTTTATTTAAAATTTATTGAGAAAATAAAACAAAATACTTAATAAATTTGCTTGGGGATTCGAACCCAAACAAAAACGATCGCTATTGCATCCGAGGCGATTTAACGATCTCGTCCACCTCATCCCCTGCAAAAAAATGTTAGAATATGATACATGTGTTAACTATTACTTCACATGCCTCCCTCGCCTTTTAAATTGTCGAATAAAAATTCCTATCGGATTCGAACCAGCATCCTTCTGATTAGAGTCTGGTTTAGCGCTCTAACCGATTCGGCCACGGCGACAAAGATTTTCCTCGTGCTAATACTGGAAGGACATTCTTCGACGACCGACCATCATGATTCGAGTCAAGGTCACAGGGGGATGATATGAAAATATTAAATTTTCACCCAGGGGGTTGAAAGTGGGCTCATTCGATTCCTCCGGTCCTTGCGAATTTCAAGCGGGGAGTTACAGGGGGGGAAATTTTGTCCGTTTTTCGCTCAGGAGACGAGAAAATCGACTTTTTGTATTTTTCATGCTTTTTCTATGGGAAAACTTTTTGCAGACCTCAATGATTTGGTCAAGGTCATTTATATGACCTTGACCACATATAAATGACCTTGACCTTGACCTTGCCACGTCATTGAGATTCATATAAACGACCTTGACCAAATCATTGAGATCAGCAAAGAGTTTTCCCATAGAAAACACGTGAAATTTACAAAAAGTCGATTTTCTGCTCTCCTGAGCGAAAAACGTACAAAATTTTCCCCCCTGTAACCCCCCGCTTGAAATTCGCAAGAACCCACAGAATCGAATGAGCCCACTTTCAACCCCCTGGGTAAAAATTTAATATTTTCGTATCATCCCCCTGTGACCTTGACTCGAATCATGATGGTCGGTCGTCGAAGAATGTCCTTCCAGTATTAGTCGCCCGAAAATCTTGGTCGCCGTGGCCGAATCGGTTAGAGCGTTAAACCAGACTCTAATCAGAAGGATGCGGGTTCGAATCCGATAGGGATTTTTATTCGACATTTTAAAGGGCGAGGAAGATATGTTATAAGTTATTGTTAACAAATGAACCTAATTTAAGCATTAGTTTAACGGTGATGAGGAACGAGATCGTTAAATGGTTTCGGTTGCAATGATCGTTCTTATTGTTTTAGGTTTCGAGTTCGAATCTCCAAGCAAATTTATTAAGTATCTAATTTCATTTTCTCAATAAATTTCAAATGAACATTTCAACTTCTTCCAGTTTTAGTTATTGCAATGTTATTAATAATATGTTAAATTAAAAATTTATATCATTTATGGTAAGACGGGTGTAATAGATAATTTGAAAATGCATTTTAGATATTTTAGAATAGTTTATAACTATTATTTACATATTATGAGTAGATGTGCATATAGCACACGCTTTGAAATACTGCTTTTGTAATACTTCTGTCAGGTATATCAGAACCTCATTGGTCGTATCAGTTCTTGGTGTAGTGGTTAGAGTCACTTCATTAGTGGTCACATCTTGATTCTTGAGATTGCGGATTCTCGGAAGAAAAAGGAAGGTAAGTTATAGTGTTATAGTAATCGTCAAAAGCATGGTGTTTTTTGTGTACTGTCACTTTTGGAAACTGTTTTTTGTATACTTCCAAAATTTATAATAATCTGTTTGAAAACATTTAAAATTCCATTTAATATATTTTATTACGGTGGGAAGTTCTAGCAATTTCCCTCAAGGTAAAATGCCATGCACCGAATTTGGTCTATACATTGGTGAGGAAAGCAATATATAAATTTATATATTCATTTCCCAATCAAACTAAGGCGGCTAAGTCATATATAGTGATGGAAAAATCGATTTATACAATTAAAAAAATATTCTAATCAAGTAAAATATATTTGAAAAATCTGTGGATCCGTGGAATTATATATCGCTTCATGCGCTATTATAAATATATAGATTTATATATCCAATTTCCATACAAACTGAGACAGCCAGTATATATATAATTATGTATAAATCAATATATACATTTATATATCAAACTCCCATGCAAACCGAGACAGCTAATATATATATATATAATCATGTATAAATCAATATATACATTTATATATCCATTTCTCATACACACTAAGGCAATTAGGCCATATATAATGAAGTATAAATCAATATATACACTTATATATCCATTTCTCATACACACTAAGGCAATTAGGCCATATATAATGAAGTATAAATCAATATATACACTTATATATCCATTTCTCATACACACTAAGGCAATTAGGCTATATATAATGAAGTAAAAATCAATATATACATTTATATATACATTTCTCATACACACTAAGGCAATTAGGCCATATATAATGAAGTATAAATCAATATATACATTTATATATCCATTTCTCATACACACTAAGGCAATTAGGCTATATATAATGAAGTAAAAATCAATATATACACTTATATATCCATTTCTCATACACACTAAGGCAATTAGGCCATATATAATGAAGTATAAATCAATATATACATTTATATATCCATTTCTCATACACACTAAGGCAATTATATATAATGTAGTATAAATCAATATATACATTTATATATTCATTTCTCATACAAACTAAGGCAATTAGGCCATATATAATAAAGTATAAATTAATATATACATTTATATATCCATTTCTCATACACACTAAGGCAATTAGGCCATATATAATGAAATATAAATCAATATATACATTTATATATCCATTTCTCATACACACTAAGGCAATTAGGCCATATATAATGAAATATAAATCAATATATACATTTATATATCCATTTCTCATACACACTAAGGCAATTAGGCCATATATAATGAAATATAAATCAATATATACATTTATATATCCATTTCTCATACACACTAAGGCAATTAGGCCATATATAATGAAGTATAAATCAATATATACATTTATATATACATTTCTCATACACACTAAGGCAATTAGGCCATATATAATGAAGTATAAATTAATATATACATTTATATATCCATTTCTCATACACACTAAGGCAATTAGGCCATATATAATGAAGTATAAATCAATATATACATTTATATATCCATTTCTCATACACACTAAGGCAATTATATATAATGTAGTATAAATCAATATATACATTTATATATTCATTTCTCATACAAACTAAGGCAATTAGGCCATATATAATAAAGTATAAATCAATATATACATTTATATATCCATTTCTCATACACACTAAGGCAATTAGGCCATATATAATGAAATATAAATCAATATATACATTTATATATCTATTTCTCATACACACTAAGGCAATTAGGCCATATATAATGAAGTATAAATCAATATATACATTTATATATCCATTTCTCATACACACTAAGGCAATTATATATAATGTAGTATAAATCAATATATACATTTATATATTCATTTCTCATACAAACTAAGGCAATTAGGCCATATATAATAAAGTATAAATCAATATATACATTTATATATCCATTTCTCATACACACTAAGGCAATTAGGCCATATATAATGAAATATAAATCAATATATACATTTATATATCTATTTCTCATACACACTAAGGCAATTAGGCCATATATAATGAAGTATAAATCAATATATACATTTATATATCCATTTCTCATACACACTAAGGCAATTAGGCCATATATAATGAAGTATAAATCAATATATACATTTATATATACATTTCTCATACACACTAAGGCAATTAGGCCATATATAATGAAGTATAAATCAATATATACATTTATATATCCATTTCTCATACACACTAAGGCAATTAGGCCATATATAATGAAGTATAAATCAATATATACATTTATATATACATTTCTCATACACACTAAGGCAATTAGGCCATATATAATGAAGTATAAATCAATATATACATTTATATATCCATTTCTCATACACACTAAGGCAATTAGGCCATATATAATGAAGTATAAATCAATATATACATTTATATATCCATTTCTCATACACACTAAGGCAATTATATATAATGTAGTATAAATCAATATATACATTTATATATTCATTTCTCATACAAACTAAGGCAATTAGGCCATATATAATAAAGTATAAATCAATATATACATTTATATATCCATTTCTCATACACACTAAGGCAATTAGGCCATATATAATGAAATATAAATCAATATATACATTTATATATCTATTTCTCATACACACTAAGGCAATTAGGCCATATATAATGAAGTATAAATCAATATATACATTTATATATCCATTTCTCATACACACTAAGGCAATTAGGCTATATATAATGAAGTAAAAATCAATATATACATTTATATATACATTTCTCATACACACTAAGGCAATTAGGCCATATATAATGAAGTATAAATCAATATATACATTTATATATCCATTTCTCATACACACTAAGGCAATTAGGCCATATATAATGAAGTATAAATCAATATATACATTTATATATCCATTTCTCATACACACTAAGGCAATTATATATAATGTAGTATAAATCAATATATACATTTATATATTCATTTCTCATACAAACTAAGGCAATTAGGCCATATATAATAAAGTATAAATCAATATATACATTTATATATCCATTTCTCATACACACTAAGGCAATTAGGCCATATATAATGAAATATAAATCAATATATACATTTATATATCCATTTCTCATACACACTAAGGCAATTAGGCCATATATAATGAAGTATAAATTAATATATACATTTATATATCCATTTCTCATACACACTAAGGCAATTAGGCCATATATAATGAAATATAAATCAATATATACATTTATATATCCATTTCTCATACACACTAAGGCAATTAGGCCATATATAATGAAATATAAATCAATATATACATTTATATATCCATTTCTCATACACACTAAGGCAATTAGGCCATATATAATGAAGTATAAATCAATATATACATTTATATATCCATTTCTCATACACACTAAGGCAATTAGGCCATATATAATGAAGTATAAATTAATATATACATTTATATATCCATTTCTCATACACACTAAGGCAATTAGGCCATATATAATGAAATATAAATCAATATATACATTTATATATCCATTTCTCATACACACTAAGGCAATTAGGCCATATATAATGAAGTATAAATCAATATATACATTTATATATACATTTCTCATACACACTAAGGCAATTAGGCCATATATAATGAAGTATAAATTAATATATACATTTATATATCCATTTCTCATACACACTAAGGCAATTAGGCCATATATAATGAAGTATAAATCAATATATACATTTATATATCCATTTCTCATACACACTAAGGCAATTATATATAATGTAGTATAAATCAATATATACATTTATATATTCATTTCTCATACAAACTAAGGCAATTAGGCCATATATAATAAAGTATAAATCAATATATACATTTATATATCCATTTCTCATACACACTAAGGCAATTAGGCCATATATAATGAAATATAAATCAATATATACATTTATATATCTATTTCTCATACACACTAAGGCAATTAGGCCATATATAATGAAGTATAAATCAATATATACATTTATATATCCATTTCTCATACACACTAAGGCAATTAGGCTATATATAATGAAGTAAAAATCAATATATACATTTATATATACATTTCTCATACACACTAAGGCAATTAGGCCATATATAATGAAGTATAAATCAATATATACATTTATATATCCATTTCTCATACACACTAAGGCAATTAGGCCATATATAATGAAGTATAAATCAATATATACATTTATATATCCATTTCTCATACACACTAAGGCAATTATATATAATGTAGTATAAATCAATATATACATTTATATATTCATTTCTCATACAAACTAAGGCAATTAGGCCATATATAATAAAGTATAAATCAATATATACATTTATATATCCATTTCTCATACACACTAAGGCAATTAGGCCATATATAATGAAATATAAATCAATATATACATTTATATATCCATTTCTCATACACACTAAGGCAATTAGGCCATATATAATGAAGTATAAATTAATATATACATTTATATATCCATTTCTCATACACACTAAGGCAATTAGGCCATATATAATGAAATATAAATCAATATATACATTTATATATCCATTTCTCATACACACTAAGGCAATTAGGCCATATATAATGAAATATAAATCAATATATACATTTATATATCCATTTCTCATACACACTATGGCAATTAGGCCATATATAATGAAGTATAAATTAATATATACATTTATATATCCATTTCTCATACACACTAAGGCAATTAGGCCATATATAATGAAATATAAATCAATATATACATTTATATATCCATTTCTCATACACACTAAGGCAATTAGGCCATATATAATGAAGTATAAATCAATATATACATTTATATATACATTTCTCATACACACTAAGGCAATTAGGCCATATATAATGAAGTATAAATTAATATATACATTTATATATCCATTTCTCATACACACTAAGGCAATTAGGCCATATATAATGAAGTATAAATCAATATATACATTTATATATCCATTTCTCATACACACTAAGGCAATTATATATAATGTAGTATAAATCAATATATACATTTATATATTCATTTCTCATACAAACTAAGGCAATTAGGCCATATATAATAAAGTATAAATCAATATATACATTTATATATCCATTTCTCATACACACTAAGGCAATTAGGCCATATATAATGAAATATAAATCAATATATACATTTATATATCTATTTCTCATACACACTAAGGCAATTAGGCCATATATAATGAAGTATAAATCAATATATACATTTATATATCCATTTCTCATACACACTAAGGCAATTAGGCTATATATAATGAAGTAAAAATCAATATATACATTTATATATACATTTCTCATACACACTAAGGCAATTAGGCCATATATAATGAAGTATAAATCAATATATACATTTATATATCCATTTCTCATACACACTAAGGCAATTAGGCCATATATAATGAAGTATAAATCAATATATACATTTATATATCCATTTCTCATACACACTAAGGCAATTATATATAATGTAGTATAAATCAATATATACATTTATATATTCATTTCTCATACAAACTAAGGCAATTAGGCCATATATAATAAAGTATAAATCAATATATACATTATATATCCATTTCTCATACACACTAAGGCAATTAGGCCATATATAATGAAATATAAATCAATATATACATTTATATATCCATTTCTCATACACACTAAGGCAATTAGGCCATATATAATGAAGTATAAATTAATATATACATTTATATATCCATTTCTCATACACACTAAGGCAATTAGGCCATATATAATGAAATATAAATCAATATATACATTTATATATCCATTTCTCATACACACTAAGGCAATTAGGCCATATATAATGAAATATAAATCAATATATACATTTATATATCCATTTCTCATACACACTATGGCAATTAGGCCATATATAATGAAGTATAAATTAATATATACATTTATATATCCATTTCTCATACACACTAAGGCAATTAGGCCATATATAATGAAATATAAATCAATATATACATTTATATATCCATTTCTCATACACACTAAGGCAATTAGGCCATATATAATGAAGTATAAATCAATATATACATTTATATATACATTTCTCATACACACTAAGGCAATTAGGCCATATATAATGAAGTATAAATAAATATATAAGTCCGATTTCAAATTGCTGCGTAGTTCCCGAAGGACTGGAAACATTTTTGCATAGAGGCGCTGCATGCAATCGTCTTAGAAAAGTAGGAATCTTAGTGGATTCACATTGGATTCTATTATACGTTAATGGATATATAATTATAGTCGTTTTATTCAAAACCTTTACATCGGAGTGTGTAAGAGTGTACACTAGAAAATATTGTAAATTTTATTTAGTTTCACCCTATCTAACTGAAAAGGAGTGGTTTTATGTGAAATTTTTGAGTTATTTGACAAAAACCAAAAAAATGTCCCGAATTCTATTTTATTTATTACTAAAGAATGAAATATCGAATTTAAAGTCGTTTTATTCAAAACTTTTATATCGGTGTGTATGAAAGTGTTCCCTAGGAAATGTTTTAAATTTTATCTAGTTTCACTTTCTCTAATTAGAAAGGGGTGGTTCCATATGAAATTTTTGAGTTATTTGACAAAAACCAAAAAATGTCCCGAATTTTCTATTTATTGCTATCTGAAGAATGAAATATCGAATTCAAAGTCGTTTTATTCAAAACTTTTATATAGGAGTGTTTAAAAATGTTAACAATGAAACATAGTAAATTTTATCTAGTTTTACCGTATCTAACTGAAAAGGGGTAGTTCCATATGAAATTTATGAGTTTCTTGGCAAAAACCAAAAAAATGTCCCGAAATATCTATATTTATTGCAAAAGAATGAAATATCGAATTCAAAGTCGTTTTATTCAAAAGTGCGTGTTGTGTACAATTGGAATTATGTCGCAGAATTACAGAAAATATCGAAAGATGCTTGTGGGTACTTGTTTTCAAGTTTAGAAAATAGAATTAGGTAAAAAAATTATATTTTTTACTAAATAATGTATGGTTATGGTAATTGATTCGAGTTTTATGTTAAATTTGTGTTTAAATTGTATTTTTTACTATTTCATTTTTCCCGCGCGTTATTTTGAATTGTTGGCGGCCATTTTGGAGTCGTTTGTGTCATGTCATTCGTGTGTAGTTTTATTTGGTTTTATTATTATTCATTTAATTATTTAAATTACTTATTTATCTGATTATTTATTTTTTTTGTTTGTTAAATTATATATATTTTTTTATTCATTTATTAACCTTCTTGTTCATTTATTAATTCATTTTTTTCATTTATTAGCATTCTTGTTTATGTATTTATTTACTCAATTAATGTATATATTTATTTATTTCTACATTAGTTTATTTTTGTTCTTCATTCAACAATTTATTGATTTAGTAGAGTTTTATGTAAAATTTGTGTTTAAATTATATTTTTACTATTTCATTTATCCCGCGCATTATTTTGAATTGTTGGCGGCCATTTTCGAGTCGTTCGTGTGTCATGTCATTCGTGTTGTAGTTTTCTGTCAAATTCAGTCAAAATGGTCAAAATGGCTCGCAGCCGATGTATGAATTATATATTTATTTAATTTTTTATCTAAAATGTTTACAAATACGAGTAAAATTTGTGCTTGCACGAAAAGTGGCGATTTATTTTTTTACAGTGTAATTTACATTATTTTTATTCCGACCCCTTTCGCAATTAATCGGCAATGGAATGATTAAATTTCCGAGGCGAGGTGTTATGTCGACGCTCAAGCATTGTGAGCGTTATAAAAGATACATGTAAAATATAAAAGATACATGTAAAATATAGAAGTGAAAACATGTTGTGTGTTAAATAGTGTGTTTTGTTAAGTAATATGGATAAAGCACATATTTCCAATGATGCAGCGATCGTTACCACAGCCCAGGTTAAAACAGGTGGTAAGGAAAATGATTTAAATACTCAACAAAATGATACTGTGTCCAGTGTTAATAATAGTGAGATGGGCAGCGATTTAAATCTTCACATTTCGGACGATTCCAATCAGCATTCGGAAAGTTATGAGTATATTGATTATGATCCTGAGAACGCCCTGGATTTTGCAGCCACCAACGTTAGGTATTCAGAATGTGATGATAGTTTAGATTTAGAGAGTTCCGACAAAGAGCATTCTTGTGATGATAGTGAAAGCACTGAGCAAATCGAAGGCATTTCCAGTTACGAAGAACTAACCAGCCAGGATGAACTAGAAAGTGGAGGTAAATTAGCTACAATTATGAATATCGATACACAAATTCCCAAAGACTCTAGTACTACACGGGTTGTTGCTGATGTAATGTATGCACGACCTGAAACGCAGCCAAAAACTGAACACAACAGTTGGGAAAGTATCCAAGGTCAATCTAAACAACTCGTGGATACACCGAGAACGTTTAAAGCTGCTAAATGCATACAGTTCACAGATGATGCAACATCCTCGACGGACATGAAACCTTTGTTTAATGAAATGGATCATTGTGAAAGTCCAAGTACCTCTGATTCGTTTGAATCTCATTTACAAAAAGCCAAAGACAAACAGAATTGTATAGAACAAAAAATGAAGAATCTATTAAAATCTTTAATGATTTTAAACGTACGTAACATGGCTAAACATATGAGCAACGAAGTTGCCACGTTTCATGAGTACGTTTACAATGTTTACAATACTAAAAGTGAGTATAATCGTGATTATGTGCAAAACTTTCATGATTACAGCTCTATGTTGACAGAGATTCAAAATTATAACTCCAGTCAAGAAACGGCTTGGGCTAGACAGAAATATCAGAATAAGTATTTTGGTGCAGGTTCATCGGCAAATCAAGTGCATCCTAAGTGTGTGGCACAACCCCTATTTCCACCTTTAGATCCTAAAGAATCCAAAAACATAAAAGATGCTTGTTCACAGTTCAGTACGCAATTACATTTATTAGAAACCACAATGGACTCGGAGGCTACTGAGAGCAGTTCTAGTGATGAAAGTGTTTGTGGTGATTATACTAACGAATACCAGAAACATCTACCTCTTTCCAAACGTACGTCTACACAAATAAGAAAATTAGAGAACTCGTATGCATCACGAATGCGTTGGATACAACTGCATGTGTCGTTTTTGGAAGTACAAAAAAAGTATCACGATTACATACACATGGTAATACAAACTATGAAGTCAAATTTGAGGTTTATTGATAACGATACTAAGGAATCGGTTTCGGTCAACACTATATCAAATGCGTCTGAAGAGCAGAGTTTTAGTTGTGCCAGGATTAGACCGTTGGATGTACATCACTTCAAAAAACGTAAGTTGGTCCAGACGCAAAATTTGCATACGGTTTCTAAATTAGCAGCACAGACGACTTCTATCAAATGTGGTTGCCAATGGCCGTACCAGCCTTGTGCTTTGTGCACCGGACGTGTAGATCCAACAGCACCAAGACTACCAAACGATTGTCTGGATTTGCAGAATCGATTGGCGTTGTTGGATCCTGGTATGCATCCTAATTTATCAGTGTTGTCCGAGGTGCACCAGAATATACATTTTAACGCTATTATGAAAATGCCTGAGTGGCAAGCTAAAATGATTAGGTGTGGACCGAGGATTAAGACGTTGCTTGCAGCAACGTCTGCTGCTGATAGACGGATGCTGAAGGAGGAGTTGAAGCACGACAGGCCTAGGAAGTTTGTTAAAAAGTCCAACATTGCGTCTGTGAAACCGATGAAGCACGGGTTTAAAAAGCGTGGGCGTAAGCCCAGTTCGTCCAAGTCTGGTAAACGTAGGAAGATACCTGATTTGGATGACCATTGTGACTCGTCGTTGTCTACAAATATGTCGGAGGAGTCCCAGAATGTCACTTGGCCCAAAGAAACATCCAGACAAGCGCAGAGAAGCACTTCATTTGACATAGACAACATGGTGATCCCTTACGGTGTTCCTGTATCCACCAAAGTACAAGTATTACCTTATAAGGAAATTATTACACCAAAGTGGCGGGTTGTTAATTACGAACCCCTTACTGGTGATGATGTCGTTGATGCTGCAATTATGAATCATGAGAGTGCAACGGATCCAACAAAAGCCAGGAGTTGTCCGAGTGCTTTGGAAAGCGATGAAGATGTTTCAGAAGAAAATTGTTTGAAGAGACATATGCGTTGTCTGTTGGAGGAGCGCAAGAAGTTTGGTGTGTACACCAAGTTTTCCTGGACCACAAGATCCAGGGCGAATAGGCGTTTAGAAAGCAAGACCATGGATATGATGCCGGTGACTCCTCAATCTGAACACACCAGCGAAAGCGAGCTCCAGCAAGGCTTGAACGAAACCACAGAATCTCCTGAAAACACTGAAATGAACACGGACGTCATGGCCGACTACGCCCTGGACAGAATCACCAAACGCAAATCCATGCAGTACACAAATTTGTTAAACGATGGTGACACTTTCTCGGACCACAACGAGCAACCGTTCACCCCCAGACAATTTCCTCTAACCGAAGACGATTACGAAACAATGGTGTCCGTGATGCCTGCAAAACACACAGAAATCCTCAGCCTGATGCAGAGTGGCGAAGGCAATGATAGAGTCCTTCGACAATCCATAACCGAGTCTGAGAACGTGGACATGGACGTGACCAGCCCCTTCAACGAGGTCATCGTCCAGAGAGAGGGCAACATGGACGATGGTGTCCTGGAACAATTCACAATGACCGATAGTGAGGAATCCGTTACCTTAGACGATCCTGATGACCCCGAATGGGGATGACACCTAATAAGACAATAAAAGACTTATAAAAGAAATTTTTGACCTGTTAGTTTAATAAGACCTAGCTTTAAATTGTATATTTGTAATTAAGTCTGTACATAGTCTCGTGTTTAATTTTGTAAATTTTTTAATATAATTTTATGTTATAAGATTATAACGAGTAAAGAGATGTTTTCAATGTATTTTTTGTAAAGTTGTACATAAATCACATTTTAAGATTTTTGCCTTGAACTGATTTGTTTTTTTCACTTCAACAAAAAATATTGTTAACTAACTTTTATGGAAATTATTATGATGCATTGTTTGTATGTAAAAGAACATTTCAGAAATAAAAAATAGACGTAAGTTTTAAAGCCATAGCCAGACTTGTCTTATTAGAAAATGATAACAACTCCTTAATTTGGTTTTAACTTAATATCATATTCAAGTAGAATATATTTTAAAAAAACGTGAATAATAGACTATGGTTTTAACTTGATATCATATTCAAATTGGGTAAAATATGTTTGAAAAAATCCGTGGACAGTTATCCATGGTTTTAACTTGATTTCATATTCAAGTAAAATATGTTCAAACTAGTGGTGTATGGCATCGTGCCTTAAGGCAAATTGCTGGAACTTCCCGTACCGTAATGAAATATTCGAGAAATTTTATACGTTTTCAAATATATTATTACAAATACTGTAACTTTCATTATTTTTGCTATCTTGTTTGTTATATCTGAGCAAATCAAATGTAAATCATAAATAAATTCAGTTCAATCTCCAGAACATTAACAATCGTCATTTCATTTCGAATTCAATTTCAAAAAAAAAATAGTTGCCTAATTTGCACAAAAATGCAAAAGTGCTCCCGTATAGTCACTGTCTATATTTTTGCAAATAATTCTGTGCGACATTTTCACTTATACTGTGCTTAGCTTGGCGGCATTTTTACATTTTTCAATAGTTTTCACAAAATTTGAAAAGTGCTGCAGTACATAAACAATCTAAACGCACTTGGGTAAACATTTGTACCAGAGCGGCGCTTAGACTGTGCTTAGCCTGGGTAATTATTTGAATTTTTAATCCAAAATACAAAAAAAAATTTTTTTTTCGAAAGCAATTATTTTGTAAAAACAAGCAAAAAGTTCTTTGAATGATTCAAATCGGACGCTTAGTTCTCTCAAAAACTGCCATTTTTGCACATTTAGCTCTGTATCTTCAAAATTCCTGCACATGCCTTTGCCAAAATCTAATCACTACTTCACACCGCCCGAATTTAATGTTTTTTAGATCATTCAAATCAAATGCTCCGTTTTCTCAAAAACTCGATTTGTATTTTCTGCACTCTTTGCTCCGTATCTCCGTAACGGCTGGACCTGCCTTTGCCAAAAACTAATCGGCACATCTCCTTATCAGAAAGAATCGAATGTTTTCTGAATCATTCAAATCGGTTGGCCCGAGCATAATTTTTTTTGCGTTTTATGATTAACAGTTTTCTAGAAAACTCATACTCGCTCAGAGCTCATTAATTGAACAATTAATATATATATATATATATATATATATATATATATATAATAAAATTGTTTCTTGTTCTATTATTTCACCATCTGAAGAAAAACCTCTCGCTTTATATATATATATATTTATACCAAGATAAAATTATCTGTAAAACTGCTTAATTAAATTTTTATAAATGTATAACAAAAGCTTGAACACAAAACTGATCTCACTGATCCAAAATATTAATACAATCAAGAAAAGGGCTTTGCATTTTTGTGATTCTACGAATATAGCTCTTTTTCTAGTTCGGGATACTTTTCATATTAGGAGAATAAAATCTAAATAAAATTTTGCAGAAAACTGTTAATTTAGATTTTTGTAAAATATGTATATATCATATACTTATATAAGTATATGAAAGCTTTGTGTTCAAGGCCTAGTAAAACTTGTTGTAGCATGCTTGTTGTACCTTAAGGCAAATTGCTGAAACTTCCCGTACCGGTAAATTAAATTCTTTGAAAAAAATGAATATTTTTTATTTTTAAATTTTGAAAAAATCAGATTTAGAATTATAATTTCGAATTTTCTTTCGGGAAGTCAAAGAATATATCTAATAGTAAAAAATTTATTTTTAAAAATATTTGTTTAAATATCGTCCCATGACTTCTATTATATTAGTATATGAAAATTTTGTGTTCAAAACTAGTAAAACGTGTAGCTTATTTTACAAAAATGTAAATTAACAGTTTTCTGCAAGATTTTGTTCAGATTTTACTCTCCTAATATAAAAATTATATAGATTAACTAGAAAAGGAGCTATATTCGTAAAATAGCACTTTTCTTCCAACACAAGTTTTGTGTTCAAGCTTTCATGCAGCCTTTTGTTATAAATTTTATAAAAATTAATTAAGCAGTTTTACAGATATTTTATCCAGATTTTACTTTTCTAATACAAAAATTAACAGTTATATTAATTGTTCAATCAACTAGCTTTTTAAACATTTACCCAATTTGAATATGATATCAGGTTAAAACCATATTCACGATTTTTTTCAACATATTTTACTTGAATATGAAATCAAGTTAAATCTTTGATTAAATGTTAACGGATTTTTTCAAACACATTTTACCCGATTTGAATATGATATCAAGTTAAAACCATATTCACGATTTTTTTAAAACCTTTTTTATTTGAATAAAACTATCCACAGATTTTTTTAAATATATTTTACCCAATTCTTTGCATATTTATAAAGTTTATGATCTTGAAGAATATAGTTCTACGAAAAGTGGTTTAATTATATAAATTAATCAAAATTCATTTTGAATTTGAACAAGTTTGTATGACAATACCATTTATATTTGTTTAATATTTTTGCCTTAAAGCAAGATGCACAAACTTCCTAATACTTGTAAAAAGTCTGTTTTATCAAAAAAATTAAGATTTTAGACAAAAGCTACATGTTTCAACTGTTTGTTTCAAAAATAAAGCTTTCACGTTCGTTAAAAACTGTCAATGTAATTTGCAATTGATATCTCTCGAACATATTTATAATATCTGTATTTATACATTTAAATTATTACTTGTATGTTCTAAAATTGCAGCCAATTATTCTGAATTTTGATTAATTTATATAATTGAACCACTTTTCGTAGAACTGTATTCTGCAAGACCATGAACTTTATAAATATGCAAAGATTTATTAAAATAGTAAAAAAAATTAGTGGCATCGTGCCTTAAGGCAAATTGCTGGAATTTCTTGTATCGAAGTAGATCACATCATTATATTTCAAAATCAGTTTTGAAAATATGTAAATAAATTTAGCATCGTTCGGCTTGCACTTTGATGATTAATAAAACATTAAATTTGTCAAGCAGATTATTTGATATAGTTACAATATTTGATAAATTTGTATAGAACTAGGTGTAAGTACTATTTTGCATTAAGGCAAGTTGCATAAATTTATTAAATATAATAATTTTTAAGTGTAACAAGTTGCTGTAGAGCATAATGCAAGAAATTCTTGCAAAATTTGCTGAACAGTTATTTTCAAAAATATTTCACATTGAACAAAAAACAGAATTTTTCAGAAATTAAATTTGTTAAGCAGATTATTTGTTATAGTTACAATATTTGATAAATTTATATAGAACTAGGTGTGAGTGTCATTTTGCCTTAAGGCAAGTTGCATAAATATATTAATATTTAATTTATAAGTAAAAAACTGCTGTGCATGATCATGCAAGAAATTCTTGCAAATTTACTGAACACAGTTATTTTCAAAAATATTTCACATTGAACAAAAAACAGAATTTCTGTCTTTAAAGATTTTTTATAATTCAACCACTTCATTTAGAAATCTAAAAAGAGTTTTTTTTTATATTTGTATTAGAAAAAGAGCATAATTTTATATCTACTTTAATAATATATATAATGTACAAGGTTCAGACATAATCAAACTGCACATAATTTTTGTGCAGATATTGAAATTATTATTCTAAAATGTTTTACAAAGCAACCATTTATTTAGTTTATTCATAAACATCTTCTCTATCTGCTACATATCGAACAATATCTGCAGGTCGGGTCAGTTTTTCTGCATCACCATCTGGGATTTCAAAACCTGGGAAAAAAAAATTAAATAAATGGTTAATATTACGAGCTAAAACTAATATAATATTTTTATATCAATTTGAAAGCATTAGGGGACAAGGAAATATTAAACATCCATATTAAGGACCACCATATATATATATATATATATATATATATATATATATATATATATATATATATATATATAAAGCGAGAGGTTTTTCTTCAGATGGTGAAATAATATAATAAAATTGTTTCTTGGGCATCCATCCAGTAATTAAAAAACAGTTTTAATGAAAAATGTTTTTATTTAAAGAACATACGTTTCGGGTCTTGATTTGACCCATCTTCAGTGCATACAAATAAACTTTGAAAAACAACACAAAAACACAAAATTGCACGAAAAAATAAATAAAAGTGAAATAAAAAATTGATGAAACGTCGAGTTATGAAAAAATTTTTAAAAAAATTGTAAAATTAAAATGAATGATATATTTTATTATAAAAAAGCTTATTCCAAACGAACATGTTGTTAGGATGTTGTTTTTTAAAAATTTTTTCATAACTCGACGTTTCATCAATTTTTTATTTCACTTTTATTTATTTTTTCATGCAATTTTGTGTTTTTGTGTTGTTTTTCAAAGTTTATTTGTATGCACTGAAGATGGGTCAAATCAAGACCCGAAACGTATGTTCTTTAAATAAAAACATTTTTCATTAAAACTGTTTTTTAATTACTGGATGGATGCCCAAGAAACAATTTTATTATATATATATATATATATATATATATATATATATATATATATACATATATATTATTTTTATCTTACCAAACTCGTCCTCCATGGCCATAATGACTTCTACATGATCTAAGGAATCTAAACCTAAGTCGTTGATAAAATGTGACTCCAATTTCAACTGCAAAATAAATCAAAATTACTACCATGTATCAATTACTTTTCTCAATGGCAACTAGTGTACTGTATTACTGTATTATTATACTACCTTTGCTGGATCAATTTTGTCATACAGTTGCAAAACTAATGTGACCCGTTTCTTTATTAAATCGAGTGTCAAAGGTGCCCCCGCACTGTACTGTCGCACCAGTTGCCATTGAGAGCCCTACAAAAATAAAAATAAAAAAACAATTACCTTATCTGCTGTTACTTTATCATAAGCTGCACACACTTTTAAAACCCGCTCTTCGATTTGAGCCTTTGTTAATTTAGCTGCAGCAGGGGTAGAGAAATTTCTATTCGTGTTCTAATTAGGAATAAATATGTAATAGATTTAAAAAAGTGATATAAAATTCGGTACTTACTTTGATTAAATACAAGTTTGTGGAGTGGTTGGTTTGTTGAATGTGTAAGTGTCTTTGTGGAGCTACGGCTAAGGTTTTGGGGGCCTCGCGTAAGACGATTGTTGAAGTGCGGCTTAAGAGGGTTCTACAGTTTTTCAATAAAGCAGCCATTCTTGTGTGTATATAATATTTATATGCGGGTGAAATGTATTTATGCAATAATTCAATGAAATATTAAATACACATGTCAATCTTTTACATAACACAAATACTACCAAATTGTGAACTACGGCATTGAACAACTGTCAACTGACATGATAAAACTAACATGAAGTTGGTGTCAGTTCTTGACATGGCAACACCCTGAACAACGGCATATTCATATCGACCTGGCAACACCTTCACTTCGCTTTTTACATACATGAAGCAAAATAACGTTCGTTTTTATCTTTTGTGTAAAACTCTATCTTAAACTCTTATATCAAATGTTTTTTAAAGTTATCTAATAATTTATTAAAGCATGTACATAATTAATATAAATGTGAACACGTATTTATACAGGCATTAATGAATTTATTAGCGAGAGACCGTTGAGACGCTTGAGCTGAAAATAACTGTCAGTCACTATTGGAAATTTATATGTTAAAACAAATACAAAATGGATGAAGAAATGGAATTGAGCGTTTTGGCCAGTATTGATGATATAAATAGGTGCCACTATGTTTTGAGTGACGGCGTTGCTGAGCAAGGTAAATAATCATAACTTAACCAATATATCACACCCATTATAACTTATTTTACAAAACATAGAATTATCCCTGATAAGGGTGAGGTTGCTCAAGTCATTTTTATAAAGAGCAAGATTTTTATAAATTTTAACATATGATACTGTTAAATCGATTTATTTAGTTAGTAAGAAACCTTTGGCTGCAAGGAAAAAGTATAGGCGACTTTGTGAAACAGTAATTATTAACAATGAAGCTTTCTACTAATATTTTTGATTTATAAGCTTTTTAGGACATTAATATGATCCTGATATTGTATCCTTACTTACTAAAGTTTATTTATGACTTATTAACTTCCCGAAGGAGAAGTTTATGTTTTTGACAATAGTTTTGGTAGATTTGAATCCTACAATTTGTTAAGGTAAAGTAAGGTTAGTAGTTCGAACTTCAAAATTTTGCAGCTTTATTACACCTTAGTAGTACCAAGTTGATAAAGAGCGTTTTTTTTTAGATTTTTTCTAATAAATTCAAAAAGGTTTGATAATTAATTTCAAATTGGTTAAAAATAACATCTTTATCTTTATTCTGAGCCTCCTGTTGCTAAGAATTTAATAAGAAGCACATCGATTAGGAAATTAATAAAAATGAAGCTTTCTACTATTATTTTTGACACCGTTGAAAGTTTTTTATATGATCCTGATATCATTTACTTACTAAGGTTTACTCATATAACTTATTAACTTCCCGAAGGAGATGCTTATTTTTTTTTGACAATAGTTTCAGTATATTTGAATCCTACAATTTGTTAATGTAAAGTAAGGTTAGTAGTTCGAATATCAAACTTCAAAATTTTGCAGCTTCATTACACCTTAATAGTACCAAGTTGATAAAGAGCGTTTTTAATAAATTCAAAAATAATGGTTTGATGATTAATTTCAAATTGGAAAACACCAAGTGTATGTTAAGAATAATGTCTTTACCTTTATTCTAAGCCTCCGATTGCGTAGAATTTAATAAGAAGCACATCCATTAAGAAATTATTAAAAATGAAGCTTTCTACTAATATTTTTGACACCATCGCAAGCCTTTTAGGACATTCATATGATCCTGATATTATTTGCTTACTAATGTTTGTTTATACGACTTATTTGACAATAGTTTTGGTATATTTAAATCATACAATTTGCTAAGGTAAAGTAAGGTTAGTATATCAAACTTCAAAGATTTGACTGCAAGTTGAGTAAGCGAAAAGAATGTGTGACTTTGTGAAACAGACATTATTAAAAATAAAGCTTGCTACTAATACTTTTGACACCCTTGAGACATTAATATGATCTTGATATTATTTACTTACTAAGTTTTATTTATACGTTATTTGACAATAGTTTTGGTACATCCGAATCATACAATTTGTTAAGGTAAAATAAGGTTAGTATATCAGACTTTGTGAAGCAGAAATTATTAAAAATGAAGCTTTCTACTAATATTTTTGACACTGTTGAGACATTAATATGATCCTGATATTGTTTATTTACTCAGATTTATTTATATGAGTTATTTGACAATAGTTTTGGTATATTAGTAAGGTAAGGTTAGAAGTTCTAATACCGAACATCAAAATTTTGCAGCTTTATTACACCTTAATAGTACTGAGTTAATAAAGAGCGTTTTTTAGATTTTCTTAAGAAGAAATAACGGTTGCAGTTTTTTTTCTACTTGGAAAACACCAAGTGTATGTTAAAAATGTCTTTACCTTTATTCTTATTATCTGGTTGCAAAGAAAGTAAAGTAAATAAGAAGCACATCCATTGCTTTTTGAGATCACTATTTTAATTTAGGTGTTATTTACATAATTAAATTTGACTTGGTAATTAATAATTAATATTTAAGTTAAAGTCATAGATGGTGACTATACAATTTAATTGTATCACTAATACATTTTTAAAGAAAGTAGAAAAACCTTAATAAAAATAATTAAAATTTCAATAACCTACTAAAAAAAAAACAATATTCACCAAAGAATTTCTTTTAAATTAATTGCACTAAATATTACAGCATTATTTTCTTAAGCAATTTACTTTCTACTTTAATATATTATTTATTTATTTTTCTACAAACATTATCCGGTTAAATTTTGCAAATAACTAATTTTCAACCTAAATATTTATTTTTCTAGAAACATTATCTGGTCAAATTTTGCAAATAATTAATTTTCAATCTAAATATTTATTTTTCTAGAAACATTATCAGGTCAAATTTTGCAAATAATTAATTTTCAACCGAAATATTTATTTTTCTAGAAACATTTCAGGTCAAATTTAGCAAATAATTTATTTTCAACCTAAATTCATTCATTCATTCTAAATATTTATTTCTCTAGAAACATTTCAGGTCAAATTTTGCAAATAATTTATTTTCATCCTAACTATTTATTTTTCTAGGAACATTTCAGGTCAAATTTTGCAACTAATTAATTTCCAACCTAAATATTTATTTTTTTAGAAACATTATCAGATCAAATTTTGCCAATAATTAATTTCATAATCATAAACCAACTAAGAAAAGATTAAATTTTCACCAAAGATTTTTTTTCAATCTAATTTCATTCTATCATTTATTCCTTACTATTTTTTCAGAATTTCAAAGATTCATTTTATACCACGAGCAATGTCGAGTGCAGTGGATGCAGGCTGTGCAGGAAGCCCAAAATTTACAAGCCGAAGTCGAAAAAGGACATAAGTCTATTTCGATCCTGGAAAATAAATTGAGACATGCCAGAGACTTGTTGGATACTGAAAAGAAGTTGCGATTTCAAATACAAAAGGAGAAAGAGAGCTTGGTAATGGATAGTTGAAATAAAAAGATACTGCTAATATTTATAGTTTATTTTTATTACTGTTAATATTTTATGATTGTTTATTTTTATTATTTTTAGGAAAAGCAGATTTCAATAGTGCGAGAAATATTTGGCGATGAAACACAAAATATAACATTGAATAATGATACTATGAATAAGTTAGCTTTTCTTTATAATCGCAATAAGCCAAGGCCTCCGATGCACGGGAGGCTGGATAGGATTACAGAAGATGAAATGAATTATACAGGTACTAAATATATTTTGTAGTTTTTCTACTTTAATTTCTGGTAAGTTTAAACTTATTTATTTTTCTAGAAACATTAGTTTACATATAACTAATTTTAGCGTTTATTTTTATCTATAAAATATTTGTATTAAAAATACTATAGATAGATTTTTTTTATTTAAACTCAAAATAAATGACTTTAAAATTTGAATGCTTGTAGCATTCATTACATTAATGAATGCATTTTATATTCTTTTTGATTATATAATTGAGTATTATACAATAGTATTGTGAATTAAATGAATCTCAGTAAAAATTCTAAAATTCAAACATTTAGGAAGTGATTATATAATTTATGGAAAAAGTAAAATCTGCGATAGCAATAGTTTAAAAAATTGTAAGAATACTTTTTAAAAAATATTTCATAGATAAAAGTAAATGTTAAAATTAATCAATAATTTGTGAACTTTGGTTTAATAATAACATTTCTAGGCAAATAAATAAGTTTAAAATTAATTATTTGCAAAATTTGGCTTAATAATGTTTCTAAAGAAAATAATATTTTAGTTTAAAATTAGTTTTAAACTTGTTTATTCAAATAAATAAATAAAATATATATCAAATAATTAATTTTTAACTTAAATATTTATTTTTCTAGAACACAGTTTGCAAATAATTAATTTTCAACCGAAATATTTATTTTTCTAGAAACATTATCAGGTCAAATTTTGCAAATAATTAATTTTCAACCTAAATATTTATTTTTATAGAAACATTTTCAGGCCACAGTTTGCAAATAATTAATTTTCAACTTGAAAATTATTTTTTTTAGAAACATTATTAGGTCAAAGTTTACAAATAATTAATTTTCATTCTAAATATTTATTTTTCTAGAAACATTTCAGGTCAAATTTTTAATTTTTAACTATTTGATATGTAATTAGTTAATTTTCAACCTGAATATTTATTTTTCTAAAAACATTATCAGGTCATTGTTTACAAATAATTATTTTCAACCTAAATATTTTATTTTTCTAGAAACATTATCAGGTCACATTAATGATGATGATCACATTAATAATGATTTTTAACTTAAATATTTATTTTTCTATAAATATTATCAGGTCAAAGTTTACAAATAATTATTTTAAACCTAAATATTTATTTTTCTAGAAACATTTCAGGTCAAAGTTTACAAATAATTAATTTTTAGCCTTTCACCTTTAGAAAATTAATTTCTCTAAAAACATTGTCAGGTCACAGTTTGCAAATAATTAATTTTTGTTCTGAATATTTATTTTTCTAGAAACTTATCAGGTCAAATTTAGCAAATAATTCATTTTCATCCTAAATATTTATTTTTCTAGAAACATTTTAGGTTACAGTTTGCAAATAATTAATTTTCAACCTAAATATTTATCTTTCTAGAAACATTTAAGGTCAAAATTTGTGAATACTCAATTTTCAACCTAAATATTTATTTTTCTAGAAACACCATCAGGTCAAAGTTTGAAAATAATTCATTTTCAACCTAAATATTTATTTTTCTAGAAACACCATCAGGTCAAAGTTTGCTAATAATTAATTTTCAACTAAAATATGTATTTCTAAAAACATCCAGGTCAAATTTTGCAAATAATCTTAAATATTTATTTTTCTAGAAGCATTATCAGATCAAAGTTTGCATATAATTAATTTTCATCTACTTTATTTTTCTAGAAACATTATTATCAGGCCAAAGTCTATCACGCTCAGAAGACGATCTAGATGTATCCCATGGAAATTCCTATTCATTTCGCAAACACAAAATATCAACTGTTGAAGATCCTACATTATCAAAGAAAAGGCGCAGCCGTAGAAGTATGGATATGAACAGATCATCAGGTTTGTATCTTGTAAAAGAAATCATATTCTAAATATTCATTAACCTGCTGATTTATTTATTATTATTTATAGCTAAAGTTGTGGAATTAAACCCTAATGATCGAGTAGTTGCCACCACAACTTTGACTTTACCAAAAGACGGGCACGGTCCCATAACTGCCAAATCTGTAATTGAGGCTGTACCTGATGAAAATTCACCTGAGGAAAATATTAAGAAGAGTCCTAGAAAGAAATCGGCATCACCGGCTAAGGCTTATGCTCCTTCTGCACCACTCATAGGTAATAAATGATATATACATACAAAATATACATATATACATATACATATATATATATATATATATATATATTAAATGGATATTTTTGTTCTTAGAAAATGGTTTCAAAAGGGATATCAGTCCAAGCACAATTAATAGAAATATAATGCGGTATCATAATTTTATTCCCAAGAGCACTATGAAGTCTGAAAATTGTATCGTTTGTAATAAAAGGTACGTATGTTTTTTCATTTTATTATTAGATAATTATTAAATTTTTTTTTTAATTACAATATTGGTTACAACTGCTAAATAATATAACATCTAGTAACATAAGTGAATAATAACATAAATATAAATAAAATAGAGTACAAAATAAAGGATAAAATTTACATTAAAATGATATCCGTAGTATGATGATTTAATATAAAATAAAAGCAAATAATAATAGTAATAAAATTAATAAGCAAAATAAATAAAATTTGTGAATAATAAAACTAATACTAAATAAAGTGGAATAAAAACAAATGGGACTTGAATAAAAATTGCATAACGGATATTTAAAGGATTTTTTTACCATAAGAAGAATCTCAAGATTTACAAGCCTTAAATTCTACCTGTTTAAATTCTACCTGTTACCTAAACTATTTCAATATTATAACATTTTTTTCTTCAAGTTATTGTATTAGATAATACGAATGTTAGGCTTAATATTGTTTTGTAGTTGAATTTTACTGTAATTAATTAAATTAAAATAATTTATTTTCTGTAATTACTAAATTTAATCCTGTATCCGTAATATAAATATAACAAAATAACAATATTAGAAATAATAAGATAATAATATAATAATGATAATAATAATAATAATATTATTAATATTATTAGCCTTCACAAATGGCTATTTATGAGATCATTTGGAATTTTACGTTTTAGCCTTGATAATATGTTTTTAAAAATCCATACAACAGACTGATACAACCATGGTAACATAGTTTTTACTATTGAGTTTTAACAATTACTTATCAAGTTAATTATCTTTTTTCTCAGGATACGTTTTGGACGAGTGATCCATAAATGCAGAGACTGCAGAGCTGTTTCTCATACTGATTGCCGCAATCAAGTTCCTCTGCCCTGTGTACCTGTTTCTAGTACTCCTACTATGAAAGGTTTTATGGTGAGTCAGTGATAATTTATTTATAAAATTGGAAATTAAATAAGTTATTCATTAAAGTAAATAATTAAATAAGTTATTTATTAAATTGGAAGTAGTGTGTACATGTATGAAGTAGACCACAACTTTTTACCTCAAGTTTTCTCCCTTACTAATTTTACTTTGAGGAATCTTGAGAAAGTTTTAGTCACCTCAGATATAGTTTAAATTTTAAATGCAAATAATTGATTTTTAGGCATCTTTATGTTATATATTTTTTTTTTTTTTTGATATGCTGTAAAGGGGCGACCATTAATCACGTAATAGATTTTTTAAAGAATTTTTGGACTCCCCCCTCGATCCTTGGTGATACATTGTGATATTCAAAATTTTCCCCCATTTGTTGTATTTTTAGTTACAAGAAATAATTGTGAAATTGTTGATTTTTTTTTTAAATTTTTGGATTTTTTTGAAAATTTACGTAAAAACTAAATACATGTGATATCTTACTATACCCCTCTCTCCCCCCTTTCATGTGATTAATAGACGCCCCTTAAGGGGTTACACCACTGTAGATTTTTCAAAAAACCAAAAAAAAAAATTGTTAAGCTTAAAATATACTTTGAACCTTTCAGAATATGAGCAAAAATATTTTATACCTAAAACGAAAAAGAAAAAAATATTTATACATAATTCTTTTCTTCAAGTTCAAGCTTTTTACTGATTTTTGTCCATACTTTATTTTGTATCAACTTTACTTTATCCACTTGGTTTATTGTTTCATTTTCTTTCTTTTTAATTTAATATCTCTCTAGATATTCTGTTTGTTGCTTTTCTATTTTACCACAGATTTTTTCTTGTTTTTCTCTTTTTTTTTTACTTTTTTGCAATTTTCCTTAATGTTTAATTTTGATTTTTACCCATTCAATTTTCTGTTATGTTTAATTTTTCTTATTTGTTTTGTTGGTTCCTGATTTATTTTCATCCTCAATTTTCCTTTTGATTATATCCTGGCAATTGTTTTTTCTCTTTTTTATCCTTGATTTCCTTGTTTTAAATATTTTTGTCAGCAATTTTTTACTTAATTATTTTTATGACTTCTGTTTTTTTCTCTCTATATACATATTAGGCAATGTTAAAGTAGGTACTTATAATAATCTATTTGAAAACAATTCAATATTCTTCAAACAGAGGATAGGATTCAATATTTCGTTACGGTACGGGAAGTTCCAGCAATTTGCCTTAAGGCACGATGCCATACATCCCACTAGTTTGTTATTTTAATTGTTTAATTTTCTGTTATCTTTTCCTAAATCTGTTTAGTTTTTATTATTTATCTTTTGTTGGATTCTATTTTATTTTCATCCTCAATTTTTGCTAAATCTCAATTTCGGAAACTTTTGGGAAGGCAGGTCTAACGGTTTCGGAGATCTAATAAAAAAAAAGGGATAAAAATGCCATTTGGCGGACAAAAATGTTCATTAGACATATGCACATCAAATTATCACAATTTTATAGAGATTTTAATAACAAGAACAAATTTTGATTGCTTTTCTATGGGTTCCATAGCAATGCTTATCCGTTATACTGCGATTGCTTTGAAAAAAAACGCAAAATTTTTAAAATATTACAAAATATAAAAATAAATCAAATTTTTCAGAAAGGTTTTAGTTTCAAAAATTTTAAAAACCTCATAAATCGATTTCTTTTAGAGTTCCAAAAGAAAATTGAAGTTTTTTTGTAATTATAAAAATTAGAATTTTTGGTACGGAAAGTTCCAGCAAATCGCCTTAAGGCACGATGCCATGCACCACTATTTTTTGTACCAAGTTACATTTGTTTTTATATGTAACACATCACTATTGATCTGTAATTTTGTACTACATCAAGTGCCTGTAAAATCATATATTACATCATTTAAATATGCAACAAATAATTAGTTTTTTTTTATCTTTCAGGGAACTATAGCCGATTACACTCCATTGGTGGCCCCAATGGTCCCAGCATTAGTAGTTCACTGTGTGAACGAAGTTGAATCTCGAGGATTAAACGAGGTCGGTCTTTACAGAATATCTGGCTCAGAAAAGGATGTCAAAGCTCTTAAGGTAAAAACATCATCTAAATTTATCAATCATCATCACCATAAAAAATTATCAATTTCTACTCTTAGGAGAGATTTCTACGCGGCAAAGGCGCCCCAGTCTTAACAAATGTAGACATCCATACAGTCTGCTGCTGTTTGAAAGATTTTCTGCGATCTTTGAAGGAACCTTTGATCATTCAGTCTCTCTGGCCAGATTTTGCAGCAGCATGTAAATCAATAACTAAGGAGACCCAGGAGCAATTGATTGCTGGTGTGAATGAACTGCCGCAACCGAATAGAGATACTTTGGCTTATCTGGTCATGCATTTGCAGAGGTAATAATAGCAAATGATAACTTATAACATATGAAGCTTATTTTGTAAAGGTTATTAGACGGACCTCGATATACGAGTTTAATTCGTTTTGTGACCATCTTAAAAAATAAATATTTTAATGAATAAATTTAAAATAATATTTGATATATTTGTTTGAGGATATATTATTACTCTACAATTAATATTAAACTATAAAATAAGTCGTCTTACCACTGTCTTTGAATCTTATTATTATCTTATTATTATTTTATTTTGATGTGTTATTAATTTTGATTAATTTATTTTCAGGGTGGCCGAATGCCCAGAAGTCAAAATGCCAATAACTAATATTGCTATGGTGTTTGCACCGACCATAGTTGGATATTCATCGCTGGATCCTTCTCATAATTTTATGAACGAGACAAGATTGATTGTTTCGGTAAGTTATGATAAGTTTTGAAATATATTATATAGTAGTAATTAATTTAATTACCGTAGCGTATTAGTAATATATTAGCTGCATTACGTTTGATTCTGAAATAAAAGAAATGAAAGTAAACATTCAAACATTAAATATAATATTAATTTGGAAATATAAACAAACATAAGGATTCTACATAAAGGTCTATTCAATCTCACGTCAAGCCTAAATTTTGAGCGCAAAGTTTAAAATTTTTACTGATTTATACCTGTAAAAATAGTAATGGTTGATGAAAAAAATAATAATAATAAAATATTATTTATAAAAAACGTCGTTTTACAATAGAACAAATGGTCAGGCTACATAGATAAAGATTATGTAACAAAATAGTTGTTGAAATCAAATTGAGAAAAGTCTGTAATATTATAAAAGACATTTTTTTCAAAAAGTTTGAATGATTTTAATGATCTAGATTTATTTGTTCAACGTTGAATTAAAAGAACAATAAATAATGATCTATTTGTTTATACGTTTCGATACGGTATGTGTGTCATTATTCAGCAATTTTTTTTAATATTTATACAGTATCTCAAAGAATTTTTACAAAGTTTTAAAAGATTAAATTTATTATACTAAAATTGAATTGAACAAGTAAAAATGGATACATACTACACTAAAAAAAACACTCACAAAAAATTAAACTAACATTAGATGAATTTTTTTTTTTTTTTAGTTTTTTTTTTTTTAATTAGATGAAAAATGAAAACAGGATAAATAAAGTAAAAAATATATATATATATATATATATATATATATATATATATATATATATATTAATAATAATTTTCTTTGTTATAAGTTTCGGCACTTGATGTTGATATAAGTAATTCAGAACAGAATATGAAAAATATATATAAATATTATAAAAATATCAGAAGCATATACATACCATCAGGTTCAATGTTCTCATATTTTTGTAATTTTTATATACATTTTTTATATTCTATTCTCAATTATTTATATTTATATGTCTGTATTTTAGATTACTGGATGTGACACACATTATGTGTCAAAACGTATAATAATAAAGGGAATTATTTTTTCTTAAATATTTTTTTTTATTTCGATGAATGGTCTGTTGACAATTTTTTTTAATTATGTAAGTTAATCTTTAATTTCAAATGTTTCGACATACAATTTGATATCATTATCAGTGGATCTATAAGATAAAAATTGTTTTTTTTTTTATATAAACAGAAATTAAATTTGCCTCGGATGAAAGGCATCTCGGTTATTTAATTTCTGACAAATATTTATAACAAAGTGACAAATATTTATAACAAACTGACACTTATTGTTAGTGCTTTTTTCCAATTATCAATTATTTATAAGTTATGTGTTTTTTTTTAAATATAAATTTGCATTAATCTAAGAATTTCAAAACTACGGATGATGACGTAGAATTTTACGTCGAGACGTATGGAAAAAAAATGATGTTTTAAAAGTTTTTACTTTAATTATTTGTTACTTGATGTGTTACGCTCTTCAAGAAATTAATCATATATATGTATATATAAATGTAAATAGGAATAGTACATATTGATTTTTACACATCTCGTATTAGTTATATTATTATTTTTAAGGCCAACTTTATTAACGTTATTTCATTAGCAACTCTCAATTCATTGCATCTTATAATTATAATTTTTAAACAAAAAAATATCCAATGAATAAATAACTACATAAGCAATTAGTTCATAAAAATATTTTTTGGCAATTTAATTAAACCTTGTAAAGAGTTTATGGTGTTAATGAACATACTAAAATGCCTTGCAAAAAGTGGTTGAATTGTAAAAATTAATTAAAATTTGAAATAATTTGAAGAAGCCACTTTTTTAGAAAATACTCTATGTATGTTTTAGACACGTGTTTGTTACTCAATAGAGTGTAATATTTTTTTTTATAAAATTGAATAACCAGCAATTGTGTATATTACATTATAAGGTATCCTACACCAACTCGGCTTACCTGTAAATTACTCATAAATTAATCTATTGATTTCTAAAGTTTAGCATATACACATGTAGGGAAGTTTATGCAACTTGCTTTAAGGCCATAAGTTTTACTTATTTTTTGTTTTGTTTTTTTTTTTTTATTTACAGATCATGGAATGCCTGCTGCTGATTCCTACAGAATTTTGGGCTCAATTCATTTGTGTCGATTTAGACACGTGTGCAACACCCAACACCATCCAACCGACACCTATTTACACACCTACCACTGTTCATCGTAGTGCATCAGCAAATTATTTTGCTACACCAACCACTGGGTAAAATATAAAAGTCAAATAATATATTAAAGATGAAACAAATATATAAAATTATTTATTGCAATTAAAATATTTTCTTTATATCTATAATATATTTATATAATATGTATGCATGTTAATCTGAGCTTAGTGGTTAGAGCTATAGGATTTTAAATCTAGTCCTCCCAGGTTTATTACATGATAGGACAGCCTGATGTCAAGCAGTTCAAAGATAAAAAAAATGGTTTCAAGTAAAAATAGCACTTATCGAAGCACTACTAAATATGTTCATCAGTTTTAAAGAAATTTTGATAATAAAATTATCCCATGGATATAGGACAACCATTTGGGTTGTCATTTATATAAAAATCCAAGCAGTTCAAGAAGTTTGCACAACAGCTGTTAAGATTATAAATAAATAAAATAAATAATTGTGTTACCATTTGTTTCAATGAATTATATTTTTTTACAATAAGTTTTATTATGGTGTACTGATTTTTTATTTTGTTTCAGAAATTTGGTGAAGAAACGAAGTCAAAAGCAATTTTATAGAGCCTAGTCATTGAAATAGGCTAAAATGATGAAATGTATAATTTTATATATTCGACTAGATTTTTTATGTATCCATTATTATTATTATTATTAGTATTTTTATGAAATGATATTGTATATTATTAACAATGAAAATATAAAATATTTTCACTCTTGTACTATTCACTACTATTACTATTGAGCATCACAATTTTTTTGTGATATTTTTTTTTTTTTTTTTGTATAAATGAAATGATTAGAATAATTTGGTGTTTTTGTACAATATATTAATAAAGTTAAGTTTAAAACTATAAATTTAATTTTAGTGACGGCGTGGTAATATTTATCGCCGAAAATTGTATTTTTTTTTTGACGTTGTTAGTCATTAACCAAATTTGTGAAAAGTGTGTGTTTGTGAGACCAAATTCATTCGTAGGGGGCTTCCATTAATCACATAATCGTTTTTTTTTTTTTTTTTTAAGATTTTTGGACACACCTCCCCTATTATGATTCGTGGTGATTTTCAAAATTTTAAATATTTATATATATATATATATATATATATATATACTAGATGACCCGACAGACGTTTTCCTGTACTTATGTTTACAATTCAAAACATCCAATTTTTTTTTAATAACCTATACTGATATTTACCATTAGTTAGAAATTATTTTTTTTACACTACAAACTATACCGAAATGTATATACATCCACCCATATGGATTTTAAATGTACAACTGCTTTAAATAAAATGATGAGTATTTGCTTTTTTTAAAAATATTATAAAACATTTTTTTTTTATAATTAGTTCTTATAGTTATTTTGAAAAAAAAAATGAAATTACACTACTGAGAGGGATGTCATCCCCCCGGGAAATGGCGAAGGAGTCTAAATTATTTTCACTTTTGAACTTGAGAGTAAGATAAACCTAATTTCAAAATTTCATACAAATTGGAGCACAGTAAAAAAATTCAGACCCAAAACGCTCCATTGACTTGAGTAAATATTCCGTAACCGATGGCAAAAATATGAAAATACTAACGTTTGTATGTGAAAAAGAAAAGGGCTGTTTTTACGGTTTTCACGGCAATTATTCGATTTGTTCTCGCCGTAAGGACCATCCTTGGAAAAAAATAATTGGCCAAATCGGTTCAGGCGCTGTTGAGTTATGCGCTTACCAACACATTTTGCTATTAATTTTTATATTATAGATTTATTGATGTCCATTCTCATCTATCCAGCAACAGGATCTATGACATTTTTTGGGCAAAATCTTCATTTCTGGCAATATTTTCAATAGTGCAGGTACAAATTTTAGTAGTAGTTCCAATAGTGCATGTGTGCTGATAAGTTTAAAGTGTTGTGTAATTATAGATGGCAAAATGGACTACGGACAATGTGACATTGCCAACATTTTGGCATTTGAAGACGGATTTTGGCAGCCATAGGACGGACAGAAGGAGATTTTTCAGAAATTGTTGCACCGTCGACGAGATATGTAAGTCTATTTACTATTTTTTCAAAAGCATGCAATTTGTAGTTTAGTATATCTCTCAGAGATTCCAACAATGAATCGAAATCTGTTTGGTTTTCAATTGCAATTGTTTATCGGTGTTTGGGAATTACGTAGGGTCTAACAAATCACAATTGTTGGCGTCTTTTAAATTTCTGTACTCGTGTGGAGAGATACTTAAATTTTTAACATTTTTGATGGAATCGGTATGGACATAGGCTAGCACATCCTAGTTTTCGATCCCAACTTTAGCCAGCTCGATATCAAGCAGTGCAGTATCAAATTTCACTTGAGGTTGAATTCGTTGTTCTTGGCTAAATTACAAAATTATCTGCTTTTTGCTTGAACCTTCTATTTTTCGGGATGTCCAAAAATTATCAAAAATATTTTTTAACTTCCCAAAAGAGAAGTTTATGTTTTCATAAAAAAATCCGACTCGCTAATTTTATGTTTTCTCGACGTTTCAAGCCATTCTGAATCGAATGAGACCAAATTTGGAAAAAGTATGTGTGCGTGTGTGTGCGAACAGATATTTTGCCGTAAATCGACGTTTTCTCAAAAACGGCTGGACCGATTTCAAAAATTTAAAAGCCATTCGATGTATTTCGATGAGGACTATCGTTTGTCAGTTTTGCGCTACGATCGGCCGAGCCGTTTCTTTGTGAATAGCATAAAAGTGAAAAATTTTTCGTCCATGTTTTAGCCCGCAATTCTGAATCGATTTTGAAAATTCAAAGACCGTTCGAAAGATATTGATTGGAAATCGTGCTGATTAGTTTTTGGTAAAGATTGGCCGGGCCGTTTTCTTGTAATAAAGTGTTAAATTTTTTTTTTTCGACGATTTTTATTATTTTTTTGACGGTAGATACCATAGTCTTCTAGATCATACTAAAATATTACGGCCCTACGGCAACTCGTTCAGCTTTAAAAATTCATCAAAGTTTGCAAAAATTAGTATCGTTTTTTTGGCATTTGTCAAAATTAGATCTTTCATCGACGATTGCTCAAAAACGCCTGAACCGATTTCAGAAATTTAAAAACCATTTGAAAGAAAGTATTAAACTTTTCGCTCACATTTAAGCTCAAACTACCGAATCGATTTTAAAAAATCAAAAACTGTTCGAAAGTTTTTAGTTGGGAATGATACTGATTAGTTTTAGGTGAAAATCTACCGAGCCGTTTTCTTGGAATTATAACTGTTATAAAAAAATTTAAGCCGATTTTAGGGAACTTTTTTTGGCGATATATATCATGGTCTTATAGAACTTACCGAATTATTACGGCCTTACGACAAGTAGTTTAATTTAAAAAAATCATTAAGGTTTAAGAAAATGTGTAGTTTGTTTTGAGGTTTGTTAAAATTAAAATTAGACGATTTTAATGAACATACTAAACCATTAAAGTCCTACGGAAACTGACTCATTTATTAAAATTATTGATTTTTAAAAATTTGCTTTTGAAAAATACTCCTAGTTAACGTGTTCGTTTGTTTTCGAATGTGTAATAAATCCACTCGGAATACTTTTAATAACTCATAAATTAATTTATTTTTTATTGATTAAGTCGATTATTTACACATTTCGGGAAGTTCATGTAACTTGCCTCAAGGCAAAGTACCAATACCAACTAGTTTAAATTATTTATTGAATATATCTAGTATGTTTTGGTTATTTACACAAAATTGTAATAATTTTTAACATTATAACAACCGATTATATTTAAAAATCATTCATAAATTGATATCTTAATTTCTTACTGTTTAAGTAGATCATTTATGCGTTGCGGGAAGTACATCAAGTGAAACTTGTCTTAAGGAAAAATGCCACTTACACCTAGTCTCTTACATAACACTTGACTAGCGATACCACTATCTTAAGATTTTCGTTCAAGATGCGTATCTTTTAATTTTTACAAGAGGTACAACTCAAAATACACATATCTGATAATTGTGATAAGATGTTACACAACATATACAAATATATATACAAATATATATATATATATATATATATATATATATATATATATATATATGTATATCAATTAACTATTTTTAAATGTAGGAAACGCTTTGTTCATCATCATTTAATTCATATTATATATGGCACATTGACGTCTTTCCTAATCTAAAATGCTGTACTTATCTAAATCTAGAAAATACAATGTTGAAACCGACGACAATGTTATAATTAGCATTCAATAAAGTTTTATTGGAGCCATTGTAAAATTTATATTTATTTATAAATATATTGATCAATAAAAAGAGATATTCGGACACGGTTGGAACTGGTTGCTAAAATATGCCTGATTAGACTTTTTCTATATGTTGTAAAATGTAAATGATTTATATATATGTTAGACCAAGAGCCCGTGGGCGGATGACAGTATGTATTTTACGACACCTGAGATTTTGTGCATCGATTCCTCTATATCTATCATACATGAGATGGGGACTGACTAAGCCCAAACTGGCGGACACAGCTACTGCGCAGCTGGTAAAGGTACCTTTTTTTCGACCATATCCGAACCATTTTACGACGGTTGCCGTTTCGAAAATTTGAAAATATAATATTATTACTATCGTAAAATAACAATGGCAGACGATTATCGCGCGGTCAACATGGTGGCAGACGATTTTGAAAATGCAGAAAAAAAATTTTTTTGAATGTATTTTATGATGTCTGCCATTTACATATTTTATTCCTTATAGTATCAAAACCTTATATTTATCACGGCAGACGTGTACCTGGCGTACTAACATCAGCAGAGTTAAAAAACTCAGCTACCATCTGGCCTGATAGTATGCATAAATCTCCACGTTTTAAACGGATAAAAGCAATTTTTTCATAATGATAATAGAAATTATTATTTTTTAGTCTATATGTGACATTCAATAATGTTGATGAGCGGAAAAAAACATTTTTTTACGCTAAATTCATAAAGATTAAAGTATACAAACGATAACAACAATTATTGTAATCATTATTCAATTTTTTTATTTATTTTAGTCTAATTTCAAAATGTTGTATAAAAATAAAGTTATACATTATTATATATTAATATATATATATATATATATATATATATATATATATATATATATATATACTTTATTTGTCATCATCTCGGAGCCACATCTCTCTTTTGATGATTCCTCATCATCCGCTGAATAAGATTCTATAAAATAATAAGTCAATTGTAAAATAAAAATTATTTCAAAATCCAACTAAAGATGTTTGATAAAGACGAGATTCTCCGACCATACTTTAATGCGCCCTACAATGTTGGTTGCTTATTGTAGACATTATTCCTAATATAGTTATAGTGGCTCTTAATAATTGTTGATAAAGGACGGGATTGAACTTGCACCAAAATTTAGAATTTTTCTGCTGAATTCTTTATTGACGTTGTAAGCTTTATAGTTATTAATGAATAGTTTGTACCTTCCAACAACCACGTCATTAGGTCTTTTTGCATTATATATTTGGCAAATAATTTAGGTGGTTTTCTATTAAATTTTCTTCTTTGCTAAACCGTGTGTAGCAAACCCTTGTTGAAGACCGATATTTTTTATTTAAATTTTGTTAATTTA